TTTATATTTACTTAAGTTAATATATAGGTTATGCTTATATAAACGTTAGCGAATTTCTTTAATATGTTTATAATAATTTCTTTTATTTTTACTATATATTATTATATTATGAAAATAAACGATATAAATAATATTAATTAAGCCCGCCAATATATTATTAATATACGTTTAACAAATAGTAAGAGTTTTAATTAATTCTATTAATATAATTAAGAATTTATAGTACCTATATTTTATACGAAATGCTATTTTCTTTTTACTCTCCTATTTAATCCGAATATAATAATATACGTCCTTGAAATCTAATTTTATAAAAATCTTTATTAACAATAATTAATCTAAAAAATTTAATAAAAGGCAACGCTATATAGTTCTTCTTTATTACCTCATTAAATATATAGTAATCGATATATAATTTTAATTTACTTCCTTTTTTCGGAATAAAAATAATAGGAGCCTTTGCCGGGCTAATAGATAGACAAATTTATTCCTTATATAACGTTTCCGCTAATTATTCCTAGAGTACTTCTAATTCTTTAATATTAAACGTATAAATAGGGCCTTAAGAAGCAGACTTTCCTTCGATTAAATTGATATAATATTTTAAATAGTTATATTATACTAGGAGTATAGCCAATATTTTAAATATTTATTAAAATTCTTTATATTTTAGAGGGATTATCGGTTCGGCGGCGATTATTTCCTTCTTTTCGGGTTCGGCGACGGGCGGCTTTAGAACTATTAATTCTATTAAGGGTTCCAACGGTGGGTAAATTCCGTTTAACGTAACCTTAAAAATTTTAAATGGTATATCCGGAGATATATTAAAGGATATAAAAGTAAGTATATTAGAAGGAATATTAAGGGAATTTAGGATATTTAATAAGGTTGAAAATTCTATACGTAAGAATAGGAGAACTTTGAAAGGGATAGTCGAATATAATAAAAGATTAAAACTATTAATAGATTTTAATATTTCTTTCAGGTTTAAAATAAGGATTAAATTTTATTACGGACTGTAGAAAAGTATTATAACTTTATAAATATTTTTGGTCGGCTCTTTATTCCTCTTTAAATTTTATATTTTAATCCGAAGTTAGAACTTCTTCTAACGCTAATCGATTTCAAAATTATACTCATATAACTAAAAGTAACTGAAGATAATATTTATATTAAAGGAATTGATAATTATAAATATAATCCTTTTCTTCCGTTTAATATTATAAGAATTATATATTTTAATAAAATAAGTAATCGAATTATATGTAGGAATAGGTTAAAATATGAAATTAATGAAACAGTAATTTACTAATTCTATTTTAGCGTCCGACGGAAGTAAATACTTTTTAATAAAATTTAATTCCGCACTAAAATCTATTAAATTTTAAATTTCCCGCTAATTTCTATATATTTTTATTAATAACTATATATTTAAATATAATTATAATATATTTATATTTCCTTAGGCCGAAGTAATTATAATTTTTATTAGTATTACCGGCTTAATATTCGCGCCTTAAATTAGAGTATTATAGGGAATAGGGTATTAATACAATATATAGCCTAACTTACTATAATTATAATAAGTATATTTAATATAAGAAAATATTAAATCTTTAAATGTATTATATTTATAGTAAATATTACGTAGTTTTATTACCCAGTATTAGCCGTACGTATATTTAAATTAATTATAATAATAATAAATAATATTAAGATTGGTAGAGACCGTAGGAAAAGGACGAAAGAAATTACTAAGATTAGGACTAAATATAGGAATAGAAATAAGAGTAGGGGTAGGAAGAAAAGAGGGAAATGATAAGTAAGAATATAATATTTAAAGGCGCTAATACTATATTATTAATTTTAAAGTTTTTAAATTTTATATTTATTTTATATAGGCTACCGCTTTAATTAATATATTAATATTATTAGCTAATAAAACGCTCTTACGTAAATAAGGACGTAAATAATTTATTCATTATAGGATGCGCGGATATTCTAATTATTTGTAGGATAAATTGAGTATTTTAGTATAGAAACGGTCGTAGAACGTGCGAATAGTTTCGGTAGTACTTTATTATATACGTTTAAAATTAGTAAAGGCGGAGTATTTAATACTTTAGGTATTACCGTTATATTCCTTCTTTAGAAAAATACGTAGGTCTTTCTAAATAGAAATGTTATAGATAGGGTTATAATCGATTTTTTTTTTGAAGGTTGTAATATATTTAATTTATATATTTTTAAAATTACTTTCGATATAGTTAACGGCGAAAAAAAGGGGTATCCGGGGGTATTCGAAATAGTAATTATCGATATTAAAAAAGAAATTATATACTTAGGAGGAGTTCTTATTAGTGAATTTAGAAATATTAAATTTATGGCAATATTTAAATGAAATAATAAATTACGTCGGTTAGGTAAATATAAAAATAATAGGCACTATAATTTAAGAAGCAATAATAAGAATAAAGAAGGTTGAGAAATACGCTTATTTATAGAAGAAATGATTTTAATAGCGGAATCCGAAAGGAATAGAAGGGTAATTATCGAATTAATTTTATTCTAGTAAATCGACGAAACTATTCTAATTATAAAAGTATATATAGGATAAGAGGTAAATTAAAAATAATTTAATAACTATTACGTAAAATTCGAAAAGTTTTTACTTTTATATTATAATATTATTTTCTAAGTAATAGAAGGGATTATACGAAGCGTACGAGAGGGTAAAGGAATAGTCGCTATCCGAACTATTATTATCTATTTTTTCGATAATTAGTTAACGATATTAGAATGAAAAAAAAAGCTTTTATTAAAGAATATTATTAGTTGCGGCAAGAAGGGTAATAAATAATTTTTACATACCGGAGGTAAAGGGAGGGATGTTTTGGGCGGTCCGAGAGACGGATCGTCCGCTATATATTTATATTCTATTAGTAACGGCTCAATTCCCGTAAGAAGAGCTATTAACGTATTAGGATCGTAGAAGAAGGTAAATTAAAGTGCCTATAGATAGCGTAAATATATAGGGGACGTTAAAGTAGGACGAGGATTAAAAATATATTAATAATTAACCTTGATAATTTTAGAGGCGAATTCGACCGGCTATTTATATTATTATAAACTCTATCCTATAGTAGTTAAGTCTACGACGGCTCCGAGCCGTTCTAACGCCACACTACGGCGCTATATTGTGCGGACATCGGCGCTCCTCAGTACTAGTACGGGTCCAACGCCTGACAGGTCCCTAGCGACCTGATACTTTAGGTCGTCTCCGAAATTCCCTAAATCTTCGCCGATAATATCTAGGTCTTCTCCGATAATTTTTTTTATAGGGAGAATAGATCTATTATTATATAAATATATAAATTTACTTTAAAAATGAGTTTACTTTAGTAAACAATTTAATTGGTAATCGTTAAAACTAATGAGTAATCGTCTTATTCGTTATATAATAACGAAATAAAAACTTGTTAAACTAGTTACGAAAAAAGTACTACTCTCTTAACTATACTTCCTCCGGATAAATCGTAATATATAGAGTAATAAATTCTCAGCGGAACTATACTATTATAATTAGAATATTATTTTATTTAGCAAATTAGGACTTTTTATATAATTAGTTTTCGAACTCTAGCTATAGAGGTTTATCCTTTCGAACGATACGAAATAATATTTTATTTCGCCTCTCCTACCAATTTTATATAGTACTAAATAGTATCCTAAACTCTCTGGCGGCTTCGTATACGTAGATATTGCGGTGCCCGTCGACGGCGTAGTCTTCATTATAATTATTAAAGCTACTACGACGGCGGTAGCGTTGGCTATTCTCATTATTAATAGGTACTTTAATTTAGGCAAAGTACATTAAGACTTACTTAAGCTATTAGTATTAACTCCGCTAACGACGCTACAATATAACCTTATTAACCTAGATTTTAAATTCGTCGGTATAGTACCGTTTAACCCTTATCTTAACCCTACCCTTATAGTACCTTCCCTTTACAACCCTTACGCTATACAATTTTAGTTTAGGACCAAGGTACTATTCAACACATTATTAACTTAATAAAAGTAATAGGGGACGAATTAGGGAAATTAGGGGAAGAGGAATATTAGGAGCGGTACTAGGCGAGCTAGAGGTGTCCGGGCTAAGGGTACTAATTATACTAGGATTTCTAATTGTACTAATTATACTAAGATTACTAGTACTAGTACTAGGGGTAATACTACCTCAGGCACCTCTCACTCCTAAATCCCAATATCCGTATTAAAATAGAATGTCCCAACACGTAAATCTATCTTTACATTCAACACTAGAAAATATTACGATATCGACGACGGCGAATTCCATAGAGGGTAAGAGAACGAGAGAACGTTACAGTAGAAGGTTACAGGGCAAAAAAAAGGTTCTAGAGGGTAGGGACATTAAGAATCACGGTCTTGCATAGAATTTCTAGTGGGCATGAATGTTGCAATATGCTTGCAGACCATGCCTGATTTCCAGGGAACCTAAAAAGCTATGCCCCGAGATTATACGGTATGTTGAGCAGCACCGCACCTTCTCTGCGGCGTGCATAGATTGAAGAGGCAGGAACTCGACGACAGGGAAAAAAAAAATGGAAAAAATACTGCGCCAGCCGCGAATCGAACGCGGGGCCCATCGATGGCAACGATGGATTTTACCACTAAACCACTGGCGCTTTCAATGAGTGAACGCGTTAAAACATTAGCTTATGATTGTACGGGCATGACTCCCAACTCTCGGCAAAAACCCAAGTTTCCCCCATTCTCCAATCCTCCCTCCAATCTTCTCAATCTCACAATCTCACAATCTTGCCATCACATCGCCTCCCGCCCGAACAGCCACGCCCTCATCCACCAACTCCTTGCACATCCCCTGCGCAATCCAGTCCGAAATCGCCATATTCGTAATCATGGGATTCACACCACTCGCGCTCGGGAACACGCTCGCGTCCGCCACGTACAGGCCCTCAGTACCCCACACCCTTCCCCTCGGGTCAACCACGCCTTCGCTCGCCGTCGCGCCCATGCGGCAGGTTCCCATCTGATGGGCTGACGCGAACGTTGTCGCGGGCGGCTTGTTGCCGTGGGCCTTGAGGTCGTCAAGCCAGGCGAGGAATGCCGGGTCGGTGATGGCTTTGTCCATGTCGGTGAGGGAGTCGCTAGAGCTAGGCGACGACGTTGGGGAGGTAGTAGAAGACCGAATGAAGGGCCGGAAGCCGGGGAGCGACGGATGGATCTCCTTCGCGCCTTGAACGTAAAGGATCTTGCACAGGGCGACGGTTCCCACCAGGAGGTTGCCCCTGTCATATTCCGAGGGCGTGTACACGACCTGGGGAGTTCCGATCTCGGGATCGCGGTAGATGTGCCCGCTGTCGCGGTCGCGAGCAATGCTGAAGTAGGTATTGAGGTGCCGGTACTTGGCTGCCAGGAGCTTGTAGTCGAGTCCGGAAGCCCAGGGGAGGAAGGTGAGGGCGAAGACGGGAAGCATGCAGAGGGCTTCGATCCTGATGCCGTGACCTTTGCCGTCGAGGTTCTCGAAACTGTTGACCACGGACGTGAGACAGCCACCTTCCCAGGGCTTGGTCTCGTGCTCAAACACAGCCGTGACAAAGCTGCATGGATGCAGCTTCAAGTTCTTCCCAAGATGAGGGTTCTGTTCCCAAAGTCAGTATCACCGGTCCCTTCTCACCCTCCGATTCTCTCCCGAGCGGAATTCACTTACCGAAATCCCACTATTCATCAACACCACCGGGCTCCAAAGCGCACCAGCACTAACAACCACCTTCTTCGCCTTCACCACCACCTTAACACTCTTCCCACCTCCCCCAGGGCCAGCCGGTAAAGTCCACGTCCCACTCACCCCCACCGCCACCTTCTTCCCCTTCCTCCCCTCCCTCTTCTTCCCAAACAGAACCCTATCAACCTTCATCCCCTGCACAAACTTCACCTCCCCCCTCCTCCTTGCCTCCGGAAACCACCCATTAACCGGCCCCATCTTCTCCCCCCTCCAGCACCCCATCCCACAATGTCCATCCTCATGCGCCTCCCCCCTACAATTCTGCGGCACCGTCCTCGCCTGATACCCAAGTTTCCTCGCCCCCTCCAACAACACCTTATTCCCATGATTCGGCACCACTTTTTGGTCTGAAACGCCCATGACCCCCCACACACGATCAAGACAAGCCTGGAACGCCTCGGTCTCGAAAAACGGCAGCTTCCGGTCCTGCGCCCATTCTTTCCGCACAAAGTGCTGCGTTTGCAGGCTCGCGCTCCAGTTGACCGTGCCGCCGCCGCCGAAACACGCGCCCGCCGTGACCGTGATGCTGCCGTCTTCGGTCTCGATCACCCCGCCGCCTTCCATCAGCGACGAGAGCCCGACCTCTTGTGAGAGCGGGAAGTGGGAGGCGTCGAAGTGGCGGCCCTTTTCGAGGACCAGGACGCGTAGGTTGCGGCCGAAGGTGCTGGCTAGTCGGTGCGTGACGACGCCGGCGCCGCAGCCGGAGCCGATGATGACTATGTCGGTGTCGATTTCGATGGTGCCGGCCTTGCTGCCGGGAGATGAAGAGGCAGACGAGAAGTCGAGGAATTCGTAGGGAAAGGAAGCGTTGGCGACCCAGGAGGGAGGGGTGGTGGGGAAGCCGGTTAGAGGTGAGTGGTAAGCGCTCGTGCGGGCGTGGACGAGCTTGCCGACGCTGGTGAAGGTATTGAAGAGTCCCCGGAGAGCGTAGAGGGCGCTGGTGCGCCAGGAGTGCAGGATCTTGGTGCGGTCCGAGATGGAGAGCGAGGAGAGAGGGGTGATGTAGCCGGTTAGGAGGAGACTGCCGCCGCGGGTGCTGTAGTGGTAACCGTAGTCTCTGTCAGCGAACCGTCTACTTGTAGCTGATGTAAGGTGAGTGTCTCTTACCCCAGAAGCGACAAAACCATCTCCAACTTCCGCTTTTTGGCCGGCGGGATGTTTGAGAGGATGTTTTTGAGCACCGTCTCAAGCACTGGATTCTCCGATGGCCTCTCAGCAAGGTAGGCCTCGAACAGGTCTTGCTGCTTCAGCCCGTCTTCTGATGGGGCGGCATACTGCCTCAACGATGCCAATGAAGCTTCGTACTCTTCCTTGGAGAGGTTGACAGTTGAACCCTTTGCATGGTCGGTCAAGTTAGACGGAAGAGAGTCTGTTCGCTGAACCGAGGGGGCAACAGCGTCCATGATAGCCATCAGTGTCTTCCAGGTCTCCGGGCTGACTGGATCACCAGCAAGCGGCGGGAAGTCCACCCGCTTTGGCATCGTGAGAGTGGAAACAGCAGTTTCAGACGCCATTCTGACTGTTGTCCTGTTGAACGAGATGTTCTGGCAAGTAACCGTAGAGTTGAGTTGAAGGGTTGCCAGCCCCCCCTTGTTGCGGTACGCACATTGACTTTATACTATCTAACCCCGGTTGAGGGGTAATTCAAAGACCGAGGCTTCCCCAGACTCACACTTGACCAATCATATGAAGTGGGTTGTGATAGGTAACACTCATCTCGGATTGGGGATGGTGTGCACTTGGCAAGCTGCGATCTACGTGTACAACAACATCAACCTCTTTGCTCCACCACGCTGCTAATCATCGTGTCTGTCGTTGGCAGGAGCCGCTTGGACCCTCAAACCTGTGTACGCTCTTCCCAAGATACCCTTTTCTCACCAGAACACCCCTTCAAACCACCTCCTCATCCGTCTAGTGGCATCCCCATCCTCCTTCCGTATGCCTTCCAACAGAATGAAGTCGTGCGCTTCGTCGTACATCTCCTCCAAAACCACCTCTATATCCGGATTCGTCCTCCTGATTCCCTCAGCAAACACAATACCTTGGTCCCTAAACACCTCCTGGGTGCCCACCGTGACATACACCCTCTCAACAAACTTTCCCAGCCCCTTATACCACGCGCCCGTATCCACATCCGCCGGCATAGCCCACCCCTGACCCCTCTTCTTCTCGGCATTATACTTGTCGTGATTACCCAAGAGCTCATGATTCGCCTTCTCCATAATCACCGGTGAAAGCATATCAATCAGCGCATTATCGCCCATGCTCCGATCATTCGTCCTCGCGCTAACCCACGGACTGACAGCAAACACGCCGGCGATGCGCTCCCCGGTGGGCTGCTCAATCTCCTTGGCGTCCGGGTGCGGATGCAGCAAGTGGCTCATGATCTGCGAAGCTAGATTGCCGCCGGCCGAGTCGCCGCCGATGACTAGGTCCCGCGGCCGCACGCCGATCTTGAGCAGGTATGCCAGCGCGTCGGCGGCCTGCGTGAGCTGGACGGGATAGCGAGCTTCGGGGGCGAGGGTGTACTGCAGCACGGCGACGGCAACGTGTTGACCCTGACGCCGGCCGGCTTGGATGTAAGACCGCAGACACCACTCGAGGTGGCCGTTCTGCATGGGCGCGCTGTAGCCGCCGCCGTGGAAGAAGAGGACGAACTTGGAGGCGCGGCGGCGGTCGCCGACCCAGAGGATGGAGGCGTCGCCGTCGGAGAGGACTTCTTCGTTGGGATGGAGGTAGTCGAGGATGTACTGGTCATCGGGGGTGGCCTGGCCGGCGTCGAAGCGAGCTTGGGCGGCAGAGCGGGTGGAGGCGATCCATTTGCGGTAGATGGTGGCGGTTGATGGGCTCAGGTGCTGGATCTCGCGGGGGGAGAGACGGCCGAGGGCGAAGCGGTTGTAGGCGACTTTGAAGTAGTGGCGGATGGGGATCCCGCGCAGGACGGCGAGACCGACGCAGGTGACGAGGTTGAGAGCTAGATGGGCGACGTCTGGGACGTGTACAAGTCAGTTTGCGGTTTGGTTCAGTTGTTGGAGCATATGGAAAAGGGAAGGGAGAAGGAGACAAAGAGGGAAAAGTGAAAGGAACGAACCAATCGTTAGCAGGTGAGCGAGAAGGTAGAGTCTTTCCCACAGCCTCAGAGGGTTTTTGCGAAGTGCGCGAGCCTGTTTCGCAATGTTGTGGTCCGTTAGCGATCCGATTCTTTGTTGACTTATTTCCCTTTTCGGACGATCACTCGGAGAGGCTTCCAAAAGAAGCAGGTACTTACCATGTTGGTCAAGAAGAAGTTGCAGTTGCTACGTCGGTTGGAACCGTTTGAATCAAGTCAATGGTTTCAAATGAACAACATCACAATAATCCAAACAGAAACCCTTGACAAACGGACCTGTCCCGTGTCCAAGAAGTGGCATCATGATGGAAGTTGGTCAGGTAGGTAGCCTCGGTTGGCTGCCGGGTTTGCAGCTGTCGGTCGATTTGGAGAGCTTGTTTGGTGGTGTGGAAGGTACCTGAGGGGCGCATCAGCAGGGCATTTTTAGCTGCATCCATCAGTGGTCAATGGGACCCCGCAAACCCCGCCGTTCGTTCGGGTTCTGTAAGGGTGTAGATGGCTGCATGCAGTATATATTGGTTGATGATGATCTAAGCTAAGTACTGGCCAGGAATCTGGCTCGGGGATACAAAGTATCCTCCCAGTATTTGATCTACTAGGTACCGCCTTCCCCAGAAGGCTAGTTTGAGCCCGGCCTAGCCTATACGTTATATAGGCAAGTACGTAGCCTAATGCCCTAATAATCTGCCCCCTATTAAAAACGATGCGTCCTCGCGAGTATTTTATTCAGTAAATATATAATTGAAGATAACGTTCCCTTTATTTCTAATTTCTTTAAAATCTTTTTTTCTATAAGCTATACCTCCAAAACTTCCGGCTTTAAATCCTTAGCGGGTAGCTATCTATTAAATTCTTTCCTTATTCCCTCGTATTCTACTAAGTATTTTATACCTATCTTATTTATCCTTTCGGCCGTAATCTTTACTGGTATATCTATACTTCTAATTAGTATTAACGTTAGGAATATTCGTCCATACGGGTCTATCTAGGCTAATTCCAAATAGTCGACGCTAATAACTTTATATATTTTCCAATTGTTAGAAAAATTTAACTTATACATTAATCGACTGATCTTTTCTATAATTCTAAATAGATTTATATATTTAGGATTATATTCATTACCGAATATTACGGTTCATAGAATAGTATAACCTTTATAAAATTGTAAATATATAAATTAACTAACTTCGAAAAATTTAGCTAAGTAGTTACAGTTAAAATAGTATTTTATAGTTATTATTATAATCGACAATACATTATAGGTTTCGATTCGGGCTATTAGGAGGTCTAATATTAAGGGTAGTTTATTAACGACAACGTTAAATATTCCTACTAATTAAAATCCTTTAACGATTTCGTTCGGTAATAATCTAATAATATTAATTCCATTATTATTATATTCGAATTACAATCTTGCTAAAATTCAGTTTATTTCTTCGGGTTATGTAATACTTAAATATAGTATTTTAATACCGATTTAATTATTTAAATTAAATATTTTAATTATCCGTCTATTAAAAATTTATTCGTAGTAATATAAATTAATCGAGTTTTCAAATATTATTAAATCGCCTTCTATATTCCTATAAGGAATTTAAGATCTTTATTTATTAAAATCTATTTTGGAAATTCGTAATTTCTAATAAAAAGCGTTACAATTAAAACTTTCCCCTATTATAGCGCGGTCTATATAAACTTGCCTAGGATTACTAATATTTCTTTATTAAATTTATAAACGCTAACGAAACCTACGTTAAATCCTTCCGGGTTTAATAAAGGTAATCCGAATATAAAATTTATTGTAATAAAGTAATACGGATATAATAAACCGATTAAGGGCTAAAGATTTCTATAAAATTTATATTTATAAATATTATTCGCTTTATATTTCGGGTAATTACGTATAAATTCTTTTAAAGTTTTTTATCCCCTAATCTATATAAAAATTACGTAAGTAGGATATAATTTAATTATATCCAATATAATTATCGCTGTAAATAGCCTCTATAATATTGTATAAATTATTATGTAGGATAATAAATTTATAATCGTCGATTTAAATTTTCTAAAGGAGCCCGTCATAGATAATAAATAATAAGTCTACTTTATAAAATTCTAATATATTGTTACGTTTTATTATTTAGTAAATTATTTTCTGAGTCGGGTCTTTAAGGTAATCCTTTATTAATTATTCTTTAAATTCGACGCTTATATTAATAAGTACTACTCCTATCGATATTCTATTCGGGAAAATTTCGTTAATAGGGAATTCGTCGAAAGTGTTAATCCTAAGTAGAAGCGTTTATTATAATACTGGCTTTACGTTCCTTGATTAATTTATTTATAGGGCTTAATATTCCTCTACGTCGTTAAGTAATACGTCTAGTCCCCCTAATTTCTCTAAATCCGTAATAGTATTATTAAAATCGAACTTCGAAAATACATTAGGGATAATATAATAAATTCCCGGTTTATAAAGAATTTAAACATTAAATAGGTTAATAAATTCGAATAATCAAACTAAACGTTTATTTAAAGCGCTAGTTGTGGTAATATTCGCAATATCGACTTATTTTGCTATATTGAGTACGGCGGAATAGTTTATAAAGTAATACATTCCGGCTCTAGTGACGTTAATTTAGTATCTAATTTTAGAAATAGTTTAAATGAAATTTAATACCTTCATTTCTATTATTTAATAACGTTTTTTAATTTATAATAGGGTCTTTAGTAGAAAGGCTATAGGTTATATTATTATACGTAGAAAGTACTTAGTAATTTTACTATAAATAATTAGCTTTTATAATATTACTTCTTTAATATAATATACTTTAACGCTGATACCTTTAATGTAAATATTATAATCGAAGTAAAATAGATAGTTAGGGTTGAAGTAGTACAAGCGTTTAAAATTAATTAATACTACTTTAAGTACTTCGAAAGATACTTCTTCTTCTTTCGATAAGAGGGCGTATATAATAGCGGCCGATTATACTTTCCGGTTTCCGGATCCGGGCTTCCGTTTATATACTTTTAGTAAATCTATTTTACGAATTTATAGAAGGTCGATAATAATACTATAATTTAATATATAGTAGCATTAATAACTAGTTTAACCTATTAATATTTCTAGGTCCCTTAAGGTTTTAGGAAACTTTAACTTAACTATTGCGTCCAATTTCTCCTATACTATAATTAATCCGAAGGAGTCAACCATTTACCCCAAAACGACTACCGACGGGAATAGGGCGAATGATTTCGAAAGTCCGATAAATATATTTTTAGCCCTTAACCTAATCAAGATTTTTTAGAATTATTACTTATAGTCCTCGATAGTTACTAAAATAATAATAATATTGTTATAATAATTCTAAGCAATAGTACCGTTTAAAAAATATTTATTTGATATCAAATATATACGTTTAAATTTTTATAACTTATAATTACAATATTATAAATAAATTGGCCTTCGGGTATTACAATAATAAAAACCCATTGGCTTTAGGGGTAAACTCTCTATTAACAGTAGAAAAAAATTATATTTAAAACGGTAATAAATCTTATATTGGCGATTAATCCCAAAATATCGTCTTATTACTATATTAAATAAGAATCGGGAAGTATATTGTAGTTTAAAATTCTAATATCGACTACTATACGGCCTTTACGACCGTTTTTAATTTATTACTATACAATAAAAATTAAAAAAGAAAATGGGACTTAGTATTATGTCATAATAACTTTTCTTAACTCGAATATTTTTATAACGTTTAATAAATAACTTCCTTATTATTAACCTTAAATAGAAATACGTATAAATATTTAGGAATATTATTTTCCTAGCCGGGCTTTATTTCTACTTTTATCTATTGGTTTTTTTAATAAATTAATATATCTTTTATTTCAAAAGACGTTTTCGAACTTATCGAAAAGTTTAACAATTCGACGTAAAGCTTCTAGATTTTAATTATATATTATTACTCCTATCCAATATTTTACAATGTCGTCTATTTTTAGGTCGGAGTCGTTAAAAGTTCTTCGATTCCTCACTATTCCATTTATCGCTAAATATATAGCTTCGTTTATCCTTCTAGATTCGACGTAATAAATATATAAATTTAAAATTATAGAACATAAATAGCCGATTTTAGCGCCTTTATATATAGAAACGGTTCCCTAAATTTTATTAATAACGAAAATATATTAATAAGAGGCGTTTATCATTTATACGTACGTAATTAAATTCTAAGTTCCTATAGGGATAAATAATAAATTTTACCCAGCGTTTAACGACGTTAAACTATATAGATACATAATAGTATTATAATATAATTAATTAAAATAACATTTATATAAATATAGTAATTCCTATCTCTCGTCGTTCTGACGGGGATAGAAATATTTTTATAAAAGTCGATAACGGCTCTATTCTCTTTTAAAAGAATATTAAACCTTTTTAAGATTAAATAATCTATACTAAATAATATATTAATTTATAAATTGTTAACGATTATTATTTTTCTTGTAAAGGTCGTTATCGCCTAACTACCATTTAACGTCGTACTTTTAAAATATATTAGTAAAATAATGTAATTAGATGTAATATATTTACTATCGCTAATACTTCAAACCGTAATCGGCGTCGCCCGAATCCGAATTTCGATATTAGGGTAATATGTTTTTAAAATTAGCTTATCTATTAATATTAAATCGCAACCTATATTTCCGTGAATATTACATTTAACCGTTTTTTAGGCTTTGGAGTAATTTATAGATATATATATATATAAGAACGAAAACTAAAACCTATACTGATCGAAGGCCTACTATCGACCGTTAACTGAATAATTTTTATTTCCTTTTAAGAAGGAAGGTAGGCTCCTATAACGCCTACTCCTCGTTAATTAGAGCCTTCCGCTAACTTAGGTTTAGTATTATCGGGTTATTATTTTTTATTTAAAATTAATTTATTATATTTATAATCTTTATTCCGTAGTAAATTTAAATTATCCTAATAATTTTTATTTTATTTTTACAATAATTAAATTACGGGCATTTAAAATAAATATTATAAATATATTTTATATATTAAGTCCAATTAAGGAAATTTTTTAAATAATAATAATATCTCTCAAATATCGCTACTAATATAAATCCGGTAAAAATATTTTTTTACTAATTTAATTACTATTATTCGTCTAAAGATATAAAGTAGGAGGGGTCGATAAGGTAATTAAGGTTAAGGAAATCTCCTATATATTAATAATCCTCCGCGTTTATATTATATACCTAAATTTCATTTCTCGGATTTTCGTTAACCGTAAAAAATTAACAAAATAAATCGACGTCATTAAGACCGTAGTAAATTAATTATTATTTTATAATTTTAAGCGCTGTAATTAATATTAGTAAACGGCGATTCTCTAGGACTAGGTTAATTTAATTCCGGTTTCCCTATTAATTATTCTAATTCTAATATTAATTACCTTATTAATTCTAATAACCTTAATTTTATAAGTAATTCGATGGACAATTTTAATTTTAATTCTAATATAAACCTTAAATCGGATTTTAGTATTCTTAATTATAATATAAACTTTAAATCTAATTCTAATATCCCTAATTCTAATTTACACTACTTCGATTCTAATTATAAGAATTGGACCTATTATTCTAATAACCAATTTGCTCCTAATTTAATACCTAATAGTTAAGAGTTAATATTCGATTGTAATACTATTAAAATACTTATCCCCTAATCATACTCTCTCTCTCTCTCTCTCTAAATTCTTTTATTATTAAATTAACGGTTAATTCCGAATTACGCTTTATTAAATTTAATTAGATATTAGGGTTAAAGGCTTCGAAGACGGCTATTAATTAACCGAGTAAATCGAAATTATGACCTTTAGCACTACGAACAGTAATTTACATAAAAGCCTAAATATCTTTACGATTAAATATATCCTAGAATATAAATTTAATTTTCTTAATTTCAACCAATACTATTAAATAATTAGGGTTAAATTTATCTTTTAATTTTATATAAATAATATTAATAAAAACCGTCTCTAATAGTAAACGGTCAGCTTTAGAAAAAATATAATTATATTACATTAAGGCGAGGCTTAAAAGGCACTAAATCTAAATGCGGCGGACTTAAATTTTGCCATCGTTTCCGAAATTACGGGTTGAATATTTTAACCTATTAATAAAGGCGTAAACATTTATATACTTAATTATCTTTCTATTGAATTAAACTCTATTAATAGAAATTGTAAATAAATTAAAATAAATAATATTTAATACTTTAATACTGTAGCCGGATAATAAAGAAGGATTTTAATTATAATTTTAGCGATTATTTTATTTTAAAGGCAATAATCTCCACCTAAATTAGGTTTCTAATTATCCTAATATCTCCGTCGTTAGTATTTTTAATTTCTTAATTTTGAAACTTTTAATATTTAACTTCCCGACGATATTAAATTTCTTAAAATTCAATTTAATAACGAATTTCCTCAAATTAAACTTAATAATGTTAATTACATTATTCAAATTCAAATCGGCGACGAACTTTACAAATTTAATTCGGTAATATTATTCTTCCTCGAATTTAATTTAATAATATTATTCTATAAATTAAATTTATCGCTTACATTCGGCCTAATGCTAATCTTCTTTAAATTGGGCTTACCGACGGTATTTAACTTCCTTAAATCGAATTTAATATTCTACTTCTTCAAATCGAACCTAATATTCGGCTTTAAATTTAACTTAACGGCGTTTTTCTACTTTAAATTATTAAAATTCGGTTATTAAACGTACTACGTAATCGATAATAGTCTCTTATTATTCCTTATACTATTAATTTATTTCTTATTTTTCGAACTATTCCCGAACTTATTTTTAATATCATTTAAATTTATTAAGGAAGTTTACCGGCGTTAAAGAACGATTGTTACAGTGTAAATTCGGTTTCTTGCTAATTAATAGGGATAGATGGAATTTTCTTAAATCAGGAATTTCCTCAGAATTAATTCTAGGCCTAAAAATCTAAAATAATTCATTAAAAAGAAATTGAAATTAATATTATTACTAATTTTGGAAAATCCAATTCGGTAAAAAGGGGAACTATCTATAATATCCGACCTAACTATTCCGAAATTCCAAAGGATAAAATTTTAAAGGTAAATTAGTAAAAAGGTCAAACTATTATTCAATAAATTAATTTACTAAAATACCTTATATCCCTAACTATTCTTCTATTATAATTCGTATAAGAACGCCCTATTTAATCTACTTCCGCCAATTACTCAAAAAACCAAGAAACGAATTTTTGTTAGTACTCCAATTAACTAAGTATCTTTCTTCATTAACGGGGACAACGTCTTCTAATTCGAAAGTAGGCTTAAGAAATTTAACGAAATCGAAATCTTCTTCTATAAGCAAAGCAAACTAAGGTTATTCATTAAAATAGAATCTAAAGATCTAGCGGGCTCGTAAATATCTATCGGTTATCTAGCTAAACTTAAAATAAATCAATAGTATTGATTTCCTTTAAATTTAAACTTAGAAACAATTAATAATATTAATTTATTTACAATAGAATATAAAATGATATATTTAATATAACGTAAAAGTCCGCATTTATTTAACATAAGTATTAAGCAGGGTTTTTTTCCTAATAGCTCGACTAATACTTCGTTACCAAAGAGGGCTAATAAAAATACCTTACGGAATCAAAAGAAGAAAAATAAAAATCGATCAATCTAATTCTCGATAATAACTTCGTTCTACACATTCGATATATAATATCATACTACTCTATAAAGGTATAGATAGCTATATACAATATATATTAGTTAATAATAATCTAAGCTAAGAACTAGCCAAGAATCTCGCTCGGGGATACAAAGTATCCTCCCAGTATTTAATCCACTGGATACCGCCTTCCCCAGAAGGCTGGCTTGAGCCCGGCCTGGCTTGAGCCCGGCTTGGCCTATGCGTCACACAGGCAGGTGCGTAGCGCAGTGCCCTGACAGGTTCATCCCGACGGACGCTTACTGCCGGTGGTCAATGCCCGTGGGGAACCCCTGAACGCCCAGAACAATTGGCCCACCATTCATTATCCACCACTACCGTGCCATCGCGGGGTTTGTTAGCCGTCCGATGACGACGACCTGGAGCAACAGGGTATCATCACGAACCTCCAATTTCCACGTGTTCTCAGCCCCTCACTTCAATACGACATGATTGCTCCTCCAGTTCATCTGATCGTCTTTGATGTTTTGACCCAGAAAGAGATGTCATTCACCACATCTTCGCTCCCGTCACTAACACGGTTGCTGGTCACGACATAGGGACACAAACACTAACACGCAAAAACACCGCCACGCCGTCGTCAAACACCAAGAAGGGAACACAATGCCGACCTCCATCAAACGCGAAGGTCTCACCATCGACGACGTAGGCCGACTAGTCCGCCGCACCGTCCTCAACCCCTACCTCACCCTGCCCATCGCCGCCGCCATCGCCTGGTTCGAGAAGCACCCGGAGCACTACCGGGACCTGCACCTCCACAAGCTGATCGACCCGTCCAAGCTCGCTGACATCGGCCGCTACCTGACGGGCATCGGTGTCGCCGGCGCCACCCTCGCCGCCAACGACCAGCTCACCCATCTGTTCGCCAACAACTTCACCTCCCCCGGCCACGGCGAGTGGGACTGGGACAAGGAGATCGTCCTGGTTACCGGAGGCAGCAGTGGCATCGGGCAGAATGTCGTTCAGGGATTGTTGGAGCGGAATCCGCGGACGACGGTGGTTATTGTCGACTACGCTCCGCTGAGCTGGACGCCGCCAACGGGGGCCAAGATCCATTACTACCAGGCTGACCTTACCAAGTCGGACCTTATCCGGTCTATCGCCGCCCGGGTCCGGGAGGAGGTCGGACATCCAACGGTGTTAATCAACAGCGCCGGAACCGCCCGTGGCTCCACCATCATGGAGGGCTCCTACGGCGATGTCGAGTCGACGCTCCGCACGAACCTGACGGCGCCGTTCCTGCTCACCAAGGAGTTCCTCCCGGAGATGGTGAGGAATAATCACGGACACATTGTCAACATGTGTTCTATAAGCGCCTACATCCCGCCGCCGTACATTGGCGATTATGCGGCTTCCAAGGCTGGTCTTCAGATGTTGCATGAGGTATGTGATGAACTGAGCGCCATTTGTCGCCTGTCCTGTCAATATCCGCCCATACCTAGGTGATGCAAGGTACTACATACCTAACTAACCCGACCTGCTTCCACAAATCCACAGTCTCTCCAGCTGGAGCTCAAGCATGTTCACAAGGCCAAGCGAGTCAGACTCACTTTGGCTATTCCTAGCTTCATCCAGACGCCGTTGCTGGGAGGCTCGCATCCAGGACAGAATAACTTTATCTTTCCGTTGTTGCATGTCAGGACGGTGAGCGAAGAGATTGTTGATAGCTTGTATAGCGGTTATGGCCGCACTATCTATCTTCCGGGGATTATGCGATATCTCGCTTCATTGGTAAGCTTTCGTTCGGAGCCGTTCATGACCAGTGCAAGACCGAAGCTGATACTGACTCTTTTTGTTGCAGAGAGGAGGTCCCGAGTGGGTGCTGCGGATGGTTAAGGAACCGACTTACAAGATTGCGCTTAACTTCGCAGGGCGTCAGGTTGTTGATGTCGACGAGAGTGGAGGTATAAAGCTCGAGGATCGTGAGGCTTAGTTAGAGCCATTCGTCGAGGTTCGATGATTCCAGGCGAAGTGGAATCTTTTCACTGGAGAAAACTATCGTTGTGCTTGACGCCCACAGGCAAACATTCTGCAAGACGGCGGCGGTGTTGGACCATTTGGCAGTCCTACAGTGGGTAACACAAATAAACGCACAACTTGGGAATTTCCCCGCAAACAACACCAAAAAGTCACCTTCGTCACTCCTCGATTTGACCTCCTTACTATATCCTAAACTAAATGCACTTCCTCGAGGTTAGAGTCTTTAATACCTTTTAATATCAAAGAGACTCTTGAGTAATTTTGGTCATTAGTGGTGGTAAAAGAGTGGTGTTTATCCGAGGGTAAGGTTGGCAAATCGGTTATAGCGAGCTTGTAGGGGCTTACAGTGGATGAGAAATCTAGCTCTCCTTGAAGTACCTAGTTTATTACCTCCCCCCTCGGGGATTCTTAAATAAAAGAATAAACGGAAAAGTAGACTTTACTGGTAGAGTAAGATACTCTAGACGTTGAAATTCACAGATTATTGGAAGATGGGTGGTGTTGTTGTTTCGAGACTTGAAAAGTACGAGTTTTGCGGGGAAATGACCAGTTGTGCGTTTTTAAATGCCACCCACTGTACGTGTCCAGTGCATTACCATTCGTATCCCGCTTCCTTCTTCTTCAAAACCCATCGCCATCTGACCAAGATAAACCCGCGCAGGAATGGTAACATATTCCTCGGACTTTCTAAACAGAAAAGAACCCAGTATACATAGCCACGCTCGGTACCAAAAGATCACCAAGTTGCTTCAGTTCCTGGCAAACTCCCGCTGCTCCATTCACATTTCACGATGCCACAGCGGGGGATGCCCTGTCACGGGGTGTCTGCTTATTTCCGATGTTCGCTTCTTCCATTCCCGTCGTCCACTTCCCCTGTTCTTTCACTTCTCCTGCCCAGTCGGGCTCGCCTGTCTAGGCTAGACTTGGTAGATCCCCCACAATGACAGGGCGTCCTAGTCTCACCCAGCGGAGTTTTCGCTCGATTAGCGGGACAAGGAGAGACATCACCCCCTCGCCCGGTCGGTCGCTGCCCGGCGTGCGGAGAATTACCTACTACGCCTTTTTGGTCCAAGGGCGCATGTACTCCAGCTGTGTTCCCAAGCACGGCAGACTCGTGGCTCGTCGTATAAACTTGGTCTTGTCTCTCGCGAGATAACCACTTTGTTTCCCGCTTGTCCTGTTCTCTGTTGGGATTTTCCCGTACTGTCGGGGGCTTTTGACTTTCTCACTGTCCTTTTTTTCTCTTGAACATCTCCCCCAGATCATCCCAGATCCTATTATCCCTCCGTCAAGTGCCATCAACATCCGGATATCCACCATGGCTTCCCACACCGAAGAAGACCCCGTCTTCTCCTACTCCCAATTCGCCTGCATCGGCACCGGCTTCTCCGCCATCGGCCTCGGCGCCACCCTGCAGCGCTGGTACGGCATCACCGACATCCGCTTCTTCGACAAGCAGTCCCAGCTCGGCGGCACCTGGCACGTGAACCAATACCCGGGCTGCGCCTGCGACGTGCCCTCGGCGCTCTACTCGCTCTCGTTCGAGTGCAACCCCAACTGGACGCGCGTGCTGCCCACCTACACCGAGCTGTGGGAGTACCTCAACCGCGTGGCGCGCAAGTATGACCTGGTCGAGAAGATGACGTTCGACGCCGCGGTGGAGCGGTGCGTCTGGATCGAGGAGAAGGGAAGGTGGAGGATGTGGATTAGGCAGAAGAATACGGGGCAGGTGATTGTGCATGAGTGTCAGTTTTTGTATAGTGGTGTTGGACTCTTTGATCAGCCGAGGGAGCTGGGGATCCCAGGAGCGGAAAGCTTCGAAGGACCGATGTTTCACTCGGCGAGGTGGCGGCATGATGTCGATCTGACGGGGAAGAAGGTGGTGGTGTTCGGCAACGGGTGCACGGGGGCGCAGATTGTGCCGGCCATCGTGGACAAGACGGCGAGCTTGACGCAGGTGGTACGGTCCAAGCATTGGGTGTATCCGGCGATCGACGAGAAGGTGCCGTTCTGGCTGATGTTTACGCTGGCAAATGTCCCGGGCACGATGCAGATCCAGCGGTTCTTGACGTTCGTCAATGCGGAGCTGGAATACATTGGGTTTAGGGATGGAAAGATTGCCAAGGCGTGGCGCAAGAAGAGGCAAAGGCAGGTGGAGGCGTACATGCGGGCGACGGCGCCGGAGAGGTATCACGACCTGTTGATCCCGGACTTTGAGGTCGGCTGCAAGAGGAGGATATTCGACTCCGGGTACTTGGAGAGCCTGCATAATGAGCATCTGAGGCTGACGGATGAGCCGGTGGAGGAGATATTGTCGAATGGACTGAGGATGAAGAGCGGTGAGATCGTGGAGGCCGATGTCATTGTCATGGCCAATGGCTTCAAGACCAATCAATTATTCCTCGACTGCGAGATTGTCGGCCGTGGGGGAGAGACGATCCACGAACATTGGAAATCGTTTGGCGGTGTTGAGGCGTATAACTGTGAAAGTCTCAGCGGTTTTCCCAACTTTTTCCTGCTGGGAGGTAAGTTTTCCCTTCTAAACCTCTTGACTGTCTCGTCAGCGGTACATACTGACATTCCCCCTCCAGGTCCCAACACAGCAACAGGCCACACCTCATTCCTCATCGCCTCCGAAAACGCCATCAACTACTCCCTGCGAATCATCGAGCCGCTCCTCAAAGGCAAGGGAAGCGTGGCCGAAGTGAAGCGCGAAGCAGAAGAGAAATACGTCCAATGGGTGCACGGCGCCCTACAGGACACCGTTTTCTCCACCGGATGCACCAGCTGGTACAACCGTGCCGTGGATGGCAGGAAACCGTGGAACGCGGCGGCCTACCCGTGGTCCCAAGCCCACTATTGGTACTCTTGTTTGTTTCCGTCGTGGAAGGATTGGCGGTTCAGTGTAAGTTTTTGCGTTTGCTTTGCTTTGCTGTTAACGTTGTCACCTTGCCCATCCTACGGGAGGAGGCTTGTTGAAAGATTACACAGACGAATGTTGCCTGTCGAACACTGACTGACATGTGTTTGACAACCACAGGGCCAAACGGGAAAGAACAAGATTGTCAAACAGAGCCATACCTTCAGCCGCCTGTTGACTCTCACGGCTTTCACTCTAGGGGTGGTGTTTTGGTCAAGGAGAAATCCCAATTCGGTGCTTGCTTCGTTGCTTGCGAAGCCTTCGACTATTTTGCCATGGCTGGCAGGGGCCGCGGTTCAGTACGGCACTGAGGCCTTTGCGATGATAAAGGGAGCTTGGAGGTGGGAGAAGTAGCTGCTTGAAGTGGAAGCCGACCAGATCCACTTGGTTGCACGAAAAACACATCATTGATGGCCAATTGGAATCATGTTGGATAGTATTGCACCATACAGTCATTCAGGAAGGAACCACAGATTTGGAAAGTGCTACTCACGATTGAACATGATTTTTGATCCGGGCCAGTCACGCCATGAAACGGGAAAGAACAGCCCAAAAAGCACCTTCTCATGCAGCCCTCCTTGCCCTACGCACTGCCAAGTTGAAGCACCTCAGTGCAGATACCGATACATGGACTGCATCAATCAGCCTTTGCTTCCAAATCAACCCACAATTACTTCCCGTGCATGCTGCACCCGAATATATGCACCCAACCCACCTCAACATTCACCTGCCACATGCCATTTTATCACGATCCCCATTATTACGACCCATCACTTCCTATCCCTTGAGGTTCCTGTTCTTGTGCGCCGCCTCCATCATCGCATCGCGCAACTCCCCTGCCTCCTCATATCCCCCCGGCTCGCGAGCGATTCCGTAAGAACGCATGAACCCATGCATTCCTCCCCAAGGCTTCACATATTCATAGTTGGACATTGAAGGACCGTCCTCGTCATTGCCCTCGGCCTGGTCCTGGTCACGGTCCGCATTTTGAACAAGATCGGAGCTTGTGCGGTCGTCGTGGTCATTGTCGTTGTTGCTGGATATGTGGGATGGTGTTAGTGATAGGGGTTGACGATGGTGCCCTGTGGTTAGGCGATGCGGCAGGATGTGACAGAATGTTATGGGGATAGGGGTGATGACGATGATGATGATGCGGTAGGACTTGTACTCGCCCTTCAGCATTGCTGCAGTTGTCATTGCCGACCTCCTCGACCTCCGCATATCCCGTGGTTTCTGCATCGACCTCCTCGGCATACCCAGCTGTCCCTACGTCTTCATCGTCGCCGCCGCCATTGTCACTGGATATGTAGCTTTGTGTTAGTATCAGGAGTTGACGATGGCTTGGCAAGGATATGTGAACGGGGTGTTGTAGGGATGAGGGTGATGATGATGTTGTAGTAGATGTAGAGGTACTCACCCTTCAGCATTTCTGTAGTTGTCATCATTGACCTCCTCAACCTCCGCATACCCCGTTGTTCCTACGTCTTGTTCGTCGCAGTCGCCTCGGTCGCCGGTGTAGTCTTCACACGGGCCGTCATCGTAACCTCCGTCGCCGGCATAGTCATCATACGGGCCATCATCGTAACTTCCGTCGTCGACATAGTCATCATCCCAGCCGTCGTCAGACATTGTGGTAGAGGGATGCGAGAGGTGAGGGATGTGCTCTTGGATACAATCTTGGGGTGGCTGTATAGGACTTGGATGGTGGTTTTGATGGAAAAAGTGGTGGTTGGTCGGGAGAAAGGAAGAAGAGCTTGGGATGGTCCAAGAACCGAATTCTAAATACCCCTCCTCTGCTCCTCTTTATGCGCATATGGTACCTTCCCAGACTTTTGCACCGCTTGTAGCTTCCTGGAACGAAGAGACATGAATATTAAACGAGGTAACCTATGCAGATCAACTTTCACCTGCCACATGCGGATATGCTACCATCACGTCCTATCACTTCCTACCACCACCATCATCATTCCTCTCCGCCGCCTCCCTCATTGTGTCCACCATTTCATTTGCCTCTTGATATCCCTCCGGCGTCCGATCGATCCCGTAAGAGTCCATGAACCCTCCCGTTCCTCCCCAAGGCTTGGCATATTCGTAGTTGGACATCGAACCCGCGCCGCGCTCCTCACGGTCCTCGCCACTGTCCTCATCTTAATCAGAGTCGGAGGTGGAGCTTCTGCAGTCCTCGAAAGTGTCTTCGTCCTCGACCTCGTCGTCTCTGGTTATGTGACATAGTATTAGTGGCAGTACTTGACGATGGTTCCTTGTGGGTAGGAGAAATGAACAGGGTGTTATGAGTATGAGGGTGATAAGGAAGTTGATGATGTTGATAGTGTAGTACTCACGCTTCGGCATCACTGCAATCATCATCTCCGTCCTCCTCTTCAACGTCCTCTTCTTCTTGGTCTCCGCCGTCGTCATCATCATACGGATCGTCATCATCTTCTACGTCGTCGCTACTGTAGTCATCATCCCAGTCGTCGTCAGACATTGTGGAGCAGCATTGGTAGAGGGATGTGAGAGGTGAGGAATGTGCTCTTGGAGACGATCTCTGGGTGGCTGTATAAGCCTTCGAAGCCTGGATGTTGGTTGTGTGTAGGTAGCGATGATCGTTTTGTAAAAAAGATAATAGTTGACGAATGAGGAAATAAGTGGTTTGACAGCACACGGATTTCAGTCTGGACTCTGGGTTGTTGAACCATACGGAGGTTATCACGTGAAGCGACGATGTGTTGGTGAGAGTGTTGACTGATTGCTTGAAGAGAGAGAAGGACAAGAGTGGAGGACGACGTTCGACTATATATAGCCGTTTGTGGACTGTGGATCGTATCCACCAGTGTGCCGAGGATGCCAAGAGCTGGTGATGGCTTCAACATGGTTACATAGATACCCCTCCTTGCTATGCGCGCATCGTCCATACTAATGCATATGCCGGAGGCCCGAGAAACTACTTCCTTGCACACGTTCACCAATAGCTGAGGGCTGCAACAAACACAACAGCCAACGGCCAACGACAGCATCAATCAAATCACTTTGAGTCAAGCACATTGGGAAGCTTTCACGGTTATTTGGTCCGACATACATTTGTATTCTATGAAGCAATTATTGTTCGTATGCGTTTGAATAGCGTTGAATGGCGGGACAGGGCCTGTTTTTCGACGAGTGCTACACAATGCGAGCCAACGCTACATGATCCTGCGTCTGGGAATTGTGTGAGTGATAAAGGCGTTCATGTCGGCAATGGGGACGGCACTGATACCATAATTATTTATCTGAACACCATGCTTCTTGACCTGGTTGTGCTTCCACCATCACCTCGGTCTTTTCTGCTTCCACCGTCACAGGAGCCCTCATTCTTCCTCTCCTCTTCGCGGCCCTCCGCCTTCTCCGCTCCTCCTCTTCTCCCTCCTTCTCGCCCGGCGAGCGTCATCGTTCAAAGGTGGAATCCAATCGTCAAAGTCCTGGACGGGTCGCTTTTAACGAACGAAACGTCAACCTCCCCATGGTCGTACTCGTCTTCCTCTTCGGCAACAGGCTCAGGAGATAGTCTTCCCCTCTTGACATGGTGCTCGGCACTCGGAACCTCGCCTCTGTGAATCTTTGTGGTTCGCTCAACATTGTCCTCGCCATCGCTAATGGGATCGTCTTGCGACTCTTTTTCTTGAACTTGGCAGATCCTTGAGCAGTGGATTGTACTTCAGGGCGTTCGAACTTGAGGTTGGGTGACTCGTGCGCAGCGGGGGAGTTAACGGGCAACTCATGGTCGGGTTCGGGTTGTTGCTCCTTATCCTCGACCTGGGCGAGGAGGGAATCTGTCCCCACAAGGGGATTTCCAAGTATCGCGGGCGTGGTGGCTTGGCCCGCTGAAGCTGTGGTCGTCGTTGTCGTTGTTGTAGGCGCCGCTGCCGGCGCTTGGCCCCTTTCCGGGGCTTGCGTAACCGGCCCCGAAACGCGGGCACCGGAGGGGGTGGAATTTGTGGCTGTCTGTTCACATATATTACATTCAGCCGGTTTTCTTGGTGATGTGGATAGTAGGCAGAAAAATTGGGGAGTACTTACCGAGGGAGGAAGCGAATGTTGATGCCCATTCTGGGCTTGCTGCTTGCGGGCCATTGTGTCTTGATTTGGCCAGTTCAGGCTCAAAGTTCTCTAAGAGGCTGTCGTCCGTCCGGAGCCCAAAGTGAGCGTTGTTATCTAGTGGTCCATTAGTAGACGCTGCTACTGGTGATTTTTCTTTGCGGTTGTTGGTCGTAAACGGAGACTAGAGCTCATTACTGAAGCTCTAGCCCATCCGGCAGTGCGAGTTGTGGTGTCTGTAACCTTATGTCCAGCCGCACCAGCAAGCTGCACATCCGCGAATCACTCGCGTTGCTTGCCGTTCTCCGGTTCAAAGGCACCAATGAATTCGGGAATCTTTGCCCTCAGGATTTCCACCCCAGGGCCGAAGCCGCCACATCGCCGCGTAAAAACTCCAAGAACTATCACCACCCTCGTAGTGTTGCGCTTCTCCTCGAGAGTTAACCACGAGGTGAGAGGCAACACACCTCCCTCCAATACCTTCACACCAGTCGTTATTACTAAATATATCTGAGTAATAGACGGGCGGCTCTACCGATAGCGTCTAAAGCAATCGGTATAGGAGATAAGTTGCGTAAGAGTATTGATTACCTCTTAACTGGCATAGAGAACATAGGGTACCAGAGGAGTTTGGTTGTTCTTGGGTAATTGTTCCTCAATCACCTCTTTGGCCCAAGCCAACCTGGAAAATACAATTGCAATTTGGGGCGAGTGCCGGAGCAGCCGGGGCGGAACCTGAAGGACGCAATGAGGAGGCGTTCGCGCTCTCGTAGGCGGCAGCGTATTAGGGGTCGTAATAGTCGGAATTGTAGTAAGGGTGGACACGGGAGGGGATGCTGGAGGAGCTGCGGTTGGCCTCCAAGTCTTTGTAGTCATCACGGGGATTGCCGGATCTCTTGACGTTGTGTCCTCTCAAATGCTGTCGAGCTGCCCAATGGTTTGGGCGCCTGACAGACGGCCCGATCTCGCCAGCTTCCGATTGAGAAGGCGCTGGAGCAAACGTTGTAGAAGCAGTTACCACAGTAGGTGACTCTGCCCTATCACCACATATAACACAGCACTCGTCTCTTGTGAAAAAAGTCCCGGGGACCTGACTTTTCCTCGTGGATTTGGCCGGAGACGGGAATAACCTGGAAACAATGCAGGAGCCGGTCAATAGAGCCGGACCGCACTGACTCCGGCGGCGCTGGCTGCTGGTAGATTGGTGAGGGTAACCATGGCGATAGGAACATTCTGCGGGACTCTGTTTGAGTTGCTGCCGGTTAAATGGTCGGCCGGAGGGTTGAAAAACTTGTTTTGCAGGCCGTATTCCACAGCAGCGCCGTTGATGAAGTTGCCAGAGTGCGACGGGAATCATCAGCATTTTCGCCGGGTGTGGTGGCCAATGCGCCCTTGGCCTCGAACAAAGTCACACTGAAACGTCTAGGGCGGAAGATGTTAACAACCTGCTCAATGACTTCAGCTGTCTGCCGTCCGTTCTGGCCTCCGGGAACGTTGGTTGCGAAGGAGGCAAAAGAGCACTGAGGCTCAGGGGTGACGTGGACCGTGAAGTAGTGGCCGCACACGGCCTTGGCCGCGGAACCTGGAAGCAAATATGGATTTACTAGATGAGGAATGGGAGTAATGGGAGTCATCCAGCTGGAAGGAGGAAATCTTAGAGCTGGTTCTAGCCCCAGTCCTGCGTAGCTTGGAACAGGACCGAGCGTGGATGAGATCCCGTAAGCTTGTTGAGCTGCCACCTTCATCTCTAGTCCCAGCTCGTAAAGTCTGTCCGCTGTATATAATTCTTCGGGCGTGAGACTTGGGAGGCAAAGAACGGGTAAGAAATTGTCGTAAAAACCGAGTACAGGATCACTGTCCCCGGCCGGGCTTGGAAAAGCCATTGGAGACTGTTGAGAGTACTGTCGGCGCCCGCGACAGCGGGCACAACACCATTGGCGGAAAAGCCGCAAGGGGAGAACTGGTACGCGTCGATGCGAGCCGCCCTCGTAGATGTGGCCGCTGTCGTCGCTCAACCCAGGTATCTACGCCGTGATTAAACACCGCTACTTGGCAATGTTCGATGGGCGGCGTAAGGAGTTCGGTTATCATGTCCCCGAACCCCCTGGTCTCCTCTTCCAAGCGGCCGATAAGGAGTGCAAAAGAGACTGGCAGAAATTTGAGACGATTGAAGGTCGACAGAATGCGTCTGAACTCCACGGCTTCGCGGGCTCGAGCCGGGTTGGGCTGGTCGAGGCCAACCCATCTAACATTGATGTACACTGTTCACGTTCGGAACCGTTAGCCATGCATCGCCGTCAGGTTCAGGATGTCCACTGTCAATGGGAATCATTAGCTTACCCATATGAAGCCCTCCTGGCTTTCCAGCATGTGTAGTCATGACACTCCGACTTGAAGAAGAGCACCAGCTCTTGGATCCGGGTCGGCATCTGGTTTTCGTCGTCATTTGGGACGGCTTTCTTGGCCGTTGGCGGCCAAACCACAGGCCTTTGTTTGACGGTGCGGACTCGTCTTCTCGGCATTCCTATTTTCATTGGTCTCCAGGAATTCCATCGCCACCTTCACTCCTTTTGGCCTATAAGTAAGTATCGCCATAGCTTTGGCCTCGGTCAACTTTCCATGCTTTTTGCTCGCTTGCGTATGTTCTGGTTTGTCGGTGATAGTGGGAAATGCCTTCGCGAACCGTCGTTCCACACGCCGATTGTCATTTCCCGATAAAATTTTAGCATTTGGGCGTCGTCGATGTTGCCGTCGTTGTTGTTGGCAGGGTCGTTCTGATTGACAGTACCAGCTGCCAACAACTGTTGCTGGTCCTCGGCGGGTTGCTGTTCTGCGGGAGGGGACGGAAGGACAATGAACAGACCTGCGTCCGGGAAAGGCTCGGGAGACGCCCACGGGAAAGGGTGAGAAACAGCACCCTCGAAAGGAAGGCACCTCAATGCCCGCTTCCTTATCCTCCTCCTTGTCAGCTTCCTCCTCGTAAGAAGAATCCGGTTCCGCGTCCGGTAAGCCTCCGCCCCTCAAGCACCCGATATAGTCCGTGTCCTCCGTGTGCTCCGTGTCCTCCGTGTGCTGGGCGTCGTTGGGACCACAACGGCCGGCGAAGGCACCAATGAATCCTGAGTAGCAGCAGCAGCAGCTTCACGCTCCCGCTCCTGCTCCCATTGCTTGCGCAGCTTTGGGAGAGGGTTCCCGTTGATGTCGAGCCGATCGCAAGTCGTTCTCGTTCTGGGACGTCTCTACGGTCTCTGAGGGAACTTGCGGCGGCAGCATCATGGCAGCCTCCAGCGAGGTACTCATTGCCACTTCGACGGAAGGGCGGACATCCGGAGCAGAGGTCCCTTGCCTGGCCTTCTTCCGGGGACGAGGAGCCGGGCATTTTTTGTCATCGCCGCGCTTAAACCGCAGGCGGCGCGAGGGGCGCGAGGGCCGCAAGGGGTGGGGGATGTGTCTTTCGCAGTGTACGTCGCGATGGCGGGTGGGGAGGCGGATGGTGCTTGCTTCTGACTAAAGGGTTTGTTAGTTGATGAGCGAACAGAGTAAGGTCCGTGTGCTCCGTGTGCTCCGTGTGCTCCGTGTTCTTTTTATCCTTCATGCTCTTCTTGCACTGTTCTTCTCTCACCCTCATCATAAGCAGGTAAGAGGGGTCATTTCTCTCTCGCAAAAGCTCCAAATACATGGCGTGTCCCTCCTCAGCGTCCCCGCCGAGGTCGGGGTACACGTCGTCGTTGCTAGGAGAAGAGGCCTGAGAGGAAGGGAGCGAGCCGTACCCGGAATCTGAGTCCGAGTGATGGGGGGAGGAGGGAGACGAGGTAGACGAGGTTTGGGGGAGCGATGGTCCGTCATCAGTCAAATCGATGATGTGTCCTTCCTCGGGAATAGGAAGCTTCTGCTCCTCCTCGGCCGCAAATCGAAAGAACCTGGAGAGGGTGCAAGGCCCTGCCCTCAAATGCCCTGCGCTTCCTGTTCCACACGGATCGTCGTCAAGACTGAGACGTGCGGGCCGTTCAAGCTCTGTACTAAAGCGAATGTTGGGACCGCCACCGTTGTGTAGGCGAGAACCATTTCGATGTAGAGGATCATGGCGCTGGCGGACTTGTAGAAGGGAAAACGTGACCGCAATAACAGAACGAGAACAAGGTCGTCGACCTCAAGGCCAAGATTATGCAGGCCTCGCCCGCCATAGTGACATCCTTGTAGGGACGCCGTTTTGCAAATGCAAAACAATGCCCCTGACGCGGGGGAAGCTCGGGTTTCTCGCTCTCGAGACAGCAGAGGATGCCGCGCATAATGGGATGTCGTCTTATGTCTGAAGTCCAAAAAGTGTTAGCCGTTGAACTGGAGGCAATGGAATGGGAGACGTACTCTGTATCATTTTGATACATCCCCAAAAGGAATGATGGCTGCATCGCCATCAAGGGGATCAGCTGAAGAACAAACATGGATGTTTTCATCCGGATCCAACGACTTGGAAAGCGGCAGGTGAGTCAAAATGGAACATCATGTCGTGGTGAGACATCCATGCGCGATATGATGGGACCAGGACTGTGTATGCATATTCTGCATTGGCGATGGAGTGTACAACATCCTCCTTGTCTCTGTGGACAAGAGACGGGCCGAATAGTTGAAGTGAAGACGTCGGATGTGTTTCGAGGAGTCGAAGAAGAATCCCGTGGATCATGGAGATGATGGGGACGGGAGTCGATCACCGAAGTCTGATCATCTCTGCTGTTGTTGAGGTGTGGCTGACTGTCGAAGTGGATTTGGACTGTTGAGTAGTCCAACCGTCGTGGCTATGCGGGAACGCAGTGTTTGCCGGTCGTGTGAGGGAAAAAAGCAATCGCTGGTGGGATAAGTTGGATCAAGACATGATGACATAGGTGTATGATGGTAGATATCAAAGATGATGGCTAAGATGGCTGTGTATGATGGAGAGAGAAGAGAAAAACGAAACATTCTGCGAGGGGGGAGGCCAGTCCTTTATACCTCAGTCCAGCGGGACTCGCCTCCCACCAAAGCTCGTCATCACAGCAGTGCTTGCATCGCCGCTGGAAGAGGACGGACATTGTGGTTACCGGAAGACCGCAGCCCAAATGGAAGGTAGTGTACGAACTTGCTTGAAATGTAACATGTGCTTCCCTCCACTCACTGTCGATCAGTTGGTAGGGTAAGACTTGGGCTGTAGTTGTTCCGTTGTCACCACCAATATCGACGATCCTGGTAGTAAGGGGAACCGCTGGCCCCGGCTGGTGCTGCATCATGATGAGCGGGAGAAGGTTGTACCATGGCCGAAGCAGAGTGATAGCTACTGCCATATCCTCGGCTTTCTCGATCTCTCAGTGCGGTCATGATTGCCTGTGACTCTTCATACCCATTGGGTTCGGGTTTCAAGCCATAGGAAGCCATGAAGTTGTGCCTTCCGCCCCACGCTTGCAAGTATTCATAGTCGGACATGTGCTTCCCCCCGTACCCATTGCGGTGGGACGTTGCAGCGTTTGAAGGTGGATAGTGGGTTTCGAGCCTGTTAATTGTCGGCAACTGTTAGAGTGATGTGGCTCCTTCTTAACCAGCACTTGAGGAATTGGCAAGTTCTGATGTGTGAGTCCAAGTGGAACCTACCTGTATCCGGCACTATGGTTTCGTAGAGACTGTTCTTCGTAATTCCATGTGCCAGGACCATGGTAGTTGCCATTGTAATGAACGCCGCTGCTTCTTGATGAAGGGCGATGGCTGTAGGATCCGCCGTGACTTTGGGAATCAACCATCAAACCACGCGGTGCAGATGATGGTTGGCTCGCGCCACGGGCAGACGGAGCATATTGAGACGGAGAGTACGACGCAGGATAGTCGTCGTGGTCTTGAACATAGCTGGGACCACCGGAGATGACTCCATAGGAAAGAGCTTGGTCGTGATCACTTTGGTAGCCATCGTCCGAATGAGCATACTCAGCATAACCGGTGTGATCCTCATGGCCACCACCATCGACAGCGCTACCATGGTCATGGCCACCTTCCACCTCCTCAATAACGGCAAAACCCGTGTATTCCACTGCTACTGCATCCTCGCCAGCATCATGGCTGTCATGATCATGGGCTCCATGATCCTCATATCCACCGTGATCGTAGTCGCCATAATCGTACCCTCCGTCGTCATACCCTCCGTCGTCATACCCTCCATCGTCATATCCGCCATCGTAGTCATCATAGTCGTCGTAGCCGTAATCATCGTCGTAGTCGGACATGTTGGACAGTTGGGAAAGCGGGGAAGGCAAGCTGGGCAGTGCTTTGACCGGAATTGGGCAGGTAAAATTGGAAGAGTCGGGCAGAAGGTGGAAGTCGTGGAGGGAAGTCCAAGAGAATGTAGCAGATGCAGACCTGCGGGCCTTTTGTTGTAGAAGCAAGAGACCTCAAGTACAGCCCGGTGGAGGAGGGGAAGGCGTGAGCAAACGCGGAGAGGGGAACGAAATGTGGAAAGTGGGTCCTACCGGGCCTCCTGCAGCGGAAGGTGGGCCCATCTTAACTGGAAGGCGCTGTAAGCCCACTGTAACTTCAGCGCTAATTTCGATGCCCCTGTGCCCTGGTTAATCGAACCTGACCGGGCTTTTCTGGCTGCCATGTCGAGAAATCCCCTCACAAAACATGATAAGAACACAATCAAGATGACAAAGCTGCACCTCACAGAACTCTGGGAATTGAGCTTGTAGTAGCACGATCTATATTATCACTGAAAGCCGGATATGATGCTAAATGAGCGAGTGTCCTCGGTGAGTGTTCTAGGTTGCCTGTTTGACCTCGGGGCTTGCATGGGGCAGTTGGCAGGGGCAGGTGCAGCGGGCATGTTTTCCTGCAAGCTCCTGTGGCACCCGCGTTTTAGGCGTCTGCACCTCCCAAACAGCGCACTGGAACTGGATGCTCGGGCCTTCTTCACCAAGCCTCTGGCTCCAAGACTCAGGTTCCCAAGTTTCCGTCCCGTTGACACCTTCATCCCTTCCCAAGGCAAGACGGCTCTACCTTCCTCTACCTGGTACTTAAGGTCTGTGTTGGCAAGGTACAGTCACCAGACCACCGTGGGGAAGTTTGGCTCAGTCGGCAGATGGGGCGCCACATCTTTCTGGCTGACCACTTCCTTAGTAGAACCGGTTCGTTCGAATCTGCCCGGGTGCGGCTTCAACAACTTTTTTGTCACTCTTTTACCCTCTCATTTTTTTACACAGTGTTTTCTGCTGATAAACGACGCATATACCGCGACTCTATTCCACAGCTGGGGAGTTACGGACGTGGTTCATGAGGAAAAGGGGTTTGTTGATGTACCTGGCTGTCTCGGTCCCTTTATCCCGGCGATCACTCCCCCATTCCTCCTCATTATGTGTCGCCACTCGGTACTTCTCCTCAGAGGCAGAGGCGACGGTATCTGGGTTACTGGTAGGAAGAAAGCTGGTTAATTTCTCGAAGCTCCATCATTGAAGACCAAAAAAGCCGCCAAGTTTACCCCCATCCATTGCCTTGACTATTATCATCAGGACTTCCATCATACCCTGTCGTCTTCTCTCCATTTGAGCTTATTTCCTCCGATTCCTCGTCGACAACCTTTGAACACTTTGCTCGGTAGTAGTTCCTATTCCACGCATTCTCAGTGTCAGATATGAGTCCCTTATCAAAAGTACCAGGCATTTTTGGTATGTAAGATACCTCCAATCATGCTCAAGCTGTCTATCTCGACCACAGGCACCGCAGATTGTCGTCTTGGGCGTGCTGTACAGACGCTGCCCCTGGTCAGAAGTAGTATCGTTGCCCCTGGGGCTTCTCAACCTATTCAAGCCCTCCAAGCCGTACACCGCCGTGCGGAACCATCCCTGGTCATTACTGCTACCATCGTCGTGGTTTCCAGATTGTTGTTCCGCATCTTGATCCCCTTCGCGAGCTCCCCATCCTTGCTGGCTCGAATAGCTACCACTACCAGTGCCACTGGCCTCAGCATGAGGACTGGTAATTGCCCCTGTGTCCGTGTCCGACAGTTTCACCGTGAAGTGGAGGTCCTCTTGGATACTAGAGGTATCACCAGAACCACCACCACCACCATCACCATTATCATGGGCAGCCCAGGGGCGTCCACACCGGCTACAAGACCCAGGACCACCACGCACCCCAGCAACGCCACCCTCACCTCTACTCACACTCTCATACCGCGCCTCAATGCCACCGGTCGCACCACCACCCCGCCAATGACTTTCCCCTTCTCCTTCATTTCCATCTCTTCCACCTGCCTCTCCCCCACCTCCACCTCCACCTCTCGATCCACTCCTAGACCTTTCCTCCCCCTCAGTCCCCTCAGTCCCAGACCCTTCCACCTCCCCCCCGGCCACCCCCTCGCCCTCAAAATCCCGTTGATCTTCCACCCCTTCCAACCAACTCCCTACCTCTAGCATACTTGACGTCCAAGTCTCCATGCCCCTGTCCGGTCTCCTTAACCTCTCGTTTGCCCCGGCCATGTTGGCGGTTTCGCGCTGAGGATAAGAGGTAGGAGGGTAGATGGGGCTAGGGCTAGGGGGGCGGGAGCGGGAGCGGGAGTAGGAAGGAGAATCTGGGACGGCGATTCTTAGGGTTCTCTGACTGGGGGAGGGAGAGGGAGCAGAAGGAGAGCTTGTGGAAGCTGGATGGGAGGGGTGTGGATGGTATGGGTAGGAGGTCATGATTGATATTGGCCTTTCTCCTTGCTCTGGGAATTTGAGGGTCCTTGTCTTGTGTTGTTGTGGTGATGTGCTTGAAAAGTCGTGTGTCTTGGTGTCTAAGGTCTGCTTGCGTGATGTCCCTGATGAGTAGGTAGAACTTGGTGTTTCCGTGGACCTTCTGGTCGTGGGTAACGTGGGAGTGTGCTGCTTGGGCCTTACTTATTTCTTTCTGAGCTTGAGAAGAAGACCTGTATAGGTGGTGACAATCCAAAGGTTGCATCAATATCTCCCAGTTCCATTCATGTAGAAAACGACCCTCAAATGCAGTCAAGAGTCTCTTGTCACGAAGCATGTAAAGATGAAGTTCTTTCTTTAGACCTAACTCTAAGCACCACTATCTCAATGCCTTACACAAATAAGCTTTCCTTCGGCCCTAAAGAAGATGCTGGCAGGATAATGATGTTCTACGTCCTTGTAACCTGGAGCCACTTCCATGCATTTCGTCCCTCATCCTTCAACGTCCCTTGACCAATTGCATCTTGGTAAAGTGAGCTCCGTGTTCTGAAGAGTCTTCCAAGATCTTTTCAGCCCAAATAACGGTATATTCCGTATTCTTGTTCATTACCAAACACGACCATGAATTCCCGGATGTTGCCGAAGCCTTCGTTTGAGTCAAAGCTTGACAGCTGCTCCCACTGCTTGGAGTCGGTGTTGACTGTTGTCCGCTCGTTGACCTTCGCTAGCTTGGCAGCTAGGCCGTAGATGGTGGGCTGGATGTTCGCTTGAGCGAGAAAGAGGTTGACGCGGCGGGATCTACTGCTCTTCGGCAACCGGAACGATTGTGACGGCAGGCTCGTCCTTCAGTGTGTCGGCGCCGGCCCCAGCTGCAGTAGCGTACGGACTGACGTAGAGGCCACTGTTCGGAATCGTGTAGGCGTTAGTGACAAGCTGAGATTGATGATCCTTGAAGAGATGGTAATCATGGAACATACCTCAAGTTCTCGTATATAAATTCGCGAACATCCTTGTGTAGTACGTTGCAAGCGCGTGTGGCGCGCCAACACGGCCCATCCGGCCTGTCGTACAATGGCATTGCTTCCATAGGGACCCATCCACACAGGTTGTTCGTTACGTCCTTCTCCACCTTGGGCATGCTCTTCAAGGCCTCAATGATGCTGCGATAGGTATTTTCGGCCGGAACTCCACCGGTTCCATGGAGTAGGTCCAGCCAGTCGCGACGTTTCCAAAGGTCAACGATCTCGACGGGAACAGAGGGCCCTATGAAGGCGCCTGCAACGTTGCTCCGCGCGCATCTGTAGCGGGCATACCAGCTTAAGCTCCACGAGTCTTCAAAGAGGCGTTCGATCTCGGTATTGTCGGCTTGGGAACTCATGTTTGGATGCAGGTGGATTGAAGATCTGGGCGAAAACAGGCTGATTAGGTTAGAGCTTGCCAGGCACACCGTCACGAAGGAGAAAGCGGAGGGAACTGAGGAAAAAAAGAGGAAAACACATTACCGTTGTTTGAGTCTTGTAGTCGTGTCAATGCGTGGTTGTGTCCTTAGATATGCGTCGATGAACACAAGCAACCAAAATCTTGGAGGAAATGCGAGTAGTTGTGATGTTGTTGGGGAAAAGTGCTGAAGGTTCGTTAGCAGAAATATGAGAGCAAAAGACTGGAACGGTTGTTGCCGCGCCGAGAAGACAATTGACGCTTTTTCGTTATGTCCGAGATAGGCACCACTCGAACATGCAGGTGCAACGGCAGCCAAGGAAATCACTGACATTTCATGACGGGGCATTCTTGCCACCTCCAAAAAGAACTATTGGGGTCCAGTGCTGCTGCATTTACCCATATCATGGCAAGTGTATCGCTCCTTTACCGAGGTGCTCCCCTTGCAGCCCCAGATCTTGTCCTCTTGTTCCCAGCGCTGGAAATAAGTCAAATATGATAATAAATACAAGCAAATATAAATAAACAAGCAAACAAATCGGCATGTCGAAATATTTGACCCAAATAAATCCGATGTCGATATTTGCTTGTCGATTTGACCGCCTTTCTTGGCACCGCGGCAGACTGTTTTTAGGCGATAAAAGTGTTCATTTTGCCCGCGGACCCAACTTCGCAAGAGGGACCCGGGTCAGGGTTAGGGCTGGGTTGGGACTTTTAGTCTCGGCGGATATTTGCAAATATTTGCAAGCAACTCAACTCAACTCAAATCTCTACCCTGATTTGACACACTCAATCAAATCCAGATCGATATTTGAGTTGAGTTGGCTTATTTCCAGCGCTGCTTGTTCCTTCTCCCCCTCAACAACCAACTCCCAGGATGGCCACCTCCTTTCCTACAAACAAATGTCACCGTGTCAGGTTGCACTGGTCAGGTTTATGGGGAACGTGGGTTTCCATTGGCTTCTAATCCTCCTACACCACGCAGGCGAGCTCGTCTTAGACGTCAAGCACAATCCCCAAGCTCTAACCATTATCATTCTCCTGTTTGGAAACTACGTCCATGACCAAAGAAGATGTTCCATGTCAAAGGAATGAATGCTCAGACCCATCACAACTCTCTTGCGACCTTGGCTCAGGCCCTGTCGCAATGATCGGCTCTTACCGATTCCTCCAGAAAGCACCGACCCATCTGGCAGAATCCTTCAAAATGAAGTTACTCCTCCTTAGGGTCAACCTGGGGATGAGACTCCTCCTTGAAGTCAACCTGGGGATGAGTAAAAACAGCACCCTGTTTGCGCAACGCAGTGATCAGTTGACCAGCTCGCAAGACGGCATCGGTATCGTTGGGGTCGATGCCAAAAGCCAACATGAAGCCAGCCAATCCGCCCCAGAGCTTGACGTAGTCCAAGTCGGAGACTGCTGTGAAAGGCTCCATACCGTACGGAAACTTGGGGAGCTTTGCCCTGTTTTGCATTGGATCAGTAAAGTCCATGTAGGACAACTTGGGTACGGTGATGTGTTGTAAGACGTTCAAGGACCTACAATTGTCTGTACTCTTCGGTGGGGAAGAATGTATCCAAATCCTTATGGTCGCGCTTTTGTGCGCGTGATTCAGCCCAGCGCACGCCCATGGTATGTTCGATCAAGACATTTCCATCGACACGGCCGCAGAGTTGGTTCGTGGCCTCTCGCTCGGATTCTGGCATGAGGTACAGGCGTTCAAGGATGGTAAACCTGTTGCATTCATCCCAGTCTCGGTTTTGCCAAGCACAAAGGTCCTCCTCGGCGTGATCCTCCAACGTTCCATCACGCTTGCGCAGCGACAAGGCATAGCGAGCCCACCAGTTCTTCTCCCACTCCACTCTGAACCTGCGGTGGATGTCGACTCTCTCCTCTTTTGTGGCCATCTTGACGGATTGAGGTGGGCTAAAAGTGAGAGAGAGGTCAGAAATCAGTATGATGTGGACAAATCAAGAGCTACACTCGGCGCACGCCTAAAGACTCTCCATGTGCGCCCAAGATCGTAATCATCGATTTGCACATTCCGCCTTTAACGCTCTACAGCAGGGAGCGAAATTCCCCTGAATCATGCACTTGCGTTACTTCTTAGGAGATGGAATTCGGGCCAAAAGACGATCGAGATTACAACTCATCAGATCCACTTGGAAGGAAAACCAACTAAGTGCCTGCAAGTATCTCTACAATCACAAACTTCCATCCTTAAAACGAGAATGATAAAAGCGATCTTTCAGATCCACTTAGGAGGAAAACCAACTATGTACCGGGGTATACTTGAGGGCGTACATGGGGAGTTATGGGGAGTGCGCCGAGTGTAGCATCGTATCAAGGAAAAGGCAATACATACCGAGCTCTGATAGCGCTTTAATATCAGAAGTCAAGAAGGCGCTTTGGCAAGCCTGGCTGCAGCGAGCCAACGAGAACAAGGTTTCGCTGTTATCGAGTGTGAAGCTGGTTTGCCGATACTTTTGGGCTGGGAGTTGTTGTTTGGGGGAGAAAACTTTCGCGAGAGACGCGGAGCGTTGAGGCCTTGAGGGGCGGGGTAAAATACCCAGAAGGCAAACAATACTCAGTCGCGTTGCCGGCCGGTGTCCAATCGTATGTGGACAACTTTGGATGAAATGTAAAATCCTGCAGAGGTTTAAGTGCAGTATACGAACACTGTTGTCTGTCACCGGGAGCTGCTGGTAATTGCAAGGGCTTATTGTCCAACTTTGTACTCTAAGCCAACGGAACCTGGTCACTGGAAATTGTCCATAATAAAGTCCTCAAGATTCGGGTCCCAGTTCAAGAGAGAACCGCCAGCCATTCCATATTCTGGAGCGCCGCCAGGAGGCTGCCAGAAGGGATTGCTTCCCAGATCTAGCGGAGCATTGAGCTGATATCCTTGTCCGAATGGATGGGACCTAGGCCCTGATGTCGAGCCTGTGTTTGGGACGGAAGTTTCGTTGATAGCTGAAGATGTTGATCCTCTTTCGGTCATCGAAGATTCTCCGCCAGTTTTATCTACACCCGCATTCGTTAACCCTCTTGTAAGAACCAACATTGCAGACCACATACCTGATAGTCGGGAAACCATATTCCCATGAAACTTTCGCAAGTGTTCTAGAGATGTGTGCGCAGAGATGCTAAACGAAGCAAAGTGCCCTAGAACCTCTTGACATAAGGCCCAGGACCGGTCGAGGCGTTGTTGTTCCGATGCTGACGATGGTGCCGGACAAAGTTGTCCCAAAATAACAACTATCCCGGCTGTGAAGGCATCTGTTTGCTTGCGTGAGCATTCGGGACACAAGCATACACAGTAGTGGATCGAAACCTACAAAGTGCATCCCAACACCATCCGCCAGTTGTATTCGTCCGGTAGGTACTATGTACCAACTCAAGCAAATCGATGGCTGCCGTTATGCAGATTCTGGCACACTCGGCAGCGAACGAAATATAAAGGGCCCGTCTGACGTTAGGCAAATTTTTCTTTGTCGGGGAGCTAGAGTCACTGGTCGAGTTCGACACGGTATCCATGCATAACTGTAACAGAATAGGGCGATGAAGCATCAGGCGTAGGTAGAGAAAGCTTAGAATTAGGTTAGGACTTGCAACACAACATGAGGAATATGAGACTTACTTTCCATGGAGCACAGTCCGCTGGGTGACAATAACTTGTCTTCTCTCCAGTTCCACCACCATGAGGTCGGTCGGCGTGCTCCAGGACATGATGGGATTCACGGATCTCTCATATCGTGAAAGCTTCTCGTCGAGCGCGAGGATGGCATCGAGGCCGTGGGTAGCTTGATCACTACTCGATGGGTCCTGTAAATTGGTTGGCCGGCCTAAAGGTGACTGGTAGACGGTGGACAGAATCTCTCCCATGATGTGGCATTGCTGGATATGTTCGAGGTAGAAGTACATCTTTGACGGCACACTATCCGACGAAGGGCTATTCTGGCGGTCAGGCTCTCCGTCGTCAAGTTCGGCAATGGACGGTAATGCCAGCGCATCAAGATGAGCAGTCATGGTGGGCCTCCCGTAGGTCATGCTGACGGTCCTGTTGCAGAGGCAGTCCGCAGTTAGTCCTTTATTCACAACCCATGTTACCAGAGAGGGAAATTACTTACAAGTCCAAGATGACACAGCCATGCCATGTCCTCCTCCGTATCTCCTTCTCCAGGTCGGACCGGATAATACGAGTCGACTGACTCGCCTCTGTGTGGAGTCCAAGCCCCTGAGCAAGTCGGCAGGCTACACCAACGGAGTTCCAACATCTCTGAGGAAAGGGTGTGCCTAACAAGAATATGGTCATAAGTAACAGGGCTTGGACAACCCCAATGTTGTTGAGGTCAAGCAGATCGAGACTGACGAACGCCTTTGCTCGGTCAAAATAGGTCTGTAGCGCGGAAGCCTTGCCATCGGGACTGAGATCAGAGAACTGGCAACCTAAAGCAAAGATGGTGTTGAGAGCGAAATGAAACACAATAGTGCTGGCATCCGCTCCCGGAGAACTCCCAAGGCCAAGACCGGGAGGGGATAGTGGCTCAGTAGGATGCCCATGGTTGGGTCTCCACAGACTCTCGTACGTTCGCTCAAAGGAGGGCTTATGGAAGACGGGATACAACCAGTATACCCTCTCAAAGTAGCGCTTGAGGAGATGGTCGGCCAGAGCCCGTGTAGGTAATGCAAACTTGTCGGCCTGGGCGAACTGCATGCGTGTGGAAATGCCCAAATCACCTTTGCAATGGAGGGAATTGTAAGTCGCAAAGTGTGGCATCTGTGTCGGTAGGACATCGATATCTGGAATGCGATGTGTGGGGTTCTTCTTGACGAAGTTGCTAGCTTCCTTCATGAAAGAGGCAGCCGAGGAACTGCCATAGAAATCGTCGGTGGCGTCAAATGTATGGCTAGCATCTTTTTCGGTAGAGACGGCTCCCATAGCTGTTATTGCGCCAACCAGTTCAGATGCTCCCTCAAGCCGTTCGGCTGGTGAAAGAACGGGCATGTGGCGCGGAGGTGGTGGTGGTGGTGGTGGTGGTGGTGAAATGGCTGCCGGACCCGGACCCCGACTCGGTGCTCGGTGATCGCGCCCGTGACTGGGACCGGGATCATTCAGTGATGGACGGATCGCACTTTGGTGTTGGGATTCCGGATGAGAAGGAGCGGCAACAATGATGGACTGTTCAAAGAGAGAGGGAGATGGCCGCTGGGGGGAATCCAACTGACCTGAACCAGTAGCGGATCGCGGTGTGGGGCTGGATGTTATCGGGGGAGTCGGGATCCCGTTCTCCACACAGAGGCGCTCCAGTTGACGGATCCTCTCATGGAGGGTTTTGATGTATACTTCATTGCTGGCTGTACGCGCATTCTCGATGGTGTAGATGCAGTGTGCCAGAGGCAAAGACCGACGTTGGCAGGTCGAGCAGATCGGCTTCCCTCCGTCGCAGCGAGACTTTCGTTCGCGGCAAGGCTCACAGGCCAGCGGGATCTTTCGCCGTCGCAGCTTTTCATTGCGCCCATCTCCTGGCATTTTGTGTAAACTTACTAGTAGACCTTTGTGGCTCCCGCCCTCTGATCATGTTCTCGGCGATGGGGCCGGAGGTCGAAGGGCCGGGGTCGCCGGGGTCGGGAAGGTGCCATGAGGTGAAGTCAAAAGTGGATCCTGCCAAGAATGCCAACTTTGCGGAGGCTGCCCGCCCATCCACGCGTGTCGCCAACGGCTCTGCAGCTGGAAACCGATAAAATGAACGGCTTCAGCCTAATATGTCTCCATTCTATATCCAGCTCCCCAACTTATGATATCAGTCAAAAGAATCGTCTTTAGAAAATTCCTTTCCCTCATCTTTGCCGACGCAATGTCGAATTGTGATCCAGGAAGCGTGGGATGCACCCGCCGCTGTGCACAGGCCGTGCACAGACCAGATGCCGAGACCATTCTTGTGCTGCTTTCCGCTGCAGCAGCACATTTGGGTCCCAACCTTCCTCCATCAACCAACTATAAATCAAGGTGTCCTCCAGCCATTTGACTTTTTTCCATTCCAGGTCTCCTTCCATTTTGGTCGTACAAAACGGGTCGATGCATGTAATTGACCCATGACATGGTCTAGAACCTCATTGCGATGGGAACCCACGCTATGAATGCTTGCCGGGATCGGGCTATTAGGGGCAGCTGCAGCTGTAATGACGGAAGAGTGCGCGACGATCACCTTTTCACATCCTGTTTGTTCTTTCCTGCGTTAATGAGCATGGAGACGCTTTCATCGACCTCCTTCCTTTTTCCACGACTGCCGACTGGTTCATCGCGACTGCACCTCTACGATGCAACGCCCTCACTTGATTGCGACCTTGAAAATACCACTACAGGGACCATTTTCCTTCAGCATTAACCAGCCTCAACAACTCAACAAACTCACGGTGTACAACAGAAGACTGGAACCGCAAAAGACCCAGACACCGCTCCGGAAAAGATATCTGCTCGCAGTACCACAAACAGTTAACGATGGTCGTACACTGCTCTCCCTGTCCACTCAGCTGAACTCTGACTGTTGGCGCAGTAATTTTCCATTTTCCGTAATTACCGCCATTTCAATGGTTCGTGCACCAGTCCGTGCACCCAGCGCCCAGAGCCAGGCACGCCTGGGCACGAGCGGATCCGACGTTCGGTGCCTGGAAATATGGGTCGCAAAGGAGTGCGCCGTAAGGATGGAAAGAATGGTGTCATCTTTTCATTACCCTGACAGTAATTATGAAAATTACTGGTGACCGTAATTACTGATCGACCTCTAGGCGTAACATTGCCCCAGACTTGGAGCTTCCAAAGTGAGACAAGACCAATCAATATGCAGTGATCCAGGCCTAGCCTATTGATCTGCATCAGGAACAGCGCTTGGTCGTCACCGTGTCACCATTGCAAGTTCGCGACTTTATATAAAAGCTTGTTCCAACTTGGCAACCTTGGCCATCTTCACACTTTTCACACACGACGGAACTTCACATTTCGAAACATGACGTCGAACAATCATGCTTCGAATGCCGACAAGATGGGCGAGAGGCCCTCCACTGAGAAGATGGAGAGGACCGTCTCCGACAGCGAGCACCATCGCAACATGACGAGACGGATATTATGGAAGATAGACACAAGGTAGTTGATTCCGTCCATCATCCATATTCAAGGAGTCATTAACCCACAAAAACACAGAGTCCTGCCTGTCCTTGTCCTCCTCTTCCTCTGCTCTTTCCTCGATCGAGCCAACGTCGGCAACGCCAGGATTATCGGTCTCGAAAAGGATCTTGGCCTCTCCAATACCCAGTATACTCAGGGTCTGGCAGTCTTCTATGCCACATACATTGCAATGTATGCCACTGTCGCTTACAACACAGGCCTGTATTGGTTCATCACTTACACTCCACTAGTGAACTTCCGAGCAACCTGGTCCTCAAAAAGGTCACGCCCAAGATCTGGCTGCCCCTCCTCACCATCATCTGGGGCATTATCACCATGTGTTTAGGATTCGTAAAGAACTTTGGAAGCTTCTTCGGCGTGCGAGCCCTGTTGGGCATCGCCGAGGGCGGCCTCTTTCCAGGCATTGTGCTCTATCTTTCCGGCCTATATACTCGCCAGGAGATGGCGCTGCGAATGGGCATCTTCTACACCGCTGCCTCTTTGTCGGGTGCATTCGGCGGTCTTTTAGCACGGGGGCTCTCTGCTATTGGTCCACGTGGTGGGTTGGAGGGTTGGAGATGGATCTTCATCATCGAAGGGTTGATTGTGAGTTCAACTTCAAGCACCAGTGCAAACTGTGTGAAGAGCGAGACTAACACCTTCATGCTTCCAGACCATACTTGTGGGTATGGTGACTTATCTCCTGCTTCCAACAAGTATAGTCACTGCTCCTTACCTGACCGAGGAGAAGAAGGAATACGCTGCAAGGAGGCTTCAAGGAGACACCGGCGCAGATACCGCGGATAGGTTCAAGTAAGACAGCGGACAGAGTGTATGGGTAGTTAACCTCAGCTAACATGTCTCGTCTTGCAGTCCCGTTTCGGAACGAGAGGAAAAGTTCAAGTGGTCTGAAGTTCGCCGTGGCGTCTTCAACCTCCAAGTTTGGCTAACAGGTTCAGCATATTTTGCCCTTGGGGCTGGGCTCTACAGCTTTGGTCTCTTTGTGGGTTTGCCGCTCTGCGCTTTGCATCTTGAAAAGACCAAGATTACTGACAAGCCCCAGCTCCCAACCATCCTCAACGACCTGAAGATCACATCCAACCCCAACCAGACCCAGCTGTGGTCGGTTATCCCATACGCAGTTGCCACCCCGGTCACAGGTCCGTACTGTCGATATCTTTCGGTTCCTGCCCCTGTCGAACTGACATCTAACACACACGTGCAGTTCTCATTGCCTTTGCCTCTGATCGCCTCAAACTCAGGGGCGTCATGATGCTCTTCACTCTTCCCATTGCCATCATTGGCTACGCCGTTATCGCCAATGTCGCCTCTGCCCAAGTTCGTTTTGCTATGACATGCTTGATGGCAATCGGCATGTACAGCAGCATACCATGCATTCTCGTCTGGAACTCCAACAATTCTGCTGGGCACTACAAGCGAGCTACCAGTTCAGCTTTGCAACTTGCTATTGGAAACGCGGGCGGTTTTGTGGCTAGTAAGTATTGGCATATGTCTTATCTGAGTTCGTCCACTGACCAACGCTCATCTCAGCTTTTGTCTATCCTCCAAAGGATAGACCTTTGTATCACAAGGGGCAGACGATCCTCCTTGGTCTGCTAGTTTATGCTTGGTTTGCGTAAGTGTTGGTTGTGCGGTGGGGTAGAAGAGCACGCTTGCTAACACTTTGCAGGATCCTCGCCAATGTGCTTTGGTGCAACAAGATCAACAAGGACAAAGCCGCTGGGAAGTATGAGAGATACGAAGGCTCTGGGGACGACAGAGATCCAGCTTTCAAGATGATCCCGTAAAGCCCTTTCATGTCACCCCCATGAGTACCAACAACTGAGTAATGCTTGCATTTGCTGGGCTTAGAATGGATAATAGGTATAAGTTTGCCAACAGACCGCGGTCAGTCACAGTCCATTGAATGTGATCTGCAAGGGCAGACGCTTTTCCTGACCGTCATTCCGTTTTACGTTGGACCCTTCGCACACTGTGTTCCCGGCACGACCTGTACCCCTGCCTTCTGTGGACCAACCGGCCGCCCCCTTGTCTGAGATTCAGTGTCGTCTGTCCTTGTAAGCATCCGTTCCCTTCCTTCATAAATACTTCCAACTCCCTAACTTCTTCATCTTCAACACTAGAGCTGTGCAACAACAAGCTATGTGTGCAGAGAATGGACATGTCTGAGACATCTATGTCGCTGATATGCCAGTCAGCCACGACTTGCTCCCCGTTTGTAAATGCGGAGATTGTGTTCAAATGGAAATCACGACGCTACGTGGCCTGCAACGAGATCCCCTTTGAGAGAAGCTCCAACCACGCCACTGGCTATTCCCTCATCACAGTGGTTGCCGCCAAGGATGATGAGCCAATAACCCCTAGTTGGCTCCGGGGCTACCTGAGAATCTTGGATACTTTATGTGATGTCTATTCCAGGGAAGGCTTCCTGGATGGCATCATCATTACTGACCCTGCCAAGGACCATGTTCTTTCAACCGAATCTCTCGATTTCCTCAAGCGAGCCGGGGCTAAATGGGTCGAATTCAAACAGGAGCTGCACCTTGTCGAACACCTCTCCCCTGGCCCATATCTGTACTTCGACGGTGTACTGAGACGAGTTTACCGACTGTATGATGACACACACGGTACCTTTCTTACTGGTCTTAAGCCGAAGCTATCAAAGTAGGTAAAGCCTACCTCTATGCTCGTTGCAGTCGTTGGCATGGCCTAGAATACTGAGTAACCTGCTACCACTCTATAGCTCAGATCAACAGCCCTACTACCAGCTCTCTACCTCCGGAAGTACCTATGGCTCCCTAAGCATAGCCGTTCCGTCGCGAGCACCCGAAGTAGGAAGAATAGCCCCTCCACGCTTACGAGTTGTGGTCAAAGACCTCTTCCAACTCAAAGGCCACAGAACCTCCCTGAACAACAAGAGTTATTGCGATGTCAGCCTACCCTCAAATTCCACCGCTGCAGTTGTTGAGTCTCTGCGCAAAGACGGTGCGCACATTCTCGGCATGACGAAGCTCAGCTCAATGATTGCCCGCGAAGAACCCCTCGATGCTGTTGACTTCCCTACGTGCTTCAACCCGAGGGGTGATGGGTACCAGTCGCCCGCAGGCAGTAGCAGTGGGAGCGCGGCGGCCGTAGCGGCGTACGAGTGGGTGGATGTTGGGATTGGAAGTGACACGAGTGGGAGCGGAAGACGGCCAGCCATGGCAAATGGGGTATGGCAGTTCAGACCGAGTCATAACTTGGTAGACTGCGAGGGAATGATCAAGAGAAAACCTGTCCGCACTCCAAGTCAAACCTACGCGCACTCTAAAACCCCATATAGCAACTATCATATAAATACTATCATTTTATATAGTAATCTAGGGTCTTTTCAATATTCCCACACATCGTCCCGTGCCCGCTAACGTAAAATTCGTAATACTTTTCGTAGTATTATAAATCCCCCATAGAAGTATCGAAGTAATTTGAACCTACTAAACCCGGTACGCATAATTAGCCTAATATAGTCTTAATCCCTAAAATCCTTCTCTTATTTATTTATCCAGTAATATCGATATTTATTCTTTTAAGTTATTTAATACAATAGAGTTCTTTCTATTGCCCGGCAAGTATTACTATACGATCTATAGGTCCTTATTATTCTAATAATTCTTATATCCCTTCCTAAAGTAACTATTTTCGTCCTATAAACTCTCTTTTATCCTCCTCTTCTTACGCCTCTCCTTTCTGTTTAACCACTCAATATTAGTATTAATAATATAAAAGGACCTACCCAACTATAAGTATAGCTTCCTCCTTTAATAAAAGTATAAAAGAGATAGGCTAAACTCCTTCTTAATAATTAGGTATTTGTAAGGACCGTAATAGGTACGGCGCTATTTAATAAAGTACCCCCCCTCTTTGTTTCTAAAATTTACGTTATATAGGGAATACTTATTATTAAAGACGTTATACTCCTCCTTCTCTACCTACTTAGCCGTTTATTTATTAAACTCCTCCTCTAACTATAATTAGGCGAATTACTCCTCTTCTATAAATACCTCCCTAACGTAGTTCTTCTCTATATTATTAGGAAATGGATTATTGCTTAGTTCGTTATCCGTCGTATAGTATAATACGGTACTAAGGAGGTTTTTTTATTAGAATCCCTATATATTATTGAGGACTAGTGCTTCTAATTCGATAATTTAAATAATAAAAAGCTAAGAGGAGAAGGAAGATAATAATAAAGGCGAGGGAAGGATAGGGGACAAAGGTAAATTAAATAGCTCTAAATTTAAATCTTCTAATTTAAATACTTCCTTTAGTTAAATTAAAGTAGGTAGGCTCTAGAAGGCTAAAATTTAATTAATATTAACGAAAATAATACTCTATATATTATCGTCTTTATTAATAAATACCTCTTCCTCCTTATCTTCCTCCTTATCCTCCCGCCTCAACCGCTTCCTATTTACGGGTATTATAATAACACTTACAATAATATCCTCGGCATTTATAACTTCGAAATTAGGTCTAATTAACTCCTATTAGGAATAATAACGGTGTATAAATACCCTAATAAGTATAATATTCTTAAACGTACCATAAGAACTAGGGGGTTAGCTAAATTAAATTTAAGTACGTATATTTACCCTAATTACCCTCCTATATTAAAGAGGCTAGCTTAATTACGACTTACTTTAAATACTTTAAAAGGTACTCTAAAAAGGTTAGCCTTCTTAAAAATTACTTTAAGGAAATCGTATAGTAATAACTTTATAACTAAAGGGACTACCCGTATTACGGAGGCGGCCTTTAAGAATCCCTATAGCCGCAGGTATAAATATAAAATATTTATCGACTACATTCTACGTAAAGAATTAATATAGGATAATATCGGAAGTAAGGGGTAAGAAAGCGCTTATTCGAAATTAATATAAATATTAAAAAGGGTAATATATATCTTTCTCGACTAAAAAGACTTCGTTACTCTATAACTATATCTCTATTTCATACGCACAAAGCAGGCTAAACTACATTCTAAACCGCTATAAATAGAGAAATAGAAGCTTACCCTAATATAAATCCCCTGACCTCTCTAATATAATTAAAAACACTTTATAATACTAACTATTTATTAAATCGAATACCTATACAATTAATTCTAGAGGGTAAATTCCTATCCAACTATAAATAATTTATTTAATACGTATACACAACGAAGAAATAGTAATAATTTCTTTAAAGTAAGTATAGTAATTAGCAACGTACTAGGAATATACTTCAAAAACGTTAGCGAGACTACTACAACTAGAAGTTTAATAAGACTTAAAGGAACTATTATTAAATTCGTTTAGTAATATTATTATTTAACCATAATTAAAATTATCGTTAGTATAGCAATTAACCTACTCCTCTTTACAAAGTATATACTCCTTCTTAAAATAATTAATAATACTTTTCTAGGAAGCGCTAAATTATCTCTAAAAACGGACCTAAGCCTTCTCAAAATCCGTTATAGTTGAAGAATAAACTATATACTACTATATAAAGAATAATATAATACGTATATCGGTATCCTTACGAAATATAAGGGGGAAGTTAATTTTAATTCTAATTATACTATAGACCTTTTTATATATACGAATTAAATATTAACGATTAGCCTTATTATCGGTATCGAAGGTTAAATTATTATTGTTAAATTCTACCTCGTCGTCTTAATTGTTTAATTCGTTAATAGTATTATCACTATTATTATCTTAATCGTCGTCGTTGATATTTTCGTTATCAAATATAGTAAATTAATTACCGCTAGCCTCCTCGTCGTCTCTAACCTCCTTATTATTTCCAATACCCTCTACGGGCGAAGCGGAGCATTTTTAAAGTTTTTTAATATTTTTAACTATATTATAATTAATATACTAAACGTAGTGTTAAAAATTAATTTTAAGGAATCTAGCGCGTAGTACGCTAATAAAAGTATTGTCTCTATTGCTAATAATAATATTAGGGTAACGAATATTGAAAATACTTAACGTTCGTTTAATCTAATTAACGAAGTACGTATATCCTTCCTTCCTTTCGTTATTAAATACTATTTAAAAAATAGGCATAGAAGTATTCTCGGCCGTAATAATAATACCTTATATTAAAGCGAGGTAGTAGTAATTAGTCTTATATGTAGCGTTAAAGGATATAATAAACGGGTTGTATAATTATATCTTACGTTAGGAATTAAATAACTAAAAGGTATTAGAGAATATAATTTTATTTATATCCTCTTAATTAATATTATAATAAATTACCGCTATATTATTTTCTGACGACCGTATAAAATTCTAAATATTAACATATCATTTACGCGATGCTTTCTTTAACTGTATACGTATATTATCAAAATCTTTATACTGAAGAGGGATAGTAGGGAACCGATCTTTAATGGTAGTATATATCGACCGTATAATTAATTCCCTGCTTCTTAATAAACTAGCTACAAATCCCTAAAATTTAGGGTATAAAGCGAGCGTTCTCTTTCTAAGAAAAGATGGCTATTAAAGTATTAAGAAGGTAAGTATCCCTCGTAGCTATAATTATTAATTTTTATAACCTATTTCCAACCAATATGCATTTATCTAGTAATTATAATTCGAAAGGGATACTTACGGGCAACCTTCCTCGATATAGAACGATATTTAAAATTGGGGTTAGGGGTTAAGTAAGGCCAGTAAGCAATATAGTCGCACTAGTAAATATATTAATACGGCTAGTAATATATAGAATATTAGGAGTTATATATTAGATACTTATTACTTCGAAGGATTATAACACCAAATCAACGTCGACGATAGAATTTAATAATATTGCGGCGGACTTCAATTATGGTTACCCTAAGGGAGGAGGCGAGGGTATAGAAGGGATTGTCTAATAATACGCGCTAACTCTCGCGCGAAAAGGAGGCGGCGCTTATAAAAGTCGTATCGCTATCGATTAAATTGTAACGATAACGAAAAGGAAGAGGAAGGTTAAAGGCTATTTATAATCTCTATTAGTACGAATTAATACCTATACCAATTAATTAACGTATATTAACTAGCTAACTTAAAAGAACTAGTACGATTTGCTCGTAATATCGTATTATAGGGTAGTATTAATACGACGTATAAAATCACTCAAAATCGCTAAGTTTGAAAAGGGGTGCACGGCTCGTAAAGACCAGTCAAAAATTTCATGAAATGCATGTCATTATTTCGTGCATTGAAATAGGGTATTTTCACGGCTAAAAGTGGGAATTTTAAATATCAAGTGCTATATATAGCCTATCATAGGCTACCAGGGACCTTAACCCTGGGGTCTTAGAGTGCGCGCAGGTTTGACTTGGAGTGCGGACAGGTTTTCTCATGATCAAGACCTGGCCGGGCTTCGACACGCCTTGCGTATTTGCACGGGACTTTTGGACGTTGGAAAGGGTTCTGGGTTGTTGGATACCTCGTGCCTCAGTGCAAGATTATGGCATGGAAGTGAAGAAGAGTCAACAAAAGCGATACGAAATCCTGTGGCCAGCCGATTACTTCCTCTCCATTACCAACCCCAAACAAATACGGCTTCTTCGCGCCTTCATCGAAGACTTGCGGCTGCGTCTCCCCGCCACCATATTGATGTTTTCTATCCGTGACATCTGGAAACACCACCACCCGCCCGACACTGATCCCAACCTCGACTCATACCTCCAAGACGTCATCACGCGCACCTATTACTACTCCTTCTACCACTCCACCTCTAATTTCCGACAAGCCTACGCAGCAAAACACAACGCCCAAAAGCCCTACGTTATCCCTTTCGTCCAACGCCGCTGGTCTCTCGGGGCAGCTGTCACGAGCGCCGAACACGAGGAAGCTAGCAGACGACTGAACGTTTACAAGAACTGGCTTCACAAAACCCTCTTCACAAACCGTGGTCAGGGCAAAGAAGGTAAAGAAGTTCTAGTGGTCTTGCCTATAGCCAACGTCAAGCCCAACTACCGCGACGAACCAAGTCTGTCACCGGAAACGCAGTCAGCTGTTGACGAGCTTTTCTTGCCGTCAATTCTGGGGGCGCCGGACGTGGTGGTTCCTATTGGAGAGGCGGAGTATCAGTCGAGAGTTACGGGGAGGGGGGAGTACTTGCCTGTTGTTGCGAATGTGGTAGGTGCGCCGGGGAGGGATTACGAGGTGTTGGAGGCGGTGGAGAAGGTGATGAGGAAGAGTGGGCGGGTTATGGAGGTGGCTACTGGGAAGAGGATGTTTCCTGAGGGGGGGAGGGTGGAAGGAGGGTGGGGAGGGGTGTGTTGTTGAGTAACCGATTGGAAGCTCGCTCAAAAGATGGCCAGATGAACAAACTCGAGAAGAGGGGTTAAAAATAAGAGGATAAGAAAGGGGAAAAAAAGTCAAAAACATTGCGGTTTGTGTGGATCGAACACACGACCTTCAGATTTATGAGTGAAGTGGACTTCAGTCTGACGCTCTCCCAACTGAGCTAAACCCGCTTTTGATGTCTGAAGGGCTTCAAAACAACTACTTCTGAGGCAAGCTGCATCGACGCCAACTATTGCACGTAAACAAACCCCTTTTTTACTGTTGCTGTGTCACGAGCGGTTGTTTGTTGGTGCAGGTGTATTACAAGTCATGCTCGAGACCGATGTTTCCACCTGTTTTTTTTGTTTTTTTTTTCCAAATTCTTCATCATTTCAGCACAAGGAAAGAGTTTTAGCATGCTCAACCGATACGTCGACTTCCGCAAATCTTTTCTTCTCTTTTTGCTGAATGGCCTTGGGCTTTGACCAGTGCCAGTGGGTCACCAACCCAGTTCAGGCCACCCGACCGCCAATAACATCAAAGACGGCGCGACTTTTGCACTTGTAAAATCCACCTGAAAGACGGAAGGCACACCCTATCAAACACACATTCTAAGTCGGACGGGTCCTTCCTGTCTCAGCCGGCCAAGATACCTCCTGCCTGATGCAGAGGGAGTGTGGAAATTTGGAGATGTCAAGACGGAAGGAGCTCTCCTGGTCATTCGCTTCTCTGCTTGAAGCCTTGAGTTGAGTGGGCAAAGACTTGCTGTTTCCACCGGTGACGCCAGTAGCGTAGAGGTAGGCAATTGACACAACAACTGGAAATCTCCTAGTTTGACTCAACCAGTTCTCTCGCAAACATCTACAGAACGCCGTCAGAGACCTATAAAAGGGGTCAGGCAGTCTCTCTTCGTTGGCACGCTGTCTCCATGTTGTCAGTACCACACGCATCACTTAACTTGCCTCTCTCCCGTCTGCCGCTATCAAACTGAGATCCGCCCTGCCGTAGGTAGGCACTTGGGAAATACGTCATGTGAGCCTCCAGGACGATGGCAGGAGTGAGTGTGAGTTCTCCTGTACGCAAAACTTGTCATCCCAACTTCAACCTCAACCCCACCTTTTCCCTCCCATCTGCCTCTTCTTTGCTCCTTCCTGCACTGCACGCCAAAAGCTTTGGCTGTTTGTTTCCCTTGCCTGCCGGATCTACTTACCTTTTGGAAGTCCGTTCCATAGCGGCTATCCACTTGGCTCCCTTTCTTCATTTTACGCTGCCTTGGTGCCCGTTAATCTTCTCCTGTTGCCTCATCAGACAAAGTCGCTTTTCCTGTCTTCCGTCTTCTTCGCGCTTCTGTCACCGACACTCTGTTACTCGAGATATCCAAGAGCAAAGCTACCAAGCGACCATCTCCAAGAAAACTACCTCTACCTAACTATCGCGTCAAGTAAGCGGTACGTACGGTATTCGAGGTTCTCAGCACCCATCTCCTAAACATACTTCTAACCTTACATCCCCCAGATTCAGGATCAAAATGTCCTCCACATCCGACAACAGTCATTCTTCGACTGCCGCGTCTGGCGCCGAGATTGAGCCGCCAATGGCGGGAAGCTTCCCACTTGCCGACAGGACCAAAGCCTACATTGAGGAGAAGGGCTTGGGCGACTTCCACGAGATGATGAAGGACATCAAGATACCAGATTTCTACGTTCGTGTTGTCAACAGCTATGTGGAGGACACGGAGAAGGGCCTCGAGCGTGCGGAAAAGAATCTCGATGGCCTGCAGAGAAGACTAGATGCTTCTGACAGGATGATCATTGCTCTTGACAATAAAGTCAAGGCTTTCCAGGGCTTGGTTGACGGTCTTGAGGAGAAGGTAAAGGCGTTCCAGACCTTGGTCGACGGTCAGGCTGCTCTCATCGCCGAGTTGTACCGTGCAGCAGGACTCCGTTAGAGATCTCTTAGGCTAGACTAGTGCCTACCCGTTGTCACTATTCTCTGGGTAGAGTACCTTAGTTCTCCTCCCTGGCAATGGTGGTCCTCGCCATTATTTGGCCCCATCTACTCCGATTAAGATAACATTCACGTTAAAGTCATGGTATCTTCATACTTCTCCAAGTTTGATCTCATCGGCCGAGTACTACATATGACGCTATGCATTGAATAGAAGACACCGCTCTTCCATTGGTTGCTATACATTGTTACTCAAGTATTGGAATGGTTTCTCTCACAACCCCTTCTTATAGTTTGTTACCTTCCCGCCCATCTCCGTCTCTTCATTATTGGGCGAGATCCGTGCACACTACCCTTCACTTTATGTTTGGTTCTCCGCGAACTCATCATGCCCTTGTGTTTACCCCCTTACTCCCTAGACAGTCTGTGACGAAAACCAACATCTCCAAATCATATTTCCTTCTTTGGACCTGAGCCATGACTGAGCACCGGGAGCTAGCCTGAGCAACTGACCGACTATCGGAGAAGCCGGATTTGACGCCCGTCTAAAGTTGCCTCAGTTCCAATAACGTTTAATCGTTTATAATCCTGATACAGGACCCCACTCCGCTAAAGATACGTAACGCAGAAAGTGGACTGGTTTTGGGGCATGTATATTCGCCTTTTTTCGAATTGATGATTGATGGCGTAATAGTGTGACTCAGTCACAGCTTACAAGCAACTTCTGACTCAATCGACTTACTATGGACTGAAAAGTAGGGATTGGAAGCAAAATCGGCTTCAGTCTGCCAAGTAACGACCGAGCTCAGCTCACATGCAGGCTTGCCTAGGGACGCGCTTCCAGATGGGCGTATCTGATCAGCTTCTAGTTATCACATCCGGTTAATTGTGGCCATCCAAAGAACCGGGAATGGGCTACAGGATCAACTGTACTACTGTAGCTAGAGCTTGCCACGTCTTCAATTGGTGGGATTCGAGGTGCCAATACACACCGGCCCTAACTAGAAAGTTTGTTGCCGCAACCGAGATCCGGACCCTTGCATCCATGCCAGGAACATTGTAGCAGTGCATATGTGCCCGATCCTTCAAACACCACGGCTTGTAGGAAGAGCCAGATGGACCACGTGCTCTAGCAGAGGCGGCAGTCATGCAAGGGGCGCTGTAGACGAGGTGTGCACCACGAGCAGCCTAATGCAAGATAACCGTTGTCAAACGCGCATTAGTCTAGTGATAGGGCTCTGACGGAGAATACAAACGGTGGCTACTTTGAGGGGAAACCCTCCCCGCACCCTGTCGTTTCCTACACGTACCCTGTGTCCTAAGGCCCCCGGACTGGACCTGGTAGAACTTGTTGCATGTGCTAGTGATATTGGGCATCTGAGGCGAAGGGCCCGTAGGCGAGACCGGGGTGGTCGGCAGAGTGGTCGCCTTGGTTGTAGTGGGTGGCGTGGTTGAGGTAGCGGCCTTGGTCGTGGTGCTGGCGGTCTTGGTCGTAGTGGGAGCGCCTGTGGACACGGTGCCGATGACACAGTACTCCGTGCCGGCGATCAGGTTGCCCGGGCAAGAGACACCGGGGTTGAGCTTCGCAAAGGCGGCCTCGGTGATACCCCACGCGGCGGCAAAGGATGCGCAAGTGTCGCTATTGTTGGTGGCAGTAGCGAAGTCGCAGGACACGCTCTGGCGGGCCTGGAGGACATGTGCCGCGACCAGCTGGGGGACGACGCCCAGCATCAGAAGAGAAGCGAAGCCCATTGTGCCGTGGCTGCGAAGGTATTACAGAGAAGATGCGACAAGAGCAATGCGAAGGAGCAAGGGCAAACGACGAAGACGAGGGCAGAGGCCGGCGTGAACAAACAACAATGGACGGGGTAGCTTGGTCCGCATCAGAGTCATTTATACTGCTCCGTGGCATCTCCTCACGACACCTGCTGCATCATGTATGTGGCATCGAGAGCCCAGATGTCGTCCGCCATGTGTCGATGGCGACAGACATGGCATCTGTAGGGTATCCTCGCCGTGAAGGATTTCAAGCCAACGTTGGTCCCCTTTGAGGATACCTAGACGTGACGTTAATATTGAATTATTAACAAGGTGCTGCAAGGACATGGGCAAGGACTGGGATGGTTTCTGCTGCCCTCGGAGGAACGGCGCTGGCGACAGTGCATTAGGAAGCGGAGAGGAAGTAAGCACAGCAGCCGGAGGTTGGCGAACCGAGTCCGTTGGGAGATCAAGTGGCTGGGACTCTAGCATCTAACCGACATCTGGGTAGAATGCTACCTTAGAATCTGACAAGAAGCCTGCGAAGTTGAAGGTGACGGGGTCAGGCACGACCTACATAGTAGTTCGAATCCATGTGAGACTACCCACGTGCCGAGAGCTACGCCGTGATTGGATCCCGCTGCGGCTCAAGGAGATGGGGGGGGGGACAGTATGACAGGAGGGCGCGGGCCGGCGGGATCCCGCATTTATCCGCATTTAGCTAAACTTGACTTCGCTTGGTGTTGGACCCTGCCCATAACTTTATTTCCTTCCAGGTTACGAATGCTACAATACTACATCGTTCCAACTTCGCATTTTCATTGAGTTTATGCTCGCCTCTCTCTTCCCCCGACCTCTGTCTCCCTTGATTCCCAGTCATCCTTCGCCACCATTTCCTACCGCCTTTAGCACGCGCTTTTGCTTTTGGCTGATTTCTTGCGTGCCCCTACCTCAATCAATTATTCGTCGTAGTAGTACCCCTTCTACGCCCTCACGAGCTGCTTCTTCTATCATCACCATCCCTTCTCCGACCAGCTGGTTCCGTGCCACGATGTCAGCGTTCCTCTCAGCCGTGCTGCTCTGGGCGATGCAGGTTGGAGCAGCCACCTTCCCGGCGACGGTCGAGGTGGACTTGATCTTCCCACGCAACGACACCTACGCGCCGTCGACACTCTTCCCCATCGTCTTCGCTTTCCAGAACGCGGCGCTGGCTTCGTCGCTCGCACCCTCCTTTGACTTGGTGCTCTGGGATAGCACCTTTAATCACACGAGGGACCCTACCCTGAACTTGAAGTGGACCAACTTCACTACCGAGCCCACCTTTGTGTACACTTACGTCTCGAGACTCAACACAACGGCCGACGGGGCGCCGACGTCCTATAGCCTGGTGTGGGCTTTTGGCGCCGGCAACTGCTCCCACGGGGGCCCGCAATTTCTCGGCGGTGGCTTCCGTGACAACAGTGTGACGTTTACGATCCAAAACGGCGCTCAGAAACCCGACCTCGTGACGGCAACGGCGAACAGCGCCTTATGCACCAACGCCAGCCACTTCGCCTTCAATCTCACGGGCACTCTAGACGTGAATCCGGCGCAGTACGACGGCCGCAACACCTGCGCCGTGCTCTCGGACGTTCAGCCCCTGGTGCCCGGCGACCCGTGTGCAGTCCACGTGGACTCGGCCACAGCGAACAGCATCTCCGCCGCCCTCACAGCCACGGCATGCGCGGCCATCAGCCCCATGGTGAGCTGCCCCAGCAAGCAGAACGCGGCGGCGGATGGATGGAGTGCGGCGAAGACCGGGTTCCCAGCCATGCTAGGCGGGTTCGTCGCGGCTTTGGCTGCCATGCAGCTTTTGTAGAGCAGACATAGTCTTCTGATATTGTACCTTTTCAAGCGTTTCTGCGTGTTATTCTCCCTTCTAAGTGTTGAGCAAGATGATTTTCGATCCACACATGGATTATTACTCGCGTCTCACATGCACATATATCGAAGGTTTCCCCTTCCCTCTCTTTCGTCCTCTTTCTTCTTCTTCAATCAACAAGTTCACCACCATTCTTTTGTGCCTTGTGTCTACGTTCACTCCGTTCACTTCGACACTAAGCACCATGGGTGTTTGTACCTCTTACCTCTGTTAGAGACATCTCAGCTTTAGGGGTGTCCTGCTATCTCTGTCCGTTGGTGAAGGAAGGGGCGGCAGTGTGCAAGGGGTGCGTGGGGGAGGCCCGGTCCGAGAGAAGCCCGTTTATCCCATTTCATAGCCATATGGTACCCCAAATTCAGTCACCGAGCCGAGTTAGGGGTGGTACCTAATTCTGGCCTGGCGCTGTCACCCTTCACTCTTCAACCCCCTACCCAACAAACCACCAACAAGCGGACTACATACGCGCCAGTGCTAATCCTTTTGATAGCACAGTGGCATTTTCATGCCAACGTCTCTTCCGCTTCTCGCACCTCATTTGGCATGATCCTAAAAGCATCCGGGTATTAGTCGCCGGACGGACACATGTTGGTTCTGCCAAGTGGCAACGTTGTGAAGGTGTCGTTGGCCGGCATATGGACCATGTCCATCACAGCCCTTGCAATTTCACCCAAGAACTGCGTGGTGTGCTTAAGGATCAATCTACCGCGACTGGAGGACTCTGGTGAGAACGTGCTTTCACATTTCGATGAGATTGGATCGTGTCGATTTTGGTGATCCGCTTATAAGTCCCTGTTGGCCTCTTCAAGCCGTATGGTTATATAAAGGGCAAAGCAGCTCGATAGGCAGCTAGGCAAGGAGCCCCCCGGCAGACATATTGCGCTTATGATTCCATTGCATCGTCCTATCCCTTCTATTGTTTTGCTTTTCGGTCCTTATCGCTATTATGTCCTTCTTTTCACGGGCGGCAACGGTCCTGAGTGCGGCCGGTCTCTTCCTCTCCTTTGGGACTGTGGAGGCCGGGTCGCCCATGCTAAATCTGCGGCAACCGGCCTCCGTATCCTACCGGGGGCGAGACGACTGCCCCACGCTTTGCAGTGTTACTGGGCCTGATCCGGGCAGTTGGCCGGCTTACCACAGCCTGAGCCAGGTGGCGCGCTGCAAGGAGACGGTTTTCTACCACTTCTCCATCTATGACGATGTGGATGACGGCAGCTCGGGACATCGCATCTACGCCTGTACGTCGTACGGTGCACATGCGCCTCAGAAGCCTGGTGCGAATATGAACCAGATGAATGCGAACGCGAATCCAACGCACACGCCGACCAACGTCACATTTGAGTTGGGCGGCTGGAATGAGACGGCTCCCCATCGTGGCGTCGACCTGCGCAGTCTGTCCAAGTCGGTACGGCGCGCTCTGGCAGCCGGCTATACATCGGACGACAAGCAGTCGTTGGTGCTGTTTGTGCAAACCGTCACTGGCACTGCCGGCGTCTACCTCGGCAAGAACGTCAACATCCAGTCCACGGCGCCAGATGCACTAATTGCTTTCGAGAATGCGCTGTACGCTTCCAACAACACGGGCGGCAGCAAGGCCATACAGCTGTGCGGGCACGACTACGACGGCGACCACGTCGTTGGCTTCATCGCTACGAGCAACACATCTTTCACCCCCGTACAGCAGGCGATTCGGTCATGGAAGAACGCTACTTGCCTGTCTTTCGACACGGTGCGGAACATACCCGGGACAGTCGATTTCACGACGCCGTTGGTGTTACCGTCTAACGCAACGATCAAGGGGACCGACAGGAGCAACTCAACCTACAGCGCCAGCACAGCCTTGCGGGCGATTCGCGGCACCAACCTACAGACCCGCGCCGACTGTAGAACCATCCAGGTGGCCTCGGGTGACAGCTGCGCGAAGTTGGCGACCAAGTGCGGCATCTCGCCCAGCGATTTTACAAAGTACAACCCGGATTCAAAGCTTTGCTCCTCGCTGATGCCCCTACAGCACGTGTGCTGCTCGTCCGGTACGATGCCCGACTTCACGCCCAAGAAAAACAGCGACGGATCGTGCGCATCATACGCCGTTGTACAGGACGATACGTGTTCGGCCATCGCGGCCGCCAATAGCCTGACAGTCGACAAGATCGAGAGTTTCAACAAACAGACGTGGGGATGGAGCGGCTGCAGTCGACTGATGGCCCAGGCAGTCATCTGCCTCAGTGACGGTACGCCGCCCATGCCGGCCCCGCTGGCCAATGCTGTGTGCGGACCGCAGAAGCCCGGTACTAAGAAGCCCAATAATATGGATGATATACAAAAGCTCAATCCATGCCCGCTCAACGCCTGTTGCGATGTCTGGGGCCAGTGCGGCATTACGGCCGAGTTTTGCACTGATACAAATACGGGCGCCCCCGGCACGGCCAAGCCAAACACCAATGGCTGCATCTACAATTGCGGTACTAACGTGGTTAAGGGTAAGGCGCCCGCTCAGTGGATCAGTCTGGGCTACTATGAAGGCTACAGCTTGGGCGGCCGCAATTGCCTATATCAGGACGTGCGGCAGATCGATACTACCAAGTTCTCTCACATACACTTTGCCTTCGGTGACATTACCCCGGACTTCAAGGTATCAGCGGGCGATGTTATCAGTACGTACGAATTCGAAGCCTTCCGAAGTATGACCAACGTCCACCGCGTGATATCCTTCGGTGGCTGGGCCTTCTCGACAGGGGCCGCTACTTACAACATCTTCCGGACTGGCGTTACAGCCGCTAATCGCATGACCCTCGCAACCAATATTGCCAACTTCGTCAAAGATAAAGGCCTGGACGGCGTGGATATCGACTGGGAATACCCTGGCGTATGCACACTCCCTCTTCCTCCCTTGCGAACCCGAGCCACGGAGCGCTGCTAACTGTTTGCAGGAACCTGACATCCCGGGTCCTCCACCGGGCGCCGATGACGAAGGCACCAACTACCTCGCCTTCCTGGTTGTGCTGAAGAACCTGTTGCCCGGTAAGACCGTGTCTATCGCCGCACCGGCATCTTACTGGTACCTCAAACAATTTCCCATCGCTCGAATCTCCAAGGTGGTCGACTACATTGTGTTTATGACGTACGATCTACACGGCCAGTGGGACTACGGCAATAAGTGGGCGCAAGAAGGCTGTGCGAACGGCAATTGCCTGCGTAGCCACGTCAACTTGACCGAGACAAAGACGGCTCTAGCTATGGTGGGTGCCCGATCCCAAGACCCTTTGCCCCTCACTGTGTACTTTGATCCCCTTCTGACTCCTCCTCCAGATCACCAAGGCCGGTGTGGACTCGGGCAAGGTCGTCGTCGGTGTCAGCAGCTATGGCCGCTCCTTCAACATGGCTGAGGCCGGCTGCTACAGCAAGGATTGCTTCTTTACCGGCTCGGCGACGGCATCCGACGCCTCGAAGGGTCCCTGTACCGATACAGCGGGCTACATCTCGAACGCCGAGATCAACGACATCATCGTGAACAACGCCAGCCGCGTCAACCAGAACTTCATCGACAGCACTAGCAACAGCCGCATCGTCGTCTACGATAATAACCAGTGGGTCGCCTTTATGGATGACAGCATCCGTACCGCCCGTACCGCAATCTACAAGGGGCTCGGCATGGGTGGTACCACCAACTGGGCCACCGACCTGGAGAAGTATCACGACGCGCCCTCAATGAGCAAGGACTGGAGCGCCTTTAGGCTCAGCATCAAGAGAGGCGACAACCCCTACGCTGAGGGCGACCGCCACGGCAACTGGACCGACCTTAAATGCACCGACCCGGCGATACAGAATGCCGCTCACATACCCCCTCAAGAGCGATGGAACATGTTGGACGGATCCGACGCCTGGAAGGATGTCATGGAAGTGTGGTTCGATTACCAAAAGCCTGGAAAAACTCTCTTCACCCGAGGCGTCTCTACACCATCCACGGGCCTGAATCGGCCGACTGCGGCTCGCTGGCCGCGCTCAATAACTGCGAGCAGACCCTGCAGTGCACCAGCAACTTTGAGAGCGGCGGTTCTGGCGCCGTTGCATATGAGATCTGGAACTCTATGGTCATCATCCATGAGGCACGTAAGAAGCGGAAAGCTTGGGTTGTTGATGGCCCATCTGTAGCGTTTGCTAACCAACTCATCTAGATGTACGCCACCTATGTCACTGCCCTGTACCAGGCCGCTGCAACAGCACTAGACCCGGCACTTAAGGACTTTGAGAACCAGTTTGCTCCCATTCCAAAGAAATTTGACGACACGTGGCTTGGGATTCTCCTAGCGTGCGTGAGTCTAGTGGGTACCGTAGGCGTGTCCGGCTTCTTCAACACGGGTAAGTCTTTGGTTTCTACCTGCTTGCCTATGCCGCTGTTCATGCCGTCTTATCCAGTTACGCTAACGTCAAATTGTAGTTCTCAAGTCCATGCCGTACTGGAGAGCCAACTCGGTCTCATATGACAACTGGAAGGACACGGCTAAGGCGCTTGTTTCCTTTGGCACCTCAATTGCCGGAACCCTTACGGGCAAAGACGACAAAAAGTAAGAAACCCCACCTCGCCTTGCTAATGAGTGTCACGTTCTCGATGTGTGCTAACCATCATGCGTCTAGTGGTGCTTGGACTCCCGAGAAGCAAGACGCCTTCTCGGATTACATGGGTAACGCAGTCAGCGCATGGGACAAGGTCACTGAAATGTCGCTCAAGCAGCTATTCAACGGCGAACCCGAGAACGTAGAACTGCTGACGAGCTTGATTGCGAACGGTCATTTCGTTGATGGCTCCGTCGGCGGTGGTCTCTCCAGCCCTGGGGATGCCCTTGACACATCGCACGACTCTCCCATGATGGTGGATGTGAGGGCCAGCATTTCCAAGGCCTTCTTTGCCTTCGCCATCCCGAGCATTTGGTCCGTCTCGGGCACGACGGCCTCATGAACCAGGACGTCACCACTCCCGGCTTCATTCGCATTCCGGTGTGCAGCGCCTCGATCGCCTTTGCCGCCTGGTCGGACACCAGCGTGAGCAGCGACGTGGACAACTATCCCTGCTACATTAAGCCGTCTATTAGCCACCGTGAGGACTCCTCATTCGAGGACCAGACAAGCGATGCGTCCCCCTCTACTAGCGACTGTATGGGTATCGTCAACAATATCCAGGGTACCCAGGGCGAATGGAAGGTCGAGAACTTCGCTGGCGAACAACACCAGCTCGTGCAGTTTGGCGGGTGCAAGTTCGGTATTCAAGCCTTCAACAAGCACGGCAGCGTCATCTTCTACATCGGTGCCCAGGACATCGTTGATATCATCACTGACTCCATCAAGAAGTTTGGCGGCAGCGGTAAGGTCGGCGCCAAGGGCCGCATGGACTGCAAGGGCGACGCCAACAGTCAAGATGTCGAGTGGGGGCTGTACTAGGCTCGAGAGGCATTGTCTGGTAAGATACGGAGGATTCTTGTATGCTACATCGCATATGCCTACTTCTTTTTGTGCAGTCCTTCTATGTAGAATATCACCACCTCCTCCCCAATGTCATCCATGCTTGTACTACACAAGCTCTTGATCAACAACGCCATCCGTGGAAACCGTGAGCCTCCTACCTCAGACTCTCTGTGTATCCCAGGTCTACTTCCACAAATGAAGACCTTCCTCAGACCTGGTACAACTTAACAGTCAAAACACAGACAAGACCGGGCGCATACTAACTTCCACTTCGTCCTTGACCACACAGAAGACAAAAATGGCATCCGAGTCACATACCCAACGAAGGCAACCGCGCGCCGCGCGCAGAATGTTCCACCCAAAACGTAGCCCTGAGCATGGCCAAAGCTCTTATCGAAGAGAGAGATCAGCTGCAAAGAACTTGAAGATTTCAAGAAGACGTCCAGCATATTCCCTCCGTCTGTCTGTGGGTAGTTGAACAGAAACTTCAAGATGCCACTAAGACTATCGCTAGGTAGTCTTGAAGAGCTCCTGAAGATGTATAGAAACATGAACCTCATTGAAGCGCAGTCTATCCTGATCCAGGAGTTCCAGCGCGCCGTTGAAGGTGACACCAACAGCATTAGCCGCGAGTAAAGCCGGTACGCATGGCAGAACAGAACGAGAATCGTACCTAGGGAGAACAATAGAGGGCAAAGAGCACGCTAACATACTATGAAGGACTGAGCAGCGGGACCATGAATCCGATGCTGGTGGACTTCGAAGTCGCCAAAAGGACTGTCGTCAAGCTCAAGGAGACTGATAGCTCTGAAGCCCGTCTTATTGAGTCAGAAGGTGCTTGAGCAGGAGATAGATGGCTATTGCGGTCAGCATCTTCAAGTTGAGCTTATCTGTTGCAAAGCGGTGCTTGCCGAGTCGCACGCGCCAGGAGCGTGGAAGTTCCCGGGCGAGGGGGGCAGGGGGAGCGTCAAGAGTTCGCGCAGGCAGGTGTCGGCAGTCGGGCGAAACGGGGAGGGAAGACGGAGTAAAGCAGTTTGATGATGTGTCGCCAAAGGGGCAGGCGGCGTCGTCGTCTTCCTTTTGTGCCGCGCTGATGTTGTCATTATTCTCTTCCTCTTTTTCCACACTATGCTCAGATGCAAGCAAAGACGCCCAACCATATCCCGATAAACGCCACACGGAGGAAGACAAAGCTGACTATCTTGTCTCCTTTTGAAAATCCGAAAGAAAAGCAAAAATGCAGTATAGCCAAAGCGTCAAAAAAGGTTCTCCGGGGTCCAGAGAATCCGAGCAAGCCAGTCAGTCAGTCGGTTGGCTGGGGATGTTCTCTGAGAGTCTGAGTGCGTTCCAGCGCCAATTTTCACCCTGTCGGAAAGCAACAAGAACACTCCTGTAGCAACTACTGAGATAATCGCACCATGAAGTTATGATTGAGTGTCTTCCCTTTGACTTTTCGACTGCCAGTCTGAATCCCCGCCTTTGCGGATACCTTTGGTGATAGCTCCTTCCTTCATGTTTCCTCTTCACCCAAAGGCGTCGTCATATCTAATGCCTACATTACGCCGTGACAGACAATACGGAAACTTTCATGACCCTTCTCGTTTCTGTCTATAGATACTTCCACTTGATTCCACCACTGACTTGTTGCCGGGACATTCAAGTCCCTTCTTTCATCTGAAGTCAAATTCCTCAACAAAAATCGAAATTCACTTGTCCTACGCGTCACTCGATGCCCCACAGCGGCTCATGGAATATCTTTCGTATTTCTTGCCCCTCCATTTCTCAAACTTTTTCTCTTTCGCTCACATTCTCGGCTGAAGTCCACCTCACCACAGATTTCAAGCACTCTCAAACCCTTCCACGAAAAACCGCATCTTCGTGTCGACAAGTCTCTCTACGCGTCACGGAATCGTACTCCTTCATACATTCACTTTGAATATCTCCTTGCTTCACGTCCTGTAAGTAGCACGCGATAATATAGTGACACTAAATCTCAGAACCTCATCAAAACAAAGTGAGGCTAACCTCGCATTCTTCTTACACAGCATACAAAAGTCACAATGTCGTCCGCGCAAGGCAACCAAAACCCCTCTCGTGCTGGCTGCGCTGAGCGCGCTGACGGTGACAAGCCTCTCGACATGGGGCTCGTCAAGGTGGTCGATGACCACCTGCAGGAACAGGGCATCGACCAGCTTGAGGAATTCAAGCGCGGCTCGGGCTTTCTTTCGCGGTGGGTTCGTGGTCTCGAGAGCAACTACGAGGACGGGAAGGCGAAGATCGCGCGCCTCGAGGAGGAGGTGAAGCTTCGTACGGAGATCATGGAGAGCCAGACTGCTCTCATCAAGGTCCTGGAGGAGAAGGCAGACAAGAAGTAGAGGCCGAGGTATTCTGTGGTTGAGATCTCTGCTTAGGGTCTTGGAGGTCTAGAAAGGGAGGGTTGGGAAAGGGAGAGGAAGTTGGGCGCGTGTATGAGGGACAAGGTCAACTAGGAATGCGTTTCAACTCAGCATAACTCGAATACATCAACAAGCCTCTTCTCCCGTCGGCATCAGATCTTCCTACGAATGTGATAGTGTATATGTCTTAATGTTCAACTTGAAGAGAAAACCTACCCGCACCCACCCCTAAAACTATACGCACCCACCCCCCATAGTAAACCCTTACCCTGACAGCCTGGGTCTGACAATGACAGCTGGTTTCGAAACTTCGGTTTTCCCTGTAAAATTTCCTGATCTCAAAAACGAAATATTCCAATGCAAAATTTCTACGTCGGAATGCAAAATTTCGGAATACAAATAGAAATTTCGGAGCCCCGGCCGCTATAATCGCTACCTCTGAACAACACTACAACAACAACCGCCCGAGAACGGTAGCAGCACGAAAATCTAGCGATTGAATACAACTACTAGGACGGGCATTTGGAGGCGGGGTAGTGCACTAACGGCCAAGGGAAAGCAACCTCAACTACCCCGATAAAATATATTTCCATTCTTCGTTTTTGCTTTCTTTTTCTCTCTTTATCTTTCTCCCTTTCTTTCTTCTATTCCCTCCATTCCTTCCATGTCTCTCTCCCCGATACTTTTTGTCCTTTCTATTCTTTTTCCTTCATTGGTCATTCGGGCTTTGAAGGCCCTCGGAGACAAAAAATTACCATACGAAAACGTTGGTATTATACGACAGTTGGCATGTGGGGAAGGGAGGGTGCGGGTAGGTTTTCTCAACTTGAAGGCGGCGTACAAGTAGGGTAGGTTTGATGGTAATGAGGACGGGCCTGGAAGGCGAGTGTCCCGATGGAGGAAGATAGGTAGGTGGGAGGAAGATGGACACGAAGGAGGAAGAGGAAAAAATTCTGCAACTTCGCGATCTACAAAAGGAAGGCGGTAGAGAAGAAAAATAAACCTAAGGCACGTTGGGCTGGAAGGGAGCCTCGATTTTTCTTCGCACCCTGCGCTTGGGCTGATGGCTGACGGGGCTAGGAGTGACTCCCCGAAGATTCGTCTGTCTCGGTTTGTGAGCGGTTCGTTGTCGGATGACTCGCTTCGCGAGCTTCGAATGAGGTTTCCTGGAGGTTACTTTGTTAGTTTGGAGTTTGCGGTGCTATGAGAGTGAAGAGTGTACTTACTAGTTCACCCGAGTCAAAGGCACGAGCTTGTACTCGACGCGGTCTTGAAGCTTATAAGTGATGGAGACGCCAAATATGAAGTATCAATAGAGCTTACTCGATGCAGTGAAAGTTGGTTGCAGCGGAGGAGCTTCTCGTGGAAGAGGGTTCGACGGTTATGGGTCAGAGTGAGCTTGGGACAAGGTTGGATGGAGGTATGCATGGAAGCAATCGAAGGAGCACCTATTGCTCACACAAACCAACGTCATCAGTTGCCCAAGTGCTTGCAGTCTTCCGTTTCTCTCCACGTCGAGCTGGTCGGAAAACAGCTCCTGTAGCTCGATTTTTTGTGCTGTTGCGTGGCGAACCTCTTTTTCGATCGTGATGCATAGTGCCTTGAGTTTCGACAACGGACTAGCGATATCCTCGACGTCAGAGGTCGAGACGTGTTGTCTGATGTTGGTGTTGTTGTCGGATGTGATGCTCTTGAGCTGAAAATGTGTGCCCAGAACTGCATCACGCTTGTTTGTGTTAGTGTGAATGTCTACTCACCCTTGCGGGATATTATCTCTGAATATTTAAGCCATAAAGACCCTAAGAAACATAAGACAGACGAAAAGCCATGTGACAAACAATGTAAAAGGCAATATGCTTCGGGTCAGGGCATCATGGTGCCTACAACGCATCCGGGTGTGAACTGTGAATCCCCCGTTTACCATGTTGTTGCTCTTTTCTCGGACGCTGCATGTTCGGAGGCTAAGATACGAGAACCCATGAGTTAGTGTGCTCTATAGATATCCTCCGGGGATATGAAGCTTAAATGATGTGTGAATACTGCATTGGAAGACAAGAAGGAACAGGACAAGGAAATTGAAGAAAATTGAGGAAGTTGAATGTCTGTAAGTGGCTACGCGATAGTGTATGCCCTGAACCAGGCGGCTTCAGTGGGTTAACACTAACAGGCTGACATGACATCCACACGCGGAAAGCCCGGGATGTATAAGCGATAGTGTTGCTACCCAGCTTTGGTGCTTTTAGCGATCGTGCGCTAACAGCTCAGCATGGTACAGTATTTGTAAGCAGCCATTCCTGCAAACACTCGTCTGCCCGGAAAATGAACTTGAGGTTGGTTTGTAGCATGCGCGAAAAACTGCAAAAATCATTGGGACTATGACAAAAAATCTTCAGGTGCACTGAATTGAGTGTTTAATAGACTACGCAAGACATACTTTGCCGTCCTAATGTTGTTCATCTGTGGAATTGAGTCAATAGATAATCTCAAAGGTGTTAGGAGAGGAGGGACTACTCCGAAGAGCACAGAAAAAGGAGATCGTGGACTTCCACGGTGGAAACCTGGCATACATATCATAGGTACAAGGGGTTGCAAGAGAGGTGCGTATATTGATCGATCCCAACACCAGTATTCAAATTCCATACACCAGGTCCTTCGAAGTCGTGATCCCGAGATTTTGGTACCTTCGAAGGTTCGACTAATTGAAGTAATTGGCAATCATTGTAAGACTGCTACACTTCTATGCCTATGAAACGGAACAAAAGTCCGCTTGAACGCCTGAACCTGAAGTGCTAATGAGCCACCGAGATTGTTTGGATGCTTCTGCTGACGGTTGCTGAAGCCGACAGCGGGATTTAGGTCATACGCTCCTGTTGTGTTACTTCGCCGAGACTTTGGGGAGAGATCCAGGAGGACATGGTAGCCATTTCGTGTCGTAGCTCGTGAGTTTCGCCGGTCTTACCGTTCTAAACATCGGTTGTTAGCGTGAGACACAAAAGCAAGAAGGAAAGAGAAACAATACCCAGATCCTCAGGCACGATCACCGAAGCGGCCGTCCTTGTCTTCAACCCTGTCATCTCCCTCGACCTTCTTCTCCAAACCGCTACCCTCAAAGCCCTCCCAATCTGCCGGAGCCGCGCCGACATAAGAGTGACAAGACACCACATACATCCACCGTCTCTCGTCCTCGGGAAAGTCCACCCCACCGGTAGCAATGCACAACCGCTCCGACTTGGCCGAGTTGACATCGGCAATGTACGCAATCACCTTCTCAACCTGCGAGACATGGAAAACAGCCGCATACGTGCCATCGCGACCCAACAGACTGACAAAGCTTTGGGGACCGTTTAGTAGCTTGTTCGACGGCGGCACGACGTTGCCCTGCCGGTTCTTGACCCAAACTTGCTGCACAGGGAGCCAGACCACGGGTTCATCGGCGGCGGTTCCAGTGGTAGCGGATGGGGAAAGTTTTTCCGTGTCTTTGAGGAGAAAGCGACTGGAGCGACGGCGAGAAGGAGGCGGGATTATGTAGCGAGAGCGACCGGCTGGGATGGTGGGCAACGGGTTCGTGGAGTGTGGTCGAGGCGCTTCGTAGCGGAGCAGGCGGGCGGCCATGCTGGACTTGATCTCGGGGGTTACGGCGATGTTGATGCCGATGTAGTTGACGCAGCCGTCGGTAAGGAGGCTGATGGAGGGGAGGGGTCCCTGGGAGGCTTCAGCCGCATCGATGGGGGCTGCCATTGTGATTCGTGGGCTCGATCGGGATGTGATGGTGGGTTGCGATGCGTTGCGTTGTCCGCCCTGTAATTGCTGGGCCTCCGACTGCGAGCAAAGGTGGTGGTGCAGATGCAGTTGAATTGAGGCGCGGGTCGGCGTTGGTCGGTGAAGTAGTGGGAGGCATGCGGGACCAAGCCCGGTGAATGGAGTCATCGACCGGGCATGTCGAAATATGCAACCTGGAATCCTGCAATGCACTTTGGGGCGATAAACCTGCAACACCTAAGCCCGAACCTGTCCCGGCTGAACATTCGTTTTTTTTTCTCCCATGCATGGACACGTACACCAGATGACAATCTTTTAAGATGGCATTTAAATAGTGGCCTTTCCTCCATGCCTCCAATACGTTCTGTTCCATCGCATTTCCCATCTCTTCTGGGTATCGACTATCGACGAAACACATCCCGTCATCCTTCGAAGCAAAACTAAAATTACACCCATACATCCACCTCACAGCACTTACCCTACCATTCACGACTTGTCCACTACACGAACAGTGTTGATACCACCTGCTCTATATCCACTTCGACGCCGCCCAACATCCACCGCCACAATGGACGGCTCTGACTCGGACACCAATCCCTCCGACACGTCGACGTTCGACTTCGATCAGCATGGCCCTAATCCCACGAGCAACTCCGAGGCCGCATCCTACGCAACCATGCTGGTCCAGGCACCCGAGGACACACATAAGCTCCAGAAAATGAGCCTGGAACTCGCCTCTACAAGGATGAAAGTCATGAAACTCGAGGCTGCTGATCAGACCAAGGAGGCTGTGATTCAGAAGCTCAAGACCGCCCTTGAGGAGGAGAGAAAGAGGACAACAACAGTCCAAGATGAGGCGCTCCGCCAAGAGAAAGAAACCATTCGGAGGCTGAGGGAAGAATATGGAAGAGCAGTGGAGGAAGAGGACAAGGAAGAGCACATCAACTCAATCATAACTGCTCTGAAATTGGAGGTCGCGGGGCTGAGAAGGTCCCTAGACTTGACTGGAAAGCATCGAGACGAGGCTATGAGCAAGAACCTTGACCTTCAGCAGCGTCTGGACGTGCTAGAGGAGGACGTGTCTTGCATGAGTGAACTACTGCAAGCCAACGAAGATCTCAGGTGGGCTTTGGCGGAGCACAAGCGCACGATCGAAAAGTTGGAGAACGCAGAGAACAAGATTCTCAGGTGGGCTTTGGCGGAGCACAAGCGCAAGATCGAAAAGTTGGAGAACGCAGAGAACAAGATTGCCCGTATCGAGACGATTTTCAAGGCATCGTTCAAGAATGCCGGCACGTCACTCATATGTATCAACGGTATTTATGACTTGGAAGGATCACTCCAGCTGTTGCTCGACCGCGACAGATCCAGGGCCAAGGAACTTGACCACACCAAGAAGCAATTGCTTGAAGCCAGAAATGTCAAACCATACGGAGGAGGCGATCGCAAGAGACTAGGAAAGTGGTGGTGAATCTTTAGTCGAGTTTCCACCTCATTGTTTTATTGGAGTACAAAAGGGACCAAGGCCGGCGTATGGGAGTACGTTGCAAAACATGACGCTGTCAATGCAACTCGGGCGCATCATGGCCGATTAAAGGTATATCGATGAACAAAAGCCCCTTAAGCCGTTTTGCATCTTGGTCATACTTCTCCAGCAAGTTTCTTGTATTTTGCCGGCTGTGGTGGAAATCGTCGCTTGCAAGGACTAGGGATATGGGTGCGTGGACGAAAAGCTATGGATGCGGGTAGTTTTTCTCGACATTTGATGGCGATGAAGGGTACACCGCATCATCAACTTAGCTAGAACCTGTCACCGATAAAGAGCTCTACTTGATGTGCACCTTACAGGTCGGGTGCCCCTGGTTGATGGTCCTGCTCCTTGGGTGGACATCTTTCCTCTAGAACGGAAGGAACAAGGGAAGTGTGAGGGATGATCAAGTGTGCCTTCCCTCTTCTTCCACACATCAAATCTAAGACCAGCACAAAAACCCAAGCCCTAGCCTAATTTCTCCCACACTCCGACAATTCTCAGCACTGAATCCTCCCAGTCAGCGGTCAGCAATCAACACCAACTGCGAGACCGTGAATCATCTCATAATGTCCGCACAATCCCCTAAAGCCAAAAAGCCCGAGCAGCCCGAGCAGCCCGACCAGGCCCCAGCCTCCCAGACCCAAGCTGATCAAGTCCCCGCCAAACGCAAGGCAACGGACCAACCTCAAGACGAGCGGCCCCCGACACGACGCGGCACACTGCCTTTCATGTGGAATTTAACTACCACGCCTTCTCTACCCATTTTCGACGCCGGTTCGACACCCGTTGGGTCTGACGACGAGTTGAGAGATGAGCTTCAGGAGACCGAGGAGGAGCTGCGTGAGGTGAAGAAGAAGATTGAGCGCTGCTTGGACGTCTTCAAGGAGATAGAATGGGCAGTGGTGCATCATCACAGACTTGTGCATCAGGCGCTCGAGGAAATTGAGAGCGGGCGCGCCGGATCGGCTGGCACACTTGGTGACTACAAGCCAGGCCAACTTCCGCTGTATATATTGGACAAGTCCCAGATGGATCTTGGCGATAGTGTTTATGGGTTGAAGGAGCTCTTCGAAGAGATCTTGGAGGAGGGAGAGCTCGGGGAGTAATCAGTCATGGTATGGTCTGGCCTTCGTCCTTGGGAGAGGAGGTCTGTTGTTAGAGGTATGAAGATACCGCGATAAGGCTCGGCCTCGGTGTCCTGCCAAGATGACAAGTTTTTGGGGAGTTTGAAAGCCTCATTCGGGCCATGTAGCTCAAGTGATATGGCGGTTGTATTATTACTGTAATTTCGAGACGCCCTGCGTAACTTTTATAGAAACACGGACGTGGGAAATTTCTTTCAGACACGGTCCTTTCTCCTTGTCACGAATTTGGCTTGCACCACCCGCTCTCTTTCCCAGTACCCCTCATTCTGAGCCGCCAGACCAGGCACTTCTGACAATTCCCAAGCTCTATCAATGCCTTTCTCAGCTAATCCTCAGATTTGAACGTCCAAGTAAGTTAAAGAAGTTCTCGGCAGAGGCAAATCAGTTTCGCGTTGCAATACAAAGATACCTCTACTGACGTAGGACACTCTCAACAGGCACGATTCTCTCTCTCTAGATCCACATCGCAATGGCCTCCAACGATCCTGCCATGGACGACACGCCGAACAGCAACAGCACTCAAATGGAACATGTTCCTGCTCCAACTGTGCCGGCTCACCCTGCCGTCACCTCAACCTCGTTGCCGCACCTGGGTGACTTCATTACCAAGTTGATTGAAGACGCCTACAAGGTCCAGAGTTTGAGTTCGGAACTCGAGCAGACCAAGGAGAAGTTGCGCGAGGCGGAGAATAGGATCGCCGAGCTGGAGATTGACAACCAGACCATCCATAAGGATACCAACAACGTCAGAGAGCTTCTCAGCGCTGCCAGAGAGGATGAGAATGCAGCCAAGACCAAACTGCAGGCTCAGGAAGATTCGGTGAAGTGTCTCGAGGCGGCTTTGAGAGACAAGAACACGGCTTTGAGAGACAAGGACACGGCTTTGAACGGATCCATTCCCAAGTCAAGGATCGCCAACTATAAGTTCAAACTCGGCAAGATTGACCGTTGCGACGACGAGAAAACGGATGCTTTCTGGTCCATTCTCGATCATGCTGAAGAGATATACCACGAACCCAGAGTCAACGAGCAGGTAAAGAAATTTAGCGAATTGGTGGATGATACCACTTCCCGCTTCAGCGCCCTGTATGACGCTTTCGAGTCCGATCTCGCGGAAGCCAGCATCTCCAGCGCTTAGTCGCTTTCCATGGTCAGTTCAACATCGGCGACCTTTCTCTTCGTTTGATCATGGTAAGTTATTGTTGAGCTCTCGCCATCCTTCTATCTAGTTCTCCTCGAAAATGATCGCGCCACTAACGTGTGTACGTACGCGCAGAAACGGATTTGAGCTCATGCGGCCAATGCTGCCGACTGACTACGGTCAAATGGATCATGAAGGAGCAAATGATGGTTTGTCTGGTGCTCAAAATCTGTGGCTCGGAATCGGGTATGACTGCATGAGGGTCGTGTGTGATGGCAATGTGCTTGGTTGGAATGGATTTTGATATTGCTAGAAGGGTCATTTCGATGGGAAAGCGAAAGTAATATCAGCCAGTTGATCCAACGTTTCATGATCTGCCACACAAGCTACTTACCTACATTTCCGTTACCGTAACCTCCCGTCTACAAGGTTGGAAGCTTGAATCAAGTGAGAAGGTTAGGTTGCTTTTCCGCTCCTTCCCTCTTGGTCCCGTTTTGCAATTTGCGCTTGCTACCCTTTCTACGAAGTTTTGTTCACCCCACCATCACCCGAACCTGGAAGTCAAGCTCCGCACCTACACAGAAACGGCAGTGGAAGCCAGCACCTCCCAGGCATTGGCGACTTCTGTAAACTTGATAAAGCCTCAGCGCACTCCAAGCCAAACTTGCGCGCATTCTAAGTTTTAAGGTGTAAACTCAATTGTTTTCAACCACAAATTGGATTACTATGATACTTCGCATAGGAGAAGGCCTATACTACGCTTGCCCTATCGGTGGTTTTACTTGGCTTGGTCTTGTTCAAACCAACCGTTTATGCTCGGGGTTGCATTCGCACCACCGGCTTTTGCAAACACACGGCCACAACACAGCCTTTTAAAACGCTATAAATGCAAAACTGGTCCCAGATGGTAGAGGTCTGCTCATAAATACGGTAGGTATTGGTTTTAGAGTATAAAGTCAAGATGTGGTTTGACATGGTCTTTATTGGTAACCTCAGGACGTAGGGCGTAGGTTCGGCTTGGAGCACGTGCGCTGAGGTTCTCCGTAAATATCACCAAGACTGTTTGGGCAATTCGTCCTCCCCGAGAGCGGGTAAGGAGAGGAAGCCGTAAATGGACGGCTCGTACGTATCTTTTTGCCCTGGCCTGACATGGACACGTCAGTCATCTCACAGAAGACACAACCTGTTGGGGCACTCTTCCCATTCACCGGGCTTTCCATTGACCGGGCTTTCCATTGACCGGGCTTTCCATTCACCGGGCTTCCCATTCGCCGGGCTTCCCATTCACCGGGACTCCCTTCCAGTATTTCTTGACTGCCTTCCACTTGGTTCCCATTTCTCCGTCCTCTGCCATGACCACCACAGAAACAAGCCCTTATCTGTCGGCTTCCCACCTCCGTCACACACAGTAATTCGGAGGATTACGACAGGCACAATCTAGGCTCTGCACTTTCCATCTCCATAATCATCAACCACCATGGAAGAGAATCCGGCCGACCCTTCTCGGGCGGTGACCAATCCTACGATCGAAAGCCCGTTGCTTCCTTCCCAACCTTTCCATAACGGCGCCAAGAATGGCTTCCAGTCCTCCTCATTGCCCCACTTGGGTGACTTCATCACGAAGTTAATCGAGGACGCGTACAAACTCCAGAGCGCGAACGCAGAACTCGAGCGCACCAAGCAGCTCTTGCGGGAGGCCGAGGACAAGCTTGCTTCTTCCGAGGAGAGCAAGTCTCATTTGAGCAGAAAGACGAGGAGGTGCAGTTGAAGATTCACGGCTACAAAGGCCGTCTTGGGAGGCTCGGAAGTAGGTTTCGAAAGACTTGGCCAATTATCCGCCTACTTGCCGCTTCCAACTTCCGTGGAGTGGAGGACGGCCTCATACCTCGTATATTCAACAACCATGACGTGCTTGAAGAGGGGTTAGTACTGGCGGAGATCACAAGAGAGATGGATGGGGAGTTTGCCGAGTTTTTCCGGGAATTCAGACGGGATCTTTGCCAGACCAGGGCCTCGGCCGGTTCCTCTCTTGTTTGAGATGCTCCACACACGAGGTGAGTTACCACGTCTCTCTAGCTCTTTCACTCTAATATTCAATGGCTCTAGTGACTTACTCTACAGATCAACGACTATGCAGATATTGGCTTGTCCATTTCATGCATTCTTCTCTGGCTGTTGAGGCTCAAACCCTTTGGGGATGGTTATGGAGAGGTTCATAGGATATCTGCCTGTCCTCGAGCTTCGTACAGCTACGAAGTTAGCCTTGACCTATGCTGGCTGCTATGAATAGTTTGGAGGCTGCTAGCTTGATCCGTTAGCGGAATGGGAAAGCGGATCTTGAGATTTGGTGGGCTTGTGAGGGGTGAAGGTCTTTTGGTGTCACGGCTTAGGACAAGGAGGCTTCCAATGAAGGGGTCGAGATCATGTAATCCTTCGTCTGATTCAGGGAAGATAGACCGTAGAATTGCCAAGGCATCAAAATGGGTGTTGCAAGCCTGACGTCTTCAACAGAATTGAATTTGAGACGAGGTCTCCTTGGGGCCAGTGGCACCGAGAGATGGTTGTCATGAGCCATGGAATTATATGTGCACGTCTAAAAGCAAGCCAACCACCATGAAAAGACAGAGTAGAAACAGAACTACGGGGTTGGGAAGAACGATCAGATGGGTTTCTTCTGCATACTTGGAGGCACAGTGGTTGAGGAAGTCCAGTCCCGATGCAGTGGGAATGCATAGTAGGGGCACGAACCCTAACAGAAAAAGCGTACGAAAATGTTGAGATGTTGAGGTACTGGCAGGTTAAAGCCACACATCGTGCATGCATGCTGCGCGGCATGTTGGTGATGTGTCCGGATTGCCGTACAATAATTTCCAGGTTTCGGTCAACAAGAGTTCCTGCTATATTTCCCCTCTCTGCTCTCCCTTTTCTTCCTCTGCTCTCTCTTTCCCCTTCCTCTTCTCTCCCTTCCACTGTTTTATCGTCTTCTCTTTCATTCACAGAACAATCAACTCCAACCACCAACCGCGAAGCTCGTCAGAACTCGTGTACACTCCAAGTCAGGCACGCTCAACCCACTCATTCTCTTCCCATCAGACGGTATTTCTCCAAGACAAGCAGTATGTATTCCCTTTGCCCGCACCTGCCTGCTACAGCACAGCCACAAGCTCACTAACTCTTGCAGACCGAGACAGAATGCAACTCAAGCTCCCCACCGACACGAACGCTCGCGGAGCGGGCACTACGAGCGAGCAACAAACCGATACACCTTCCTCTTCTACGTCTGCCCAAAACCAGCAGATTCTGTCCGAGACGGGCACTGAGACCACTCCTGCCACGCCTCCAAGCGATTCTTATTGGGGCCGGCTTTTCGTTCAGGCGTCGGCAAAGGCAAACGCACATAAGATCGAGAACAACAAATTGACAGAGGAGAACAATGAGTTGAAAGCAGAGCTGGAGGGCGCCAAGCAAGAGCTGCGTAGGGCAACAATCAAGATTGTCATGGACGAGAAGGCAAGGGAGCAAGAGGCCGAGAAGCTTCAGAAGGCAAACGAGAGCCTCGAGGCTGCTAGGAACAAGATTGCTTCGGTCGAGGCAGCCAATACCGATTGGGTTTTGGACCTTTATACTACTCAGCACGAGCTTCGGAAGGCGAACGCGGAGTCCATTTCTGTCCAACGTGCACAGGCCGCTCTCGAAAAGGTGCTCGAGGACACGAAGCTTGCACATGACGATCTCGAAAAGGAGCTCGAGGACACGAAGCTTGCAAAGGACGCTCTCGAAGTGGAGCTCGAGGACACGAAGCTTGCACAGGACGCTCTCGAAAAGGAGCTCGAGGACACGAAGCTTGCACAGGGCGCTCTCGAAAAGGAGCTCGAGGTTAAGAAGCGCGAGTTGTGCAAGAGCGAGTCAGCAAGGTCGTATCAGGGCGAGTTCCACGAGACTGTCAAGCAGAGATTGCTTGCGGTGGAAAACATGCTGTATGCTTCCCGGAGAACCAGTACCACTGTGGCTTCGGAACTATATGTCACCAAGCAGATGCTGCAGGACGCAAACGAGGAGATTAGTGCTGGCGTGTCTTCGCAGGCCGCTCTCCAAGAAGAGCTCGAGGACACGAAGCGCAAGCTGCACGAGGCAGTTATGGGGAGGAAGTCCAGCGAAGTAGAGAGGACGCTTCTGAATTCATCGCTCGCGATCGTCAAGCTGCATTTTTATAAGGTAAAGGCTAGACTTTCTGCCTGTGAGCAAGAGAAGGATGCCTTAAAACGTCAGCTTTCGAATCAGTCCGCCACCGTCGAAACCGCAGTCTCCCAGGTTGTGGACAAGATTGCTGCCGTCGGCCATTCTATCGAAGGAAGACTGTCTGCTTTCGAGAACACAGTCGAGTCCACCATAGGCGAGCTGCACGACGGAGTTCAGAGCAACGGGGAGCTGGTGAGCCTGGTGGAGAGGCCCAAGCCTCAGTTGAGCGAAGTAAAGGCGCCAACTGGTGTTCTTGAGGCTACCACGGCCGAACAAAGCAAACAGTGCATTGAGAGCAGCCCCGAGGAATTGGAAGATCAGGAAACATCCATGCCAGAGTCTCTCAAGCTGCGCTTCCAGAAGGCAGTAGAAGAGAGCAATCGTCTCACACAGGCTGGTAGCGTCGCTGAAGATGCCGATGCCGCAATCCAGAAGGGCCCGCATGAGGTCAGGGAGACTCTTCGTGACTATTTCACCCACATCGAGGAGAAAATGATCAAAGAGGAGAGAACAGTGAAGGAGGCCATCAACGTAGCTCGGGGGAAGGTTACCAATCACCAAGACTGGCTACACAGACTTCGTAAGGTGGTTGCGAAAGATACAAGCACTCTCGCCAGATTGACGCATGAAGGGTTGAGACATGAGTGCTGGGAGCGGTGCAAGATGTTGATCGAAATCCTTTCCGGCGCGGAAAAGCAGGATGATGGTGTCAGAGATCGCATCGATGCGGTTCTCAGGGGCAGGAGAAATGATTGGGGCTACAACTACAGTGGGCCATCTAAGCTGGTTAGCTGGGATAGCACCTAAAATAGGTTCGTTTGGCATTGTAGTAGTGCTGTAGCTGGCACCTTCCGGTTGCGCAAATAAGGCTCTTCTAGAACTACTCCTTTCCAGTTCGCAGTCACGTCCCGTGTTCGATTCACGACAGGACCTTTCATTTTTTTTTCCTTTTTCTGGATTCACTGCCGCACATCTCATTCCCTTCGGGCGGCGGAGGTAGAAGTTAGATGCATGTACTTGTAACGCAAACAACAAGAACAACATCATGAAGATGTGAAGTGGGGTTCCCCCCTATTTTGTGCATCGCTGAATCCACACAAGTAAACAATCACCAAGTGGATCTCATGGTGTCACAGTGGTCCTCCTGCCTCCAGCTCCCAAGTCGAAAAAAGTGTAGTGGAACCTTTCATTGAAGAGGTAGAACTGCAGCATGATGTTTAATGACACTTTAAATACTATGTACCCACTGCATATTAAAAGAAGACAAACAACTTATGAATCTTTCCAACCCCAGGCACCAGAGCCTTGCACTTGTAGCTACCAATAGAAGCTACCTCCCACAGAAGAACCACGTATGAAAAACGAGATAGCTCTGCTTCGGTGCAACGTTTGTCACAATTTTCCACGTCGACCCCTCCGTGCCCGGGTACAGTGGAAGAACGGTCACTGACAGTTTCCCATCTCTCTGCCACAAAATCTTTGGTCTAGAAACAAACATCATCCATCTCAAGTCAGCAAAGGCGCTCAAGAACAGACAGCCATATATCCTCCCCACGAGATATCTCTAGTGTACTCTACTGTTGGAGGTTCTCATCAAGCCCCACAGTAACTCTGCATTCAGGAAAAATGAATAAAAAAAAACTTACGGCAACCAAACACCCTCTTGACCAGTAAACACCGTGGCGATCCCACCCTCAGACCCATCATCCCCCACCGACGTCCAAAGATTCTCCTGCTGATTCCACCCCATGCGCTTGTACGACAGCAGCTCCGTATACCGGGCGTTGAGGATGACGACGTGAGCGAATTGGGTGTTTGGCGGGTTGCTGCCCGCGGCCATCGGCTGGTGCACGACTACCCTGCACACCCTGTCTTCCGGGCTGGCGCCGTCTTTGGAGTCGACGCCGGCTTCGCACCAGGGGCAGAAGCGCTCGCCGATGGAGGACCAGTTGTTCCAGTTGGTGTTGGCATCTCTGGTGTTGAGGATCTGAGAGTTGTTTGTTGCGGCAGGAGCGTTGGCGTTGGAGGCGGTGTCGGGGAAAGTGTTAACTGGGGAGGCGTAGGCGGGGCCGGTGAGGGTGAGGGTGGAGAAGAGGAGGAGAAGAAAGGGAAGGAGCGATGTCAACATGTTTGGAAGGTGTATATATCAGTTGGGTTGGGAAAGAACGAATGAAGTTGGTTGAACTTGAGATGCTGGATGGCAGAGAAAAGTGTGATTGTCGGGATGTGTACAAGTCTCCCAGGGGCAGGCATATGGTTTGTATTACCTACTTCGTGCTTTTTTATTCAAGGTTTTCTCGTAGATGGATACAAAGATTTGGCACGCATTGTCATGTTTCTTTGAGGATTGTGACACATACAATGAATCTCAACTCCCTCCCGCCGTCCCGCGCCAGCACAAGACAGAGAGATAGCCTTTGTCCCCGATATTCACTAGACACTGCAACAAAGCCAAACAAACAACTTCACTTTGACCATGTGATTACCAAGTACCAACGCAATAAAAACTACAGCAGAGCTCGAAAGCAGAGGTTGTTTGTTCACTCTAATAATAACACACACAGTAGAGTTGTTGCTCTAAAATCAATTCCACCTCAGTGACCTCACCAACTCACCACCATAGCACCATAGCACCATAGCACCATAGCACATCCAGCCTTCCCGCGTCGCGATCACGGAAAATCAGTCCCCCCAATGCTATCCTGCTTATTAACACAACAACTGAACTTCTTCCTATACACCACCCACTCCCCGCCCGGCGCCACGCCCTTGGCGCCCGCATAAGCCGCCCATCCATTTGGAAACTTGTCCGAGAACAACTGCGGAGGGGTATGATTTTCGTCAGAACGAACAGAGTAATCGAACGTTGGACTATGTTAGGTAGGTTTCCAGTTGATCATTAGCATCTTCTTCTCTACAAAGTACAACCTCGAATCTTGATCTCCATCCGATCCAGCCCATCATGACACATCCGGCACCAAGTAAAGAAGATAGAAACTCTAGGGAAGGAAAGCCAACAAAAAAAAAAAAAAGAAAAAAAAAAAAAAAAAAAGAAAAAAGGGGAAACTCACGGCCTCAACAACCCATCACCCCCTTGCTGGTCTTCCTTCCCGTTCATGTGAAAAGTCGCCACCCCCGGCGCACACCTCGCCGGCCTGCTCGGCAAGTCCACCGACATGTTATAGCCCACCATTCGGCCGTACGAGAGAAGCTCGGTGAAGTTGTTGTTCATGATGGCGACGTGGAATATCGGCTTTTGAGGTGAGGAGGGTCCAGGGCCGCCAGGGCGATCGGTGATGGGCTGGTGAACGAAGGCGTGGCAGAACGAGTCGAATTTGAACTCGGGAAGACCGGCCATGCTGTCTGGGACCGTCCAGTAGCACCAGGGACAGAAACGGTCGGATTGTTGCGCGGCGACGGTTGCTGGTTTGATGGTGAGGAGGGAAGAGAGGGAGAGGAGGATGGTGATGGTGAGGTGCATCGTGATGTTGAGGTGATTGATGGCTGTTAGAAAGTAGGTATGTACAGATCTTAAAAATGGAAAGGCGATATAACGGCGGAGAGGGACTTGATACGCATGGACGAGCAAGGTTGTGAGATAGTGGACGTTGATGGTGGGTAGGTATATCCTGTTCAACTTGGCTTCTAAAGAGTTTGAGAGGCCAATGCGGGTTATTACGAGACAATGAAACATTTTTGGAAATAGTTTGAAAGAGAACAGGGAGGGAGTCGAGTCACTCGAGTGATCTCATAGTATATATACTGCAGACAAAGAAAGATATGGCAGATACAGCAAAGACAATGGAGGTCCAGCGTCCTTCTGTTACTCCACGACTTGAGAGGAAGTCGGCCACCCGCAACGCCAAATTGCTTTGTGTCAGTCAGAAAAAGAAAGAAAAAAAACACCCAGAAGAGCAAGTTCTCGCATTTTAGAAATAATGCAAGAAGAATGTCAAGATAGAATCGACAAAAAGTTTGCGGTTTGTGTGGATCGAACACACGACCTTCAGATTTATGAGTGAAGTGAACTTCAGTCTGACGCTCTCCCAACTGAGCTAAACCCGCTTGATGATTAAATGTGCGAACCATGGCGCTTATGAGTGGGCCCGAAGTGCACGTCCTGATACGCCGACAACAACAACGCCTCGAATTCCTTCCCACGGTGCCAAAAGTTTTGGTGATGAGGGATCGTGTGGCATCGAGTGATATCTCAAAAGTGTGAAAACCATTTTTTGCTATGTCATTAATCCTTAAAACCACAAGACTGGCCCGGGACACCAAGACCTCCTGTCCCGATCCCACCGCCACCTCACTTCCTCGGATTATTAGGGTTATTCACAGCATAGTGATAAACCCAATTATGCCTCTCCCACCAACTGGGTCTATGAAACGCCACCGGCCTCGTCAGCTCGCTCGTGCACTCACTATTGATATTCCTCCTCCTCTTATTCTCCCGGCACTTGCACCTGCATCCCGTCCCCCCCTCCGACGGCGGTGTCATCTTGCCCGTGTCTGCCAGCGCCTTGTTACCGAGCAGTTGCTCATCCATCGGCGCATTCCCGGGACACTGCCAAAGCGTGTCGTGCTCGTAGCCAATATCCGAGAAATGATGGATCTTCTCGGGCGAGAGAAGCATGTGCACGGCCAGCGTGTGTACCGGCGCGTCGCCCCAGCGCTCCGAGTAGAAGCCGCCTTTGCTGTCCAGGTAGCGGAAGTAGTCCTGGTATTCGCGCCCGCGGAAGAAGTCCAGGTTGGCGATCTCGAAGTTGCTCCAGTAGTGGCACATGTTCCACTTGTTGCCTGCGTTGTCGTGCTCTGAGACTCCGAAGAAGCCAAGAAACCAACGGACGGGCGCGGGTACCACATCACTTGGAACAAGGCATTCCAGGCTGGCGTCCGGGGAATGCCCTTTTCGATCCGGTAGTCGTCGGTCGTCTTGAACAGGGCGGGCAGGTATCGCCGACCTCCCAGAGCGCTATCGTCCAGCCGTAGACCTTGTTGCGACGCGCCATCTCGGCAAAGGGGTCGTATGTGAGGGCGCAGCTGTAGCGGACACTCGGCTCGAGGCGCCAGTACCACTTGTACGGCCTCAGGGCTTCGAGGTTATAGAACTCGCTGTTTGCAACACACGGGTTAGCAAAAGAACCTTCCACACGGAACGCACGGTGAGACATACCCAGAGTAGAACCGACACATGTGGTGATAACTCTCCATATCGCCATAGCCCACTCCCTTCTCACCCTGCTTTTTCATCTGCAATTTGGCCTTCGTCTTTTCCTTCTCATTCATCTCCTCGGGAAACCCCCACTTTCCCTTCTCGATGACCTCGAACCTGACCTCAGTCCCGTTACTCACGGCCCTGCTCAAAACATCCTTGAATTCCTCCGTCCACGGAACGTCGTTCAGGAACAGGATCGGGTAGTGGAACCACCGGTTGAAATGCCATTCGATATTCTCCACCGTCGCTCTCGCATCGTCGATCTCGCTATTCCGCGCCAGCATGACAAAAGTGGCGTTTTCGCGCGGCTGCGCGGCGGTCACCGACGGGTCCAGACATCCCGTCGCAAACGGCTGGTCGAGATCATGGTCGGGGCGCGCAACGCGCGTACGGTATAGGTGAATCGGCAGGTCGATGAGGTAAAGGACGAGGAGCGGTAAGGCGATTTTGAGAAGGAGCTTGATGCGGCGTCGATTGCGCCCCGAGCGCCGAAGTCGTCGAAATTGCAACATGAGGATCTGTCCTACTCGCGCCAGCAGGTCAAACGCGAGAGGCAGTGTGCCCGGCTGGGAAGATGCGCGGTAGTAGCCCATCTCTTTGAAACATGAGATGGCAGATGGCCAGAGCTTTACCGTGTGGCTTTGTGAGCTTACTTACCGCATCTCAAACAAACACAAACATCAAGGATCGCCAGATGATGCAGGTCGGTGGCAGCGCAGAGTGGCATCTAATACGATGATCAACTCTGCTGCCTACACAACAGCCCATTACGCTGTCGCAACGAACAAGGGCACAGCCGCACAAAAAGAACAACCAACAGTCTCTTCCGTGCCGTATATCCATGATGGAATTTCCTAGTCGATCAGCTATTTTCTCGGCTGTCATAGATTGACGAGACGTTGAAGGGCGAGAACAAAGAAAAACAAAGAGAAGGGAACCAACAAACTTTACGTCCCTTGCCACTAAGCGTTGCCGGGTCAGGTAGGTAAAATCCTTTGGGTTAGTGATGACCGACAACCAATGACACACACTACGATGTTACAGTGGTTTTCCGTAGCAATCCATGACTGAGCAGGGCCGTAAGCCGTTGCTGGCCAGTGAAAAGCCCAGGTGCTGATGGCCGGAGATTGCAAAGGGACGCTCATGATGATTGTTGAGGAAGGAGAATGCTAAGACGCGGTGAAGGGAATTCATGGATGTTTTATGTGCTTGTTTGCAAACAAGTAGAATAAGTTGAGACAATGTAAACAATACGTCGCATTCCACCGGCGCACGTGAAAGGGGTACGTACAGGCAACCGAATCGGAAATTTTGGAGATGCCAGCCAGATGCACTTGCATATTGACGTCACGTTCTTCGAATGCAAACGATCTTGCACACTGCTCTGACACAAGTCGAAGCCTCCGCGAACTTTAGAACATCGGTTGCGGTCAGAGCCAGCGAATGACGGCGAATGACCGGTGGACGCCGGGCTCCGGGAGCGGTGCCTGAGAATCGAAGGGTCACCGCCGGCGCTGGCTTTCCGAAATCCAGACCGGACACTCTCGGCGCATGCTGCCAAGCCGGCTTGTTACGTGAGAGAAACTGATTCTCCTAGCAGCGGCTGCCACAGCGAATCTGCCATCACGCTAACAACTGGTGGGACCGGATAATGAGCCCGTGCCAGTGATGTTTCATTTTCGACGTTTTGTTTGCCAGAGAAGTCTCAGAGAAGACCGAGAAGCCTCTCCGCCATTCCAGATTCCAGCCACCCTGCCACCACCCCGCGGTTCGCAAAGAAAGTTTTTTTCTTGCGTTGAATCCCTGTTGAGCCCGCTTTGTCCTCCACCCGGCCCTCCACTTAAAGGGCCAGATACCGCCACTTCTTGTCACAGTGACGGAAACTGAAGAACGTGCATTCTTATATCTCGAAGAACATCATCTTTTCGTTGACCTCGTCCCTGAACGAGCAGGAGAAAGCCCTGACCAACCCTCCCGACCTTGGAAGTTATCTTTCGAGACTCGAGATCATCTGTCGCCAAAAAACCCCGGATAAATGACCCTAGGTCAAGCTCCTAATGCAGAGGACAGCTGCCTAAAAAACCATCAGCAGCCCCCCGTGGCCGAGTCATTGTCATCACTCCCGACCGTTATCGATTCCAGCGACCAGGAAAAGGGCGGATCGTTCGTCTCAAAGCGCCAAGACAACTCGGACGGACAGGACTCGGGACCGGAATCCGACACCATCCAAGACCTCAGCGACAGCCCCCATGATGAGGGCGCCAAGTGCGAGAACGGCCTTGCCCGGCAGCCGTCTGCGGCGACCACCGTAATCGACTTCCCCGAAGGTGGCCTGCAGGGCTGGCTGGTAGTGTTTGGGTCCTTTTGCGCCATGATATCGGTGTTTGGACTTATCAACTCTGCGGCCGTCTTCGAATCATACTTTTCGACACATCAGCTTGTCAACCACAGCGCATCCGAGATCGGATGGATCTTTTCCCTGTACCTCTTCATCGTCTTCTTTGTGGGCATCCAAGTCGGCCCCATTTTCGATCGGCATGGAGCGCGCCTCTTGGTCGCCGCGGGTAGTGTGCTGGTCGTCCTCAGCTTGATGTTGTTGAGCCTCAGCAAGAGTAAGTCCTTAGCACTTCCGCCCCTAGTTGTTGATGGCATATGGAGCTAACGACGGACGCAGCTTATTATCAGATCATGCTGACATACTCGGTGCTCGGTGGCTTGGGCGGCGCCCTTCTCAACTGCCCTGCGTACGGGGCGATCACACACTTCTTCCATGTGCGCCGTGGACTGGCAACAGGTGTTGCTACCATTTCCGGCGGCATTGGTGGTATCGTGTTCCCCATTATGTTGCGGTATACCCTCCCCTCGATTGGGTTCCCGTGGAGTTGCCGCATTCTTGGCTTCATTATGCTCGGCCTCGCCGTGCCAGCCAACCTCTTTATCAAGACTCGTCTGAAGCCCAAGATCAGCCACGACGGAGCCAAGGTCTCGTCACTTCTGCCCGACTTTTCCGGATTCCGAGACCTTCGCTATGCCTTTTCGGCGATCGGCATCTTCTTTATGGAGTGGGGTCTGTTCATGCCCTTGACGTACATTGTCTCGTACGCAGCGGCGCATGGCCAGGATGCGACCGAGAGCTACCTTCTCCTGTCGTACCTCAACGCCGGGTCTGTGTTGGGCCGTGTGCTCCCGGGTCTCTTTGCCGATCGCATTGGACGGTTCAACGTGGTGATCATCACCATCTCGCTGTGTGTGATTCTCGTATTGGCCATGTGGCTCCCGGCAGCCATGTCCAAGTCGGTGCTGATCGGATATGCCGTGCTCTTTGGATTTGCCAGCGGAAGCAACCTCGGCTTGGTACCCGTATGCCTCGGACAGTTGTGTGACGCTCGCCACTTCGGTCGGTACTACTCGACAGCCATGATGGTGGCCAGTTTCGGTACGCTCAGCAGTGTACCCATCGGCGGCGCCTTGTTGGAGATGGGCTCTGTTGAGACGGGCTGGCGAGCCGTCATCATCTTCTCGGGCCTTTCGTACTTCATCGCCCTGGCGTGTTATACGTCCGCCCGTGTCCTCGCTGTCGGCTTCAACCCGCGGGTCAAGTTCTAATCGTACGGCGCGTTTTTTTCGGTGTTGGATGTTGGATATAGACAAAAGCAGTTGGATAGCTAGATAATGTTAATGCGAAATGATCAACGCCGCAGAGAGTTTTCGTTTGTGCAATACAGTGAAAGTGTCAAGAAAGTAAGTGGACCCGCGAGAGGAAGTGGTCCTCCTCCAACCTTCGTCCTCGGCAGTAGGTTGAGGCCGTCGGGCGGTTAGGCTGCATGTCTCAGCCCACTGTTCCGCTGAAACCCCACCGAAGCCGTAGGGCTCAGGCACCCGCGACGTCAAATCGCGGGGTAATATCTCAGCAGACCCCGCCGCCGACCAGAAAATTTCAACCCCACATTCCGTCCAGTGTCAAGAAAACAACATCGAAACATTTCCCCAGCAACAAAGTCACAAGTCAACAACCACCTCAGCCATCATTATCCTCAACAACATACCTGCGCTAGACATACAATGGCTGGCGAACTAAACGCGGCACCGGTTCTGTCAACACCGGAGGACCACCTATTTGAATACGCAGTGGTCCCGACCGATGACAAGACCAAGACGAAATCAGACGATGAACTCGGCGACATCTACGAGATCTCCAGGACAGCAAAGGAGATCGGCGAAGGGGGATGGAGGAGAATTGGCCTACAATTTCCCGACCATATGCTTTGCGATGCCCCCAGAGTCGTCCAACTCCTAGAGAAAGAGCTCGCTGCTCTACCACAACCGACGCCGTCGACGTCTTCCACAGAAACACCAACAGCATGCCCCGAGCCCTCGACCACGAACAACGGACAATGCGGCCGCGATGCCCAACAAAACGGTACAGGGTGTGGATGTGGTAAACAAGCTCCAGCTCCAGCAGAATCTCAACCCAAGGCCCGTCGAGTATACGTGCTCGCCGATACCTCCTACAGCGCCTGCTGCGTCGACGAGATTGCCGCCGAACACGTTAACGCCGATGTCGTTGTCCACTACGGCCGCTCGTGCCTCTCGCCTACTTCCCGTCTTCCCGTAATCTATGTCTTCACCAAGCACATCCTCGACCGCGATGCTGCCCTCGCCGACTTCGAGAAGGAATACCCAGATAAGGAGGCCAAGGTGGTCTTGATGGCCGATGTCACATACCAAGTTCACGTCCAGTCTTTGTTGTCCGAGCTCCAAAGCCGTGGTTACGCCAACCTGCTAGCCACCGAGATTGTTCACAACCCCATGGGCAGGATACCAAACAGAAAAGTCGTGGATGCCCAAGGCAAAGAGGTTGAAATCAGCGATGGCAGCGAAACCTCGACGGGTCTGAATCTCCGAGACTACTCCATTTTCCACGTCTCCCAACCGCCAACCGCGCTTCTCCTCGCCCTCTGCTCCAGAGTCAAGAACCTCTACATCTTCCAGACCTCTTCTGACAGCTCCTCGCTGTACTCCGCTCAGCGTCTCCTTGGTCGCCGTTATGCCCGCCTCCTCTCCCTGACCACGGCTGGCATCATCGGTATCCTTGTCAACACCCTCTCGGTTTCCAACTACCTTTCCTCGATCGATAGCATCCGCAAGCAGATCGCTGCTGCCGGCAAGAAAAGTTACACGATGGTGGTTGGAAAACTCAATCCGGCCAAGCTTGCCAACTTTGCCGAAATCGACGGCTGGGTTGTGGTCGGCTGCTGGGAGAGTTCTCTTATTGAGGATGATGCTGGCTTCTACAAGCCCGTTATCACCCCCTTTGAGCTTGAACTCGCCCTCGCCAGTGACGACGAAAGAGTTTGGACCGGCGAGTGGTGGGGTGGCATTGAGGCTGTCAAGCCACCGGCTGACGAAAAGCTCGAGGAGAAGAAGTCCGAGAACACCGAGAACAACGAGACGCAAGATACAGCCGATAACGAGCAAGCCTCTGGTGACGGCGATTTTGACAGCGAAGAGGAGTCGGCACCACCCGAGTTCGACTGGAGGACAGGAAAACTTGTCAGCCATAGTAGGCCCATGCGCATGGCCGCGTCGAAACCCAAGAGTGAAAAGAAGGAGGCCTCGTCTGATAAGCCGGATGCGCCGCCACGATCAAGCGCTTTGACCCTGAGATCCAAGGCCCAGGAGCTGGCATCAGTCAACGGCGTCGTTAGCCCAGGTGCAGAGTATCTTCGTACTCAGCGGACCTGGGTCGGTCTGGGTACAGATTTTGACGAGGAGGCCAGCATGACGATTGAAGAAGGCAGAGGCGGAGTGGCGAGAGGCTACACGGTTGGCGGGGAAGGAGAGAAGCACTTGATATCCTGAAGAAGAGGGCATTTGATCTGGGTAGACGCGATTGGGCACCAATGTTGGTAGGAGTGATACCCACAGAAAAGCGAATGGACTGCAATTACTTAAGACTCACGAACGCGATCTTGGGGCCACGAACACGACTCAGCTGTTGGGTTTCTTCACCTCTAGGGCCTATCTACTTCCATCATTTACCATTACCGACGGGACTAATATTGTAGCGACCGCGACCCGCACAACCGCCACGCCTGAACTCTTGCTACCTTATCATTCAATCCTCGCCAAACCTTAGCAATGAACCAGCCTTTCCCTCACAGGTGCCACAAGCCTTCGCTCCCACTGGATTTCTACACATGGGCACATAAACAACCAGGTGGACGATCAACCGTGTCATCCGTGGACCTCCTAGCCTTATACGGCGGGGGCGGTGTCGTCTCCCTCGCCTGCCCTTTGTGCGCATCCATCTCGTACTCTTCATGCTGTCTTCCTTCTCGATGCTGCTGCGGCTGTTCCTGTCGCGTCTCTTCCTGCATATAAGCCATGGAATAAGCTCCATCCAGTGGTGTTCCCGTCGTTGGCGGTACCCTGATTCCCACGCGAGTTTGTCTCTGTGGCCGGTTTCGATACAAAGGACGGTCAAGACCAGCATGACGCCACCATCCCGAAGTCGTACGAATTACTTCCCTTCCGTGTCTGTCTCTGCCTCTATCTCTGTTTCTGGTGCTAGCCCTGGTTCTACCACCGTACTGATGGTAGTGGAATGAGTGTGGGTAGGGGAGGTGGTTGTCCTCTCTGCTTACGCCGCCGTGTCCTATGAACGGGGGGAGGTGGAATTGAGATTCGAGTTCAATGCTCTTCTTCTTCCGAAAGCAGCATTGCCAGATGGTCGAGCCGAAAATGAGAATGGCTAGGGCGCTGAAAAGAATGAACATGGGGATCTTGTACTTCTGGTAGAAGCCGTCTGCCGGGATGTCTGCCGGTCCGGTGCCATCGGCGAGGGTGGAGTTAGCCTGAGAGAGTTAACAAGTGTCAGTTGGGCACGATCTCACAGAGGGTAATTGCTTGTGGGAAGATGATTCAGGATCCGGAAAGGCCGATACTTACCATGGCTTACGCCTTGCTGCCGACGTCCTCAGCTTCTGATCGGAGGCGGGGAAGATATCCAAGGTTGTGGGTTCGGACAGTCGTGGATGATTACAATTCCTTCCCTGAAATGGTGATTTTGGTGCAGTCTATGGGGGACACCCAGCTCGTTGCCTGCGTTCACCTTTCCAGGAACAAGTTGAAGGAAAAGCCAACAACAGGCAAACAAAGAAAAAGTCCTCTTCATGAAGGAAAACGAATCGAGAATCAAATTTCCGTGAGTCACTTCGACGCCCGACACCAAATGGCCAACAATATGCCTGATAAGACAGCGAAAATTGCAGCTTCCTATTGTTCATGGTCGCGAAATCTGGAAGCAATGATGAGGTGAACCAACCAACGCCTGGGAAATGAGCATGGTGCAGCGTGGAAGTTCGGATGAGAACCCTTATGGCCCAACTGCTATTATACCCTCGTGTCTCCGACCTCCGATCTCCGGCACCGGAATCACTCATATTGTTCCAGCCCACCGGTACCAGATAGTCAGATACCCACCAAGTCGTGAACCCGCGTCGTCATACCTCCCAGCCGGGGTGTATCAAGGCATCAACGCATCAACAACCCGTTCGGTCTCTGCTCCACGAGCCGTCCCACCAGCTCTCTTCACCACCCTTGACTCCGAGCCCATAGCTTCATCATGTTTACACGTACCTGGCAGGGTGCGTCGGACCTTCACTACTCCTACCCGGAATCATGCCCTACGATGGCCCGGGCATGCTGGACACTGGCACTTCCTCCGATCCTCTCGACATCGCCTCCAATACTTGCATTTGGGGCAATCGCATCCTTCTCGTCCCTCTTCTAGATGTGCAGGTGATGGTTCCCACATGTGCCAGGTCACCCTCTCGCCGCCGCCGTCAAGGAGGAAGATGAAGCGGAGGATGGCGCAGAGGCAACCCATCGCTTTTGGATGGTGACGGTCGGTACCTCGTCTGTCACCCTGATGTGGTGCACTGGTATCGAGCGCAAGCCTTGATCGTGCTATGCTTGTTGTGTTTACTGAGCTTGAGAAGGACGAGGGGTTAGTGATACGATGGGGTGGCTGAGAGACACCGACCGAGGGTGAGGGGGACGTGAGACGGACGTGAGTGTTCGTTATACGGTCAGTCCTTCGTACCCTAAATCTGGATAAACTGTAAGTTGCTGTCCATTTAACTCGTCGTTCAAGTGTTGAGCTGAACATCTTATAGCTGAGAGTCAACAAATTCACAGCCCCATTTCTTCTGGTGCTGTCATTCACGCGATCAAGCAGCGCACAATGAGCCTGTTGTCTAGTCAATGACATGGTCACTTCTGGAGACAATCAGACCAGTCGTGTGTGAACGCCAACGGTGTCACAAGTGACATCTCACAGACCCCAAGGCTAACAATGAGACGTAGACGCTCATTGTTAGTAGGTAGGTTTAACACTTCCCGACCGCTGTTGCTTGGGGTTGCAGATGCGAATTGTCATTTGGCATCGATAGAACGAGCAAGCGGCAGACGGCTGAGATTTCTTCGATCTTTTCGAAGGATATCCTGATCAACTGGCGACCATCGCGTTCGTTTAAAGAAAAGCTACCCGTACCCATATCTTTCCTCCACGTACCCATGTTTTCAACTAGCCCCAGTCCTCCAAACAGCACCACCCCTTTTTCTACACCCAAAATCTAGCACTGACAGGGGTTTTGAACTTTGTTCAATATCCAGTAGCTTCATAAAGCTATAATTTTCTCGGCTTAATGGCGGCGTTTGAGCGTACGTTGCAAAAGCGAGTAAGCGACGCTGTCAATGCAACCTGGAGGTGACATCGGCGATTTGAAGGTATAATGACGGGAAAAAGCTACCGAGGGGATGTTCGAACTTGGTTTTACCATTATCCCAAGTTTAATTGGATTTCCCCGGCTGTGGTGTAAACATTTGCTTGCGTGCACCTAGAATAATGGTGCGTGGAGGAAAACACATGGGTGCGGGCAAGTTTTCTCTTCGTTTATCGTTGGGTGGCGATGTTGACGGGCGTTGCACCAGGAAAGATTGTGCGACTACAGTGATGTCCCCTGTTAATGCAAATCTGGGCCTCGAAGGAATGCGAGCAGCCAAAATCCTTTGCAAAAGGGGGAGTTTGCATTAACAGGGGACATTACTGTACCTCCTCAACGAGCCGACAGGCATCCAACCCCAAACAACGGGGGAAAGGGTATCTCAAACGATCATGTTTTATCCAGTCACATTTGTTTGTTCTCCTTCTTAGTACACGCGAGTATGGCAACGGTTTCCGTTAACGACTGTCACCTGGACCCACCGACATGAGACTGGCAAAGTTGCGAGTCCGCTCGTCTCAAGTCGCTACCCCTACAATGTCACCTGACTCGTACGAGTCCGGGTATCATAAGATGCAAAGGCACATATATTTGGGCAAAATAAGGCCCATACAAGACGACGCTATCGAAACCCTAAGGACTGACCACCCTCAAGGCTTACTAGTTTTCACGTCCGAATAACAGCAAATCGACCCTGGCTATATTCAACGAGATCCCTGCAGCCCTCCAGAGCCTCAACCGTTTTGGATCCACCTCGCCTGGGAATAAGCTTCTAAGAAGCCGAGTCGATCTAGGATTGACCGGAAAGACATGCCGCAGGATGAACAAGAAACACGAGCGTTTGGTCTGCGATCAGAATGTGCACACAGTTTCACTTGGGAGCCCCTGAACTCCTCATTTCGAGTTCAAAGATGCAGTATTTAGAGGCCTCCGATGCCCTCTCGTGAATGTCGATATTCTTTCACACAGCAACTCCCTATCCAGTTTGTTCCAGCACTCGTCTCTCTCTTCTCTACTTTCTTTCTTCGCAGCAGGCTGCACCTCATCTTATCTACTTCATCCAGTGTTTGTTTACCAAAGTCTTTCTCTTTACGATACTCTCTTTTCGACCACTTTCATCATGCGTTTCTCTACTACCTTGCCGCTGGCGGCTTTCGTTACTCTTGCCAAGGCCCATGGAGTGATTCTGGCCGCTCAGGGAGAGTCTGGTTCGCCACCATCTGTCGGATTCGGAGGTATGTCACTACTGCATGCAAGTTCCGTGTGTTCAAGTCCGACTAACCTCTCTCAAAGTCAACCCCGAAATCGCCCGCAACTGCACCACCATCAACCCCTGCCAGCTCGACTCGGTCATCATGCGCGATGCCGAGATCAAGGCGAACCTGGTCAACAACTGCGGCCGCACGCAGCTTACAGGCAACATCGACATCGCCGAAAACACCGAGGCAGCGCTGGCCGAGGGCTCCGTGACCCAAGTCAAGGCAGGCAGTAAGATCACCGTGACAATCCACCAGGTCAACGCCGACGGCGCCGGCCCCTATGTCTGCGACCTGGACGAAACGTCCAACTCGGGCCTCATCAGCCAGAACCTGACCGTCACCAACAACGTGCCCGGAGCCAACGGCATCTCGCAGAACAAGATCCAGGACTTCAACTTTACCGTGACGATGCCGCAGAACTTTAAGTGCACTGGCGGTATGTTACCCTCCTTTTCTTTTCCTCCACCATAAACCGATACTAACAACATCTGTCCCCACACAGCCTCAACAGGCAACATCTGCACCGTCCGCTGCCGCAACAACGCCGTTGCCGGTCCCTTCGGCGGCTGCTTCGCCGTCCAACAAACCGACGTCAAGCCGACCCTCAACACGCCCGATAACATCGCCACCTTCAAGAACATCGACGCGATCGAGGCCGAGCGCAGGGTCAGCGTGGCCACGCTGCCGATAGCCAAGGAAGCCAACCGCCAGGCCGGGTCAAGCGAGGCCCAACAGAACGCTGCTGCCGTCAGCGCCATTCTCAATGCTGGGTTTGTGAGCAAGTCCGCCCCCGTGCTGACGCCGACCGTGGTGCTCGGTGGTAATGGCGGAGCGGCAGCTACGGCTACGGCTGTTGCTGGTGGTGCTGGTAAGGGTGCTGGTGCTGGTGCTGGTGCTGGTGGTAAGAACGGTGGCAAGAACAAGGGCGGAAACGGTGCCGGAACCGCAGCGGCTGCTGCCCCCGCTGCTACCGGCACTGGTCGCGGTGGTCGCCAGGGAAAGAACAGGGGCACTCAGAACCAGAACCAGTAAGGTGAAGGGCGAATTCCCTCAGAATTGGACTTGACTACTAGAGTTTTGTAGGAGAACTAGAAGTACCTAGAAGTTGCGAGAATGATCCACCAACCAACGAACGGGGACGGCATTTGTATTGATTATGGGGTAGACTGTAGAGGGAGCTTGGCTGGAAATTGGAACTGGGGCTGGGGTCATACATACTAGTCCTAGTTCATTTTTTTTAATCTAACCACGAGTGCTGCAATTCTACAATGGAAGATCTTTGTTTCGTGGTTGTGAGCGAGTTGGGGTGGCAGTGCGGAGCGGAGCGGTGTGGTGCCGGTGCCGGTGCGGTGAGGTATCTATATTTCCTCCGGTTTAGTGGGGCGTTTAGGAGGAAGGTGGGGTCGGGCCGGACCGGGCCGAGTATCGGGATCGGGTGTGTCCCCGGCCACGTTGAGAATCTGGCGGTTTTTGAGTTCGTTCTGACGAGCTTTTTTTGTGTTCAAAGTTACCTTGGCCAGTCAGTCCCGTATAACTTGTAGCGGTGGCATCAATAATTCAAAATTCAATAGCGATGGTTTCTGCTAACTAACTCTTGCCACCCGGATGACGAACCGTTCCGGGAATCCCGTCCGGAGAACCAAAAGGATGCGGAGATGTGGCCGTATTGGGGTGTGTGTTTGCAACTTGCGCGAGTTCTCAGTACTATATCGTAGGCAGGTAAGCGCCAACGGCTCCGGGGGCCAACAATGCCCTTGAATCGGACTACCTATTGACTGCATGTGAACGTGAACACACTTTTACCGGGGGTTTGTTTGTTTTTAGGAAGCTTTTTCGGAGAGAATGAACTTTCCGAATTTCACGACATTTTTACAAGGGGTTCATGCATGCCGATTCCGTCTCACCGAAGACTGAGGGTGTGTTCCGTAGCGTTTTTTTTTAGCGTTTTCACCGGGTGAAAATGGCCGGTGAAAATCCTGTTCCATAACTTTTTTGACACTTTTGTACCTTTTCACCCGGGTTACACGTCTTGTTCACCCGGTGAAAAGAAATGGCCTACTTTCTAAGCTTTTAGCCAACCAAATCGCTCGCATCCATCTTCATTCCTTTTCACCCAGTGAACAGAAAAAAGGGTGTTTTGCAAAATGCATCACCCATTGAACGCGCTGAAATAGTGCTGAAGCCGCTATAACCAACCCAACTCCAACGCCAAAACAATATGATCACCATTTTCACCCAAAACCCTGCAACCCGGTGAAAAAGCCGGTGAAAATTGGTCCGTGCAACCTTTTTACCCGAAGTACCTTTTTCCCCGGTGAAAAAGCCCAAAAAAGGGCTACGGAACACACCCTGAATGACCGAACGAAAGATCTTACTCCAATTGCCAACTATACTGACCAACAACTAACTGCTAAGAAAGATAGTTAAGTCCGGATACGGCCCCGAATGCTGACCACCGTCTGTCTACCCGGACCCGATCCTTCATTTTCGGGGGTACGGAAGTAAGTGATATCGCCGAGATACCGAACGGCCGCGGTCGCAGTCACCGTATGTGGTGAACAAAGAGTCAGGAATAGGAATAGTGTATGAACTAGTGATGGAAGTTTTGCTGCTTTTGTAAGGTGTTGGTGATTGGGGCCGTGTTTGGACATGTAGTTTTATATCCGATAGAACATGCATTTAAACCATCTGACATTTCATCTAAGCCAGCCAGAATGTGGCTTAGATGCATATACGACTAGATGTACTGCGCAAGCCAACACGGCCATCTTAATGGGCACTTTCCATTCCAACTTCCAAGACTCCTCGGTGAGCAAACACAAGACAATAAGCTACTACCTCTACTGACCTCGATTCAGTAGGTAGGTCGATGGCGAGGATTAGGTGTGTCCTACATGTGCCGACGGAGGTGGATGTAGCTTCCCCTCGGTTTGTTATTCCCAATGTTGAAGCCACTTCCATACTATTGTCTTTTATTGACTGGCGTGCTCACCGCTCAGTGACAGTAACAGTGAGTTGCTTGAGTCGTAATGGTCTCTGGAGTCCTCAGAGGTGTCGATGGTAAGAGCGAGCGAGGTAGCCGCAGTGGCTTGAAGTGGGCTTGACCTGGCTTGCGGTGGCATGACACATGAGTGGTCTTGACAGCGTCTGGATCCTGGAAGTCGGGATGTTCCCAGAGAAATGCGGAAATCCGAGTAGGCATATTTAGAACTGGGGAGTCAACCATTCGGGTGCGTGGTGGGAGCTGAGTCCATACATACGGCATCAAACGGTCGAGCGTGCGTCGGGAAGAACGCTGCTGCGTGGCTGCCTTCATGGCACATGCCGTCCGTTTATCGGTCAGGTACCTACTGAAAGAGGGCGTGTGGGTGTGGGTGTACACAGTCCACACAGCACTCCACAAAGCTGGAAGTAATGGAAGAAGGGCTTGAAAGTCGTGTAACCATTCGGAGGTAAGGACTGTAAGGTACCTGCGTCAGAACTGAGATGACTGGAAGAGTGGAAGGTGCGAAGACTGTGTACTTGCTTTTGGCACAGGCCGTCCTCCAGTCAGACGGCAGTTACCTTCTTGTTTTCGATGGTCACAGGTCACAAGGTGCGGATATGGTCCATATGTTGGACAAAGGGCCAATGCTTCCCCACGGCGGAGCCCAGAGCCAGGGCTAAAACCCAGAGGGAAGGACAAGCTTACTAGGTAGCACATGCTCGGGAGTTACGATTGAGTGGTGGGACTGTGAGTGGTGGAAACTGGAGAAGGGGAAATGACATCCCGACCGGTGATGGCATGTGAGATGCTGATGTGGTTATACAACATTTCTCTGGTACCCAGAGGCTCGGATCGAGGTGAGATTTGTGTCATGATAACTATTTCCGAGAGCTGAAGGCAGAAGATATTGCTGTTTTCTTTCCGAAAGAGCTTGGATAAGGTAGCTCGGCGACCGAGTGGTTATGCCGGCATTTTGACAGAGATGGTCGATGTTCAGCCATGAGGGAGGGGTCTAGACTCATTGTCTCCGTTGGTACCAGACCCTTCTCTTTTTCTGACTGATGGTCAACAGGCCACGAAGATGAATCGTGTAACCCAGGACCAGAAACAGCGTGATGATCGAACTCTCAATGATGTGTTGATGTTGGAAGTGTTCTTTGAAGGGGTGTTGTCAGTTTGTCATAGATTGCCACATTTTGCGTGATGTTCTCCATGCTATACCCCTGGGCTGGAGCCTCCTGACAAAGGAGAACTCTCATCAAGACTAGCAGCATTCAAGTCAGCCGCAAAAGCCGCTATCCCCGCAGCCCCTGTCTTACAAACTCGGTTTAGGTTGAAGAATCTTTGCCAGGAACAGGGAGAAAAAGAGGCGGCTGTGTAGGTAGGTAGCAATATTGAGCTTGTGACAACGCCTACGCCGGACCCTTCCGCCCTGAATAACCCAAGGGCTCCTAGAAGAAAGCTTCAACCGCGTCATGCTTACGTTCTGTTTGGCGTTGGTAGTAGAGAACGGCATGGAAGGCACCCACCCAGGTGAGCCAGCCTACTCTGGCCGTTGGAAGGTCATTGGAACCCTCACGGGGCCGTACTCTGGGCAATTATATTCTGCGGCTCCTGGTATGTAGTCTTGGCGTGGTGGTGTAAGTCCTATATCGCCCTAGTTCTCTGATGGCCCTGGACGGACACACCGAGATGCCTAGATGGAGAAATCTGGGACGGGATGGCATTCTCTACCCGTGACCGTGCTTGTAGGTGAAGGTTGTGCAAAGCAACGTAGCCCAGGGAAGTATGTTTCCGGCACAGCTCGTACCATCAAGATATTTTGGGGGCCGACAAGGGGGTCACAGCCCAATAGGGAGGCACCCAAGATTTGATAACTACCCAGGGCCATGTCTGTTAAGACTTTGGTACAGTGATGACTGAACTAACCTGGATGGATTTGATGTTGAGGCTTTGTATGCGTCATTGAATCGCGGTACAGCCAGGTCCTTGCTTCCACGTGGGCGTAGCCTGCGGCACCGCACAAAGCGAGGTGAAGATAACCCAACAATCAAAATATCGACTGGAAATGTGCCCTTATCGAGCTGTATGTTGGTGAGGGAGCCCTGGGCTGGCTGTATAGCATCTGCCTGGCTCCTATAGTTTCAACGCCAACACGATATCACCGCCGCCTCAACCAGAGTTCGAACGTGACTTGAAGGCTTCAAGCCTTATAGGTACACATCAGAATTTCGATCCGGGGCTGATAATCCGGGCCGAAAGCCGAACAGGAGACCTGGTGGCCCTGACCCTGGGCTCACATCAGCAACAGAACCAGGATTTTCTCCCAACGGAACGACACGGGACCAGTCTTTATAAGCTGGAGTGCAGCAACCAAACCTTGTGCGAGATCAGACAAGAAAGCGTGGGGTAGTCTACCCAGTACGCCATAGTCTTCGTCCACATGTCTGCTGTAGTGAGATATGACATTGACAGCAGGGAAGGCCGTGAGGTGGGAGAGGTCCTTCCCGGGTTTGAGCTGACCAAGACTGTCAAGACAGCAAGTTGCCGCCCGATTCGCCCCACATACCGAGGGAAGGAATAACTGAAGGAACGAAGGAAAGCAAAATACGATGCTTCTAGTTGACAGTATGTCTGTAGGTAAGCAAAACAGAAAGGAGATATCAGGAAACAACAATTGCCAACCCATTACCTCCAGCTTATGTGATGATGGTGTACCGCACCTCTCGGTACGGGGTGACATCGCCAGAACTTGGCAAATCCGGAATATGCTTCCTGTCCATCTCCCGTTCGGGTCCGGTGCGGGTGGTATCGAGTTTTAACTTCTCGGTGTGTTGGTTGCAATAGAACTTCGTCACCTGCATACAATAAGACCCTGAAAGACCGCTAACGCTGAGGCTTTGATGAAGAAACGGTGCCGATTCCTCGCTAAAAACCCCCTGTCTACGGGGTCTGCCGAGAGTGTTACAGTTGCAATATTCTACGCATTGCACTAGTCCATTGCTACCCACCGACTACGGTGGCCTAGGTCGGTTTTCGTTTCACATTACTCACTAGCCCTAATTTCAATTGGTTATAGCTATTAACTATAACCTACATACAAATGTAAACCTACTCCCCCTCGCTAAAGTAATTATATATCCCATTATATTATTTGTATAAACCGTCTATACTATAATACTATACTATGCCTACGTCAATATACCTTATTAAAAGCCCCACTTTATACTTACGTAATTATAGCGCCTTTTACTTATAACAATAAACCCTTACTTTCAGTTCCGGCTACGTAATTTAATAATTTAACTACGGAAAAGTAGATTACGTTTTTATTAGAATAGATTTAGGGATCTATTTCGGGCATTATTAAGTAATTACTTAATATTAATTAAGTATACTATTATTAAAAGGTATTATATAATATTAGAATTTATTTAATATAATCGGTTTAAATAGAAGGTTATATATTTATAATAAACCTGTAAGGTCTTTAAAGGTAAAGAGTAGGAAACTTTTATTTCGAAAGTCAAATTTCCTATTAAAGTTTATATTATTATTCTTTACCTTTTCGAGGAAAATATTTACGACGGCGAATATATATGTTATAAAGATACTAAAACCTTCTATCCGATTATATAGACGAGGATACTTTGGATCTCTTAGACTTTATAGTCCAATAGCTTCCTTAAAACGAAGCGTAAGCGTGCTTTAGCGTCTTCGTTATCCTCCCAATCTTTAGCGGGCTTGGTATAATTATCGCCTTCGCTCAAACTAGTACTATTATACTTAAACAGTAGGAATTCATTTCGAGGAGGGGCTAGGGCGTTACCCTTAGTAGTTTTTAGGGTAACTATAATATAGTATGCGGGTTGGAGTTTCTTTATTGTAGGTTAGTATATAAAGATCTATTATTACAAGTAACTATAATATATACACTTACAAACTTATTTTTACAATATAGTTATTAATAGTAAATATAGTATTAATGTAGAGAAATTGTTTACGAGAGCTAGGGTTCACGAGAATACGAGGTTATATGCAATGTGAGAAATAATTAATTGCTAAAGCGAGTTTGATCTGACGCGCTAGGGCGCGTTTCTAGTGACTGCAGCTGGCAAACATTTGATTTTGGGGATGTGAAACGAAAACCAACCTGGGCCACCGTAACCGACGCTCGCCGGGAGACTCGGAGAGTTAATGGTGCGGCGATACGACGACGACACGCGGGAAGAGAAAGAACCCGACGCTTTACCTAACGGTAAAGGGAAGCGAGAAACGAAAGATCGAAGAAGGAAGGATGTGAGAAACTTGGAAAGGGTAAACTTACATTTGAAGGTATTCGAGTTGCCGCTTTATCCCGAGCTCACCAACATTTGGAGACCGAACAGCCAAGCCCCTTCATCGACAACGCTAGCATCTTACATGAGCACTGGATCGGTAATCCGCTGCACAATAACGGTCGAATCCAGAGCCTCAGAGCAGTCAGAGATACGAACGGACACGGGGTCCGGTCCATTGAAGCTGTTCAGTGCAATCCAGTCAGTCCAATCCCAGGTCCAAGGTAAACAAAAGGCTGCTGCATCGCCAAGTCAACAAGTGTGCAGATGGTAAACATGCCGTGTCACCAACAGTGAGGACGATATGCCTGTTCATTGGGCGGCGACACTGGCAGGCAGGGCTTTTCCTCGACGAGCTCGATGTGCAAGGGAAGATGTACCAGTCCAATAGATTCCCGTTATAAATAGATAGCTGGACACGGCTCGGGACCGAAAGGACGAATAAGCTTATGTAAAATGCTACCTTACCTGACCCTCGATTTTATTTGACATGGCGTTTCCTCTTGGTTAGTTCCCTTGAAGCTTGACGCGATCGTGAATGGATGCTTGATGGGTGTTCAGCTACGCTGAAGACGACTGTTTTAACCTTCGAACAATGAAGTCAAATGGAAGCCTGTGATGCAACTGCAGTAGGAAGAAGATCACTGCAGGCTGCAGAACCACTACTGTGCAAGACTGGAGACTATGTAACTCACTAAAACAAGTGCCTCGTTGTAACCCAGAGCCCTATAACACCCTGAACTCATGGTGATATTGATAGGTATCGTCAAAGGTTGTCAATCGGGTGTTGAATTCCGATTCCAGTCTGCTATATCATCAAGGGCGTGTCCTTTCATTTCCTCATTAGCAACAACAGGTAACACAATCTGTGGCACGAGAAGAGATAGAAAAGTAACAAAACCTTTGTTCGCTATGCGCTTCACGATAAAGCGCTGACCCGTTGTTCCCCCGGCCGGAAGGTAACCACCCCCAGTCGAGCCACAAACGAAGATCATTAGCTGTCATTCGCGCATCCCAGCAAATGAGGAACAGACAGCTGGATGTGTATGTATGTATGTACACCACTGCAGTAGAGCTGTAGAGGTGCATACCTGACCCCTCAACCCACCAACTTGGTCACTCTGACACCCCACTGATGCAGCGATGTTGGGCGTAGCCCGCCCCGTTAAGAGCCTCTTCCACTTTCCGTCTGACGGTTGTCAACCCACGGGCTGAGTTCGGAAATGCTCTGCACGCCACATGATATCTAGATCAGCTATGCTTGAGCTGGGGCGTGTTTGGTTCCAGCGATGTAGTTTGAGAGTGCGATTGGACTTGGTACAACGCTAAAATCTGCACTTTTCGACAGGGATTTTGTACCATTCGTTTTTTTCTTCTTTCTTTCTACACTGACAGGGGTCCGTTTCTACCCTACAATTATAAGGTAGTTTCTAATCCTTATCAATTGGAGTGTTGATAGCTTCATTAGGAAGGAGGATGCACCAATATGCGGGCGCAAGCCATGTACAAGGGGGTTGCAGTAGCTCGATACCTGCCAAGCTCGAGGTGCAGCCAAAATCAACGGACGAAGCTCGGATTATACCAGCGGTTGGCTTTACAGGGTTAATTTGTATAGCCCCACTCTAACTACATCGATCAAACCAAACACGCCCCTGATGTGGCCTCGACGAGGCAGAGAGTAACACAACGATGACCGGTCTTGTATGCAAGAAAATCGTATCTGCAGACCTTGGAGAAGCGATCCAACAGCTTTCTTGCCCGCAGCTCACAGCTCCTGTCTAAAACTGCACTTCCTGCAGTGCAGTATATGCATAGTATGTTGCTGCACGGTTGGCAGATATCTCTTGGCTGCTGGATAGGATTGGACTCTCTCCAGTCCACAGACTCCAGTCCCGCGCCCTTGCGGACTGCACTCCGGTCTCCGTCCAGAACTGGGTGAGCTGGGCACCCGAACAGCTCGAGGTCGTCGATCAGGTTCCTCTTCGGGGAAACCCATGTGGCGGGTACGGCAGGCAAGGGCACGAAAAGGTTAACTCATCTTGGCTTTTCTTGTCGAGGACTCGGCGCTTCGAAGCTCGTAGGGCTTTTGGTCAGTCCAGTTGAAGGAAAGATCGCCGTGGTCGAGATGTTGGATGGGATACATGCTGCGGTGTCAGGCCAAGGGTTGGGAAGCTTGAAGCCCAAGCTAATTCCCGGGGAGGTGCTGGATGCATTGATATCAGTTGAGATATCCAAATGTTTTCTGATGTTGTCAGCTTGATGGACGTGAGGTTCTGAGGAAGGCACATCTCGCTGTGATGAGAACCGTGCACGCAGCAGATGCAAATCGGCACTGCGCTTGGCTTGATAGATCCCAGGTAGACAAAAGAAACCAATCTCTATCAAAAGTCCTCCGCTTTTGGGCCCGGTTCCATTGCAGCAATTGCATATCCCCGAAGGGGTGAAGAAGATGAAGTCCAGCACTGTGACCTCCACGCCAAGTCTCTTCCAGCCACAGCCGAACCAATACTTCACTATCCCAGCAGCGCGTTAGCGAGAATTCGAGTGTCAAGCATGAGCGGGAGAATCCATATTAAAAGCAATAAAGGACGGAAGAGAGAAAGGGACATGCCTGAATTCAATACCGGTAGGGCAGAATCCCAACTGGCCTACCTCTACTGCCAGTGTGCCACTGGCCAGTCTGTGTGGTTGATCAGATCGCGAAGGTCTCGTTTGACGGAGCTTCCATCGATTGGAAGAAGACTTGCAGTGCACTTTAGCACTATCAGCGCCTCACTCGGCCCAAAGGGATCTGGGCCAAGACAAGCAGAACAAGCAAGGGTTCAATAGTAGCTGCACCCGCCATTTGTCTTCCCGTCCTTGCAGATAGTGCACTGCATGTTAAATGGAAGGGCCTGGCTGGTTACCAATACGGTCAGTACCACAGTATATCGAGAATTCGAGATACATTTTGGGCGGCAATCATCGAACTTACTTATCCAGCTATCCTTTTCGTCAACCAAGTTCTACCTTAGGGGACCCCGAACGAAGATCATTCTGATCGTTTAATCCGACCTAACATGGAAGTCAGCGGAGAACACGGGCTGTCAAAATGTTCTGTAAAACGACCAACAGCACGTGGAATGTCAGCACAGAGAAAGACTCACCTAACAAAGGCATTGTCTCGCTCAGTCTTATTAGCCATTCATGCCATTCAATCTTGCCTTGCCTGATCTGGTCTGGTCTGAGCCTCCGCAGTAAATCCGTCCAAACATGGAATCCATCCCATCTCCCCGCCTCCGCCTTACTGTGCTTTTTTGTCTTACGGCGAGATATATCCGACCGATGGTCAACTGGGGCAGTACACAAGGTACTGTGCTACCGCCAAGCCGATGATAGGATACCTACCTCTACACAGTAGGCAGAGACCCAGCAAAGAAAAGAAACAGTCAGCAATGCGACTGGAGTCCTGGGTTCGGAACCAACCGGTTTTCGCTGCTGTACTGCCTGGTGCTGTCAGCTTGAGCTCCCCCCCTGTCACGGTGTCACCCCCCCTCCCCTGCTTCTAACGAATAACAGGTACAAATCAAGTAACGAAAAGGATTCCCGAGAAGAAATCAGTCGTGTCTGACAAAGAAGGATTATAATTTCCGAGCTTGGCTTTTTCGAAGCCAAAAATCCTTGAAAAAAAAAAAAAAAACTGTCAGCTGCCAAATGCCAAATGCCAATGCGCGCCAACCTGCCAATCCGATTCTCCCGTCCTTCCGTCATGGCGTCATGGAAAGAAATTGCTGGTGTGTTAAGGGAACTGTTTGAGACTGTATGGCGCAGCGTTATGCTGCTTATTTTTTTCTTTGAGCAAAGGGTTTGTGCAACAGATTGACAGCAGCTTTCCACTTACATCGTCAATGGAAAAAACATTCATCATCTTCTTTTCCCCTGCCAAGGACGGAGGGGCACAGAGAAATGAAAGCCCGCCTCCCGTTTTTTACCTCGAACCTTTCACGCCGCTTTCAGTGCCCTCTTTTCAGTAACCATAATTATCGGTAACCCCAAGGCGCGCGCAAAGCGCTTAGCCTACGCCATTCGGCAAGTGTACGAGTCGAGACATCAACATACCTGGTCCATCTCTGCGGATACTGTCATTCTGTCACTAAGCCAGATGGCAGCAGACAGACAGACAACCCAACAATACAATGTATGCAACGCCATGCTTACATGTACACCGAATTCCTGGGTCCCTCATCGTCATCGTTAGCGGTGGGTCTCTTTCTCGGAATTGGTAACAACAAACCCTGGACTGGAGGCTTCACCTTTCCTTTTCCTTGCTAACACCAACACCAACACCAACAACAGTCGACGTGCTGCCTGCCCAAGTGAAAGAGTCATCTCCCGAGAACATCAGAACATACCGACCAGGCTAAGCCAAGCCAATATTTCTCGTGCAGCGTGATCTGTCTGGTTCTTCTCTTACACACACACACACTTCTTGATGATGATCAGATACTTCCCGATCTTTTTGCTTCCCTTCGGCTTAAGGCGATAGCACCTATCACCGAGGGCTGCCAACAGCAGTCAATCTGTTACCCACAGTCAGTCAGTCAGTCAGTCAGTCAGTCAGTCAGCCAGGCAGTCAATACTTCTCCTCCTCGCTCTCACCTACATACACACTCACTTCTGACTGGACCCATTCCCGTTCCGCGGCGCCGCGCTGCCGTCCGCTCTTACATTACTTGTACACACGATTATTGAAAATAAGAAGTCGGCTATGGCGCCACGCCCTACACACATCTTACTTACCTGTACCGTACCTATTCTTCGACTGCCTAATTCGAGGCCCTGACGTCCAGCCACGAGGTCTCAGCCCATCCAGCCCACCTCACCCTTCATGCGCGAGCGCGAGCGCGCGAAGCAAGCCGAACCTCTTCACCCACCACCGTGAACTGAGCCGCTTGCTGCGTGGAGATTTGTTTGATGCATGGTCCTCTGGCTTGATTGCCCAGCGCTGGGAACTGTGTTTTCACACACGGAACCAGACCTATCGTTAGTACCTACGTACCTGTTCAATGCAGCAACATATCCCCTTTGGGATTTATGGCCGGGGTTTTACAGCTCGTTGGTGGTGGGGCTGTCTGTCTGTCTGTTCGGTAACACCGTTCGTGAGGTGGGTGCCTTTTCTCCCGAAATCCTTGTCGTTGAATCTCACGACACGACACGACACGACATGACATGACATAGCTTCAGGCTCGATCGATGTACGGACGACATTTCTCGCTTCTCTTCACCTTTCTGTGTTTCCTCCACCTACACGCCCGTCAATATCATCATTATTTTTCCCGTCCATAATGGCGATGTTATCCAATAATCCTCTGCAAGTGTCAGTCTACAGCGTCGTTCTTGCACACCAATTTTCTCACGCTTCCCTCCACCATGACGGTGAGAGAACGGGATATCTTCAAGTCGAAGTTTCGACGATATGTCAGCAGTTCAACCCAGTTCAAGAAGGGAATAACTGCCGTTGATGTTTGTATGTTGCCGGCGTCCCTCCACTGTCAAGTGTCAGTCAGTCAGTAGTCTCTTCAATACCAGGACAATGGCGTCATGGATGGCCTCTGCTCGCATCCGAGCCGTGCCGCTTGATGCCATCCAGGAACAGGAGGACGATATCGCAAGCAGGTCTCATGGCCTCACGGTGGCCTCGGCAGTGCTGAAGGTGAATCACCCATTCCCAACTAAGCTCCCAACATCCCGAAAGATTCCACAGTCCCGTCAGGTCAGTGAGATGGAAAACGGCGAAGTAGCCGAGAGGCGTATACGCCAGGCGGTTGCCTGAGCACAGCACAAGCACAGCAAAGCACAGCAAGCTGTCAGGAACCATCCATCCATCCATCCATCCATCCAATATCATATCCCAGGTCGGAAAAAGAAGACCCAGACAAGCCAGCTCAGCCTCTCCGATACGAAGGGGACCTAGTACTCCACGAGGCACGAGGTGTAAGCCGCCATGCACTTCGCGATTCGATGACCACCAAGACGTCTGGACAGCTCCACCACACCCCAACATGCAAGGGCAAGAGGGTGCTCATCTGTTTTGTCCAACGTGTATAAAGTGGATGATGATCTCTCCCTTTTCGTGTCTTTCGATTCGTTCTTCATATTCATATCAGGCCATCATCTCGAGAGTCAAGACTCGGAGGTGTAGTTGACATTTGAACATACCTTTCTTTTGGATTTATATATCCCTTCCCCCCATCCCATATAACTCAAGCTCTGGTTTACTTCTTTCATTACTTCCACTCGCGGGGATCTTCATCATCACCATGAAGTTCTTTGGCATCGCCGCCATCGTTGCGGGCCTTCTTGCCCCTTCACTCGTTCTCGGTGCTCCCGCACCTGGCAATGAGGGGAGGAATCTCCTCACTCCCGTTGATAAGAGACAGGACTTCCAGGCCGAAGGTTATGGAGGTGGTGGAGGCGGTGGTTGTAACTCCCCGAGCAACCGGCAGTGTTGGTCTCAAGGATACAACATCAACACCGACTATGAACTCGGAACTCCCAACACCGGCAACACCAGACGAGTGAGTAATAGTTCCAGATGACAGGTACAAAGAACGAAAGGACTGACACTCACCTAGTACACGCTCGACCTCACCGAGACTGACAACTGGATTGGTCCCGATGGTGTCAAAAAGGACAAGGTCATGATGGTCAACGGCAAGATCATTGGGCCTACCCTTCAGGCCGACTGGGGCGACTATCTCGAGATCACCGTCATCAACAGACTGAAGACGAACGGCACCTCGATCCACTGGCACGGCATGCACCAGCGCAACTCCAACATCCAGGACGGCGTCAATGGCGTGACCGAGTGCCCCATCCCGCCCAACGGCGGCAGCAAAGTGTACCGCTTCCGGGCCACCCAGTACGGGACCTCGTGGTACCACTCGCATTTCTCAGCGCAGTACGGCAACGGCATTGTTGGCTCCATCGTCATCAACGGACCGGCCTCGGCCAACTACGACATCGACCTCGGTCCTTTCCCGCTCATGGACTACTACTACGAGACGGCCGACCGTATCGCGCTGCTCACACAGCATGCCGGTCCTCCGCCTAGCGACAATGTGCTCTTCAACGGCTTCGCCAAGCACCCGACCACCGGCGCCGGCCAGTACGCCACGGTGTCGCTTACCCCGGGCAAGAAGCATCGGCTGCGGCTCATCAACACCTCGGTCGAGAACCACTTCCAACTGTCGCTGGTGAATCACTCCATGACCATCATCTCGGCGGATCTGGTTCCCGTGATTCCCCGCAAGGTCGACAGCCTGCTGCTCGGCGTCGGCCAGCGCTACGATGTCATCATCGATGCCAACCAGAATCCCAAACAGGCCGGTTACGGGAACTACTGGTTCAACGTGACGTTTGGTGGCAGCGGCTTTTGCGGTACCTCCCACAACCCGAAGCCGGCCGCCATCTTCCGGTACCAGGGCGTGCCGAACGCACTGCCGACCATCCAGGGCGTTGCCCCGCCCGACCACCAGTGCCTGGACCTCAACGACCTGAAGCCCGTCGTTCAACGCAGCTTCAATACCAACAGCATCGCCCTCAACCCTGGCAACGAGATCCCCATCACGCTCGACGGCTTCGTCTGGCGGGTCAACGGAACGGCCATCAACGTCGACTGGAACAAGCCGGTGCTGGAGTATGTTCTGACGGGCGACACCAACTACCCGCAGTCCGAAAACATCGTCAAGATCGACGGTGTCAACCAGTGGAAGTACTGGCTGATCGAGAACGACCCCGATGGTACCATCAGCCTGCCGCACCCCATCCACCTGCACGGGCACGACTTCCTCATCCTCGGCCGGTCGCCCGACGCGAACGTCAGCAGCCAGACCCGCTACGTGTTCGACCCGGTCGTGGACATCCCTCACTTGAATGGCACCAACCCGACGCGGCGCGACGTCGCCATGCTCCCGGCCAAGGGCTGGCTGCTCATCGCTTTCCGCACGGATAACCCGGGTGCGTGGCTGATGCACTGCCACATTGCCTGGCACGTGTCGGGCGGTCTGTCGAACCAGTTCCTGGAGCGGGCGCAGGACCTCAAGAACGGCATCAGCAATGCGGACAAGAGAGCCTTCAACGACAACTGCAACGCTTGGAGGGGGTACTTCCCTAATAATGATCCTAACCCCAAGAACGATTCTGGTCTGAGGGTTATTAGCGGGGTCAAGGCGAGAGAGGTGAAACTGGACTGGTAGAGCAACGTGGTGGGTGATTGATAAGTGACGTGGTGTTTGTACATATCGGAGAGAGTGAGAGATTGAGAGCGCCCTACGTGGTTGCTGTGGAGGATTGTACAGTGGTTTTCCTTGTTTGGGTGCGAGATATACTTTTCTTTGAACCGGTACATAGTCGATTGCTTTCCTTGCTGTTTTCTCGGGTTGGATAGATGGATGAATGTGGCCAAATGGGTGTATATATGGTCGTTGGTGTTGGTGTTGGTGTTGGTGTTGGTACTGGTAATGCGGAACTCTTCTCCTTTTTTACTTCCCTTCATCGACCTTTGGACACGCAACACTTGTTGTTTTCCCAGGCGGTCTGAGCAAAGATTGTGAGATTGAAGAGTCGGACGCAGAGGGTGATACAGCTGAGCCGACAAGGGGATGAACGATCTTGTACATATGAAATTGAGACTCGACCTTTTTCTCTCATGCTTATGCTCCTCTTCCTTGCGGATGGTCAAGTTCCATTGCAGCGCCAAATCGGAGTGATGGACTGGTGGGTGGCCCAGGTCCAGGTCGCATGGTCCGTGCATGTCGAAATGGCGTCGCATCAAGTGGTCGGTGACTAGTCGACCACAAGGGGAAAACAGCATTGAAACACCGGGAACCATGGCGGCGCATAGCGGTCGTGATCCGTTTCATTCCGCTTGTTCAATCTGTGGTCGCGTCTCTGCTCCTTCGAGAGCCAATGGATGGGAAATTGCAGAAGGCGGTGGATGCCGTGGCATGTTTCTCGACGTTGTCGCATGTTTGGTGGTTGAACACTGAAAGAAGAGAAGACGTCGCGGAAAGAGAGATTTGTGCAAGATCGATTGGCTGGCTGAGGCGCTGGACGGTTAGCAGCTGTTAGTGTCCGCTGTGGATATTTCGTGGAACCCTTAACCCCGGCCTAACCCATGTCCAAGTCCACTGACTCCAGCCCTACCCCCTGTGGCTGGCCCTCTCATTGGTTGCACGAGCGCCTACTGAAGTTGACGGTCCACCATCGCTAGCTCCCGTCGTCCAGGAACCTCGTCGTCGTCGTAATCAAAATAGCAACCGCGTGCAACGACAAAACAAAAGAGGCTGGAAGATTTTCCACAATCCCACTCTTCCGACTCTTCAATTCTCCGACTCACCCATGGCGCGACCTATCATTTTGTCGATCCGCCTAGGCGCGCTTGTTTTGAGAGCCGGGATCGTGGATTGTCGAATACGATGATGAGCATGGCCGATCGGGAACGGGATGAGGTTGGAATAATCGCCATATCTAGAACTTTCATGCCGTGTCGGTGTTTGTGTACCTCGAATACATAAGATGGACGGCCTTCTTCAACCTCATCTTTGTTGCTTGTTGGTTCCATACCACAACACTTCAAAACTCTCTCAAGTCACATCTTTTCCTTGTGTCTCTTTTCCTTTTCTCTGTTTCCTTTGGGTTTCCTTTCTGTCTCTTATTTCCTTTTGGGTCTTGGGCTTTTCATCTCGGCATTCTAGCATTTTCCTTGTGACGACGAACATCTCCAAGCAACAACGCCAGCAACGAGTCTCAGTGTTTCATCCTCTCCTCGTCAACAGTTGATCTGCTGGCGAGCATTTCCTATCCTTGACGAGAAACGGTTCCTTTTCCAACATCAGTATCACGTCTACAAAGTCTACAATGTTGCCTACAGTCAACACAAAGTTCCCGCCTCCTCCGACGGCACCAATCCCGATTAAACCCCATTTTCCTCTCCGAACAGCACACAAGAAGCGACCATCACTGGAAATCATCACAGACTTCAACCCTCATGCAGCTAGAATGGGCTTTCAAGGTCCCCGCCTGGGCGCTTTGGGCCTGACATTTTCGGTCATGAGGGCACTGCAGTTCGCTGCTCTGATCGCTGTGATTGGCTTGAGCGCCAACTTCATCGATAAGTTCTCTACAAAGTCACTGGCATCTCCTTCAGAGCTTGTTGGTACTCTGGTAGTGGTATGTTGGACACTTTCCCCCCCTCATCAGCACGAGATACTAACATCCAACAGGCTGTTGTTGCTGTCATCTACGTCGTCATCTCTTACATCCTTTACTACGATGTCATGCTCCCATACCTCCTTAGCGGAATTCTCGATGGCCTACTTCTGATCGCTTTCATTGTCGTCGCTTCACTACTCGGCAAGCCCCTCTCCCAGCTCCAGTGCGCTCTCATGCCCAAGGACCCCGACGCCAACAACTTCTGGACATCCGTTCCCTTCTCGATCAAGTCCCAAGAAACGACCGATGATGGTCTCTACTTCACCTTTGTACACATCGACCAACCCACCTGCTTCGAGACCAAGGCTATCTGGGGTCTTTCCATCGCTCTTTGCGTGCTCTTTGCCTTCAGCAGCATCGTCTGCGTCGGCCTCTGGCGTCGCGTCAGTGGCGAGACCAGGGTCGTCAGCAGGAAGGACATTGAGGGTTAGGGGCGCGCGGGCGCCGGCTGGGGGATTCGCGAGAAGAACTACTACTTGTACAAGTCGGAGTCAGAGTCGGACGTGTCCCTTTACGGCCACAACACCACCACTGCTCCACCACAGTTCCCTCCTCCCCCGTTGGCGCCCATGCGCATCACCCGAGGCGCTCGCCGCAGCGACAACCAACAATACGACAACAGTGACCCTCAAGACGTTCCGGTCCCAACCATCCGCGCAAGAACCGGCCTGCCACAAAACCGTCGTAGCCTATCCGGCTCGAGGTCCAGCATCGATTCCGACGCCTCCTCCTCCTCTAACCTCAGCCGGGGAGCGAGCCCCGAGCGCCAACTCCGCACCAGCGGCGGACTAGCGCCTCCGCCCCCCGTCCGACACTGCTGCAACAGTGGCCGTGTCGGGCTAGGCATCATGCCCACGATCCCCGGCTCGCCCATCGATGCTACACAAGAGAGGACCATCATCGACGGTATCTCGCCCATCATGTCGCGCGCCCCCGAGCCGTTACCTCTCCCCGTTGCTGACCCAGCATTCCGAAGCACCAGCACCAACAACCTCACCCTGGCCGTCCCCTCCGCCACTCACGGTACTTACAGTCACCACATCCACGGTCAAGTAGGAGCCGGAAGAGCCACCCTCCACCCGCCGCTCACCATCACCACCGAATTCCCCATCATCTCTCCCTCCGTCTACTCGCCAACCGATAACATCACCCCGCAAGAATACAAGCGCGCCGCCCCGCCGGCGCCGCCACGCTCCCCGTTGTCGCCGCTGAGCCTGAGGGGACTGGGCTCGTTCATGGCGCGCAGGGGCTGCATGAGGAAGGAGGTGCCGCCGCCGATTATCGTGCATCCTAGCTCGCCTTCGCAGTTTGCGCATGTCGTTAACGGTAGCAGCCCGGGCATGGATAGTGTGGCGCTGGGGACTCCCGTTGATGGCTTAGGCCCAAGCCAGTCGCCGCCACAGCTGCAGACCCCAAACCCGCCCAAGAGGAGAAAGACGGTTTGGGGGATGATGGTGGAGGGGTGGTGGGATTTGGGACTGTTGGAGAGGATGGGGAGTGGGAAGAGGAGCCAGAGGAAGTAATAAGAAGGAGAAGGAACAGGCGCGAGCCTCAGCAGGAAGTATGGTATGGTGGGATAGAATGAAGGAAATAGCTAATATGATACCCCGGGAGGGAAATGGGAGGAGGGCCTGAAGGGATAGAATTTGGATAAAACAGGTGTGCAGGATCCTTGGCTATAGAGTTCGAGACTCATCTGGCCGTCTGTCGCATCGCCACACAGGATTGTGGGCAGGTGGGAACCACCAAGGAGTGGAAACCAACAACACTTATTCTGGTAATAAGTACGCTAGGTAGACACTCACATAACGGTTTGCAATGACAACCGCAAACAAATAATGATAACGATTATTTCTACCGTACTAAGTACCTTTTTACTCCAAGCCCGCTCACTGATTGCCACTTGCCACTTCCACTTGCCACTTCCAAATTCTCTCTTGTGTCATGGCTGAACGAGTCAAACATGACGACGGCAAACCTACAAGCTGTTTAACCCCTTGGTCGAGACTTGGACGGACCAAGCTTTACATCAAACTTTTTAAGCTCTTTGTCATGCCCTACACCTTATTACGAAAACCTAAAACGGCTTCACAGCACTCCCATCCTCACCCTGCTTACCAGCCGGGACCCACATCCACAACACCTGCAAATGCCCCGGCGTTATCCCCATCTGCTCGCTGCCCCACGCATACTGCCAGACGACCACCTTATCCCCCTTGCTGTCTTCTTCCTTGGACGACGGCGCCCGCGGGATGTCGTAGTAGCAGTTGAGATTGCCGTTGCAGATGAAGGGGTATTTGAAGCCGTTCTGTTGTTTTCACATCCATCACCCACCCTGTTAGCATCCCCATCTTTCTTCTTGCGTGAAAGAGAGGATAGACAAGAGAGACTCACAATAGTATAATACCTCTCCCCCTCCGGCACCATCGCCGGATCCTCATTACAGCTCCAAGCATGCTGTCTCGCCCCATACCTGCTATCCTCGTTCGTCGGCATCGCCTGGTTTCCAAAGCTGCACCCCCCGATTTTACTAGAAATAGTTTTCGGGTACGAAGTGATGCTGGTGGAAAAGGTGGCGCAGTCACTGGAAGAAGAAGCAGTTACTACGTAGCCGGCGTCGGAAAGACAGCCGATGCTATCGGAGGATAGAGAGGCGTCGCTGTAGGAGGTGCTGTTGAGCACGATGATGTGGCCGAGTCCGTTGAAGAGTTTTGTGACGTCTGGGGAGCTGGGTTCGGCTGGTACGGGCGCGGGTAGGGCGAGGGCGAGGGAGGGGGAGAGGAGGAGGGTGAGGGAGACTAGCAGGGTTGTAAGGAGGCGGGAGGTTGGTTTTTGGTGGGACATTATTGTTGTTATTGCGTAGAGGTGTTTGGTGCTGGATGCCGATGGTTCGCGATGATGATGATGATGATGCACCGGGCAGTGTTTGGTAAGGTCTGGTGCTAGTGGGAAACTTGGAGCTGATGTTAGCAGGTATTGATGGAACAAACCACACGAGCCCCAAGATCTCTCGGTGGAAGAGCCAACGATGGCTTATGTATCTTCTCCAAGACATAACCACTGTCGCCCTGCATCTCCGTGGAACAGAGAGGGTCATGTCATCATCAAAACTTCAACTTTCAGTTCCATGTTCTCGTCGTCCCCTTCAACCTTTTCAACACTCGCCAATGGCCCAATGCATGTCAAAATCCGGACATGTGATCCAAGAATCTCGTCATCTGGTACTACCCTTCAGAGTTCAAATGAATTCACCCAAAGCACGCTGTCGTCCCGTGCTCATGGACTCGGCGACTTTAGCCGGCAAGCGAGAGTTTGGGGTGCAGCTGGGGAGAACCTAGGGAAGGTGCTTATGCCTGACACCGAGTCCCCAGTCCAACATCCGTCCGTTGCTAGTAGGTACTTTCCCATTCTGCGAGCTGTTGCACTTGCCGTCCATTTGTGATTATTGGTCCGCTTATCGGAGTAGCCTCCATGCGGAGGAAAAGTACCGTTTATTTCCTCTTTGGACCTTGAGAGGAGGACCAACAGGGAGAGAGACAAGGAACGAAGAAGCCTCAAGTTCACCGAAACCATTCAAGTCCCGGATCCGGCCCCACCTCCCCCGAAAGCCCCGCCCCACAACGGAGGTAAATGGATACCATACCACGTGCGTACCCACATTCCGGACCGCATAGCGGGTCCCACCAAGGCGAGCCAGGGTCCGAAGTGGAGCGAAGAAAAATCAAAAAAAAAGAAGAAAAAAAGAAGAGGTTTCACACCAACCCGAGCTCGGTTGATACTTGATGTAATATGACAAGAGTGGGATTCGAACCCACGCCCTTTCGGACCACGGATTTCTCGGGATGAGGATTAAGGGTTAACCTTAACGTGGCGCCTTAGACCGCTCGGCCATCTTGCCTTGTTTGGTAGTTGAGAATTCGAAATGCATAGGTTGGTTATAAAGAGTGTCCGAATATACATGTACGTCGCCTCGTGGAATGTTTCTACATACATCACAACGATAAATCAATTCGTCCATCTTGTCTTGATTTATACGAAGATCGTATCATCACATTATAGTAGTAGTAGCAGCAACAAATCAGTCATTCCGTTGTAAAAGTTCTTCCTGACACCAAACACCAAACACCACGCTACAAGCAAATAAAACACCGCTCTGAGCCCTCTAGACCCCCCAAGCGCACCGCACCGCACCGCATCCGTTCACTCAACAACACTCGACATACCCATCTTCTTCATCAATACACCCCCACTCGCACTCCGTCTATGTCCCTGTCCCTGTCCCTGTGCCAACGCCTCCGCCATCCCCCCAGCGCTACTCGGCGTAGTAACAGGCGACACCCTCACCGTCAGTCCACTGACGCTTGCACTTCCGCTTGCACTCCCCTTCCCATCACCCGCCATACTTCCAGCAGCACCACCAAAAAGCCGTCCCCCATACTTCCCCGGACTTAACGGACTTAACGGACTAACCAGATCATTCGCCTCACTTGTTGTCCCCCCCCTCCTCCAGGATCCGTTCGCAGCCGCGATATCGATCACCGCCGGGACCTTCCCGTTCCCGTTCCCATTTGTACCACTCATCCTGAGCTGCACCGGCAAGACAGGGGTAACCTGATCCCCATACCCCCTTCCCTCTTCGCCGCTGTACCGACTACTCCGCGCACTGCCGCTCCCGTCCTCCGTCATGCTAGTAGTTGTCGATGTGGAGGAGCCGATCGTGTGTTCCGTCCCTCTTCTGGAAGCAATCCCTGAAGGGGGAAGTTCCACAGCTGCGCCGGGGAGTAGGGGTAAGCGCCAGGAGGGGTCGGAGTCGGTTAGCTCTTCGGTGGCGTCTTTTTCTATGGGGTCGACGGGGCTGTTGAGGGTCATGTCGAAGGCTGGTTGTCTGGGATGTGCCATTTGAGAAGACTGCTGCTGTTGTTGTTGTTGCTGGCGACCAGGAACGTCGAGGCGGGCATTGATGTTTGCACTGACGACGTTTGGAGAAAAGGGAGAGACAAGCTCAGCGACCATGGCGGAAGCGATGCCGATGGCCATGGTGGTAGATTGGCCGGAAGCTGATGACGAGGTTTTGGCCGACGATTCCGAGCCCGAACGGCCAACGGTAGAGGCAAAGCGGCGGAAGGTTCCCTTGACACTGGCAACCGCGAGGTTGATGCTAGGTTTTCTACTGACGACGGTTTGGATCGGAGCAAGCCGGGTGCTGTCATTCGATGTTGGCTTGTTGTCGACGGCAGGGTCCTTGCCCTTCTCCTTGTCCTTGCTCTTACAAGGCAAAGGTGATGATGATGAGGAGCTGGCGCCGTTAGATTTGTTCTTCATTTTGACTGCTATTAGCTCGAACTGCTTGACCATGGTGGGGTTCTCCACGATCTCCTCCATCGTGACTGCGACGCTGGCATCGACTCCAGAAATGTTGGCCTTGGGCAGTTCGCGGTTCAATTGTGTTGTCAGTTGGGCTGCTGGGATGAGACTTCCCCATAGATCAAAGAAGGCAGCAATGTGCACCTGCGCTTCAGGGACACCCAGAGCCCGAGGGTTGATGACCGATGTCCACGCTTTGGAGATGACGGTCTGAATACCACGTTCTTGATCCTTTATCAGCGCCTTGACAGCATCTGACCGACCGGCATTGGTGTGCGCCGTGCATGCGTCCAACAAGTCTCTAAGCGGAAGTGGTATCCTCTTCTCCATGTTCTTGTATTGGTAGCCGGATGGGATCAGTGGCTGCATGATGTTAACGCTGGTGAGAAGGTTGATGGTGGCGCAGACCATTCGCAGCGCGTCGTCGGCAAACGTCTCAGGGACACGATCGACACAGAACGTGACCGACAACTCGACCCGATTGTTTCCGCGTGCAATTGATCTAATGAACAGATCAGGAACATCCTGAGCCCTGGATTCGACAACGGTAAACTTGCACGAGGCAGTACCGAGATGGAAGGACTTGGGTTCCGCGGGGACAATGGCCGTATCCTCGTATTGGTGCTGGATCAGAGTGCTAAAGCGAGTCCAGTACGGCCATGGGGTGCACTTCTCCACGATATTCAGTGTCCCCAGGTTCTCGAAGGGTATGCTGGATATCCGCTGCGTCTGGACGTACTGGAGCAGGCCCAACGGTGTAAGCGGCGTATCTGGGAACTGTACCCGGACGGGGATCTGATTGACTGTTGGCCCCATGACCCCCATTACACACTGGTTGCCCGATAGTGTGACGTGGCGGCCGTCAACAAGCTCGCCGAAGACTACGTCGGAAGAGGCTGAGAGACTAGCAAGAACCATTGCCCATGCGCTTTTCAGGATAGTCTCGTAAGAGATCCCGAGGCTGGATAATGAACCGAGAGGCATCACATGGCGTAGCGTCTTGGTGTTCGCCGACACCCGGTATGGCAAAGAATGCTCGACTATCTGGGTGACTGTGCTGCCTTCAAGCAGTTTCTTCCAGTACTCCTCGGCCCCTTGCGAGTTGGCCAGCTGAACGGACCGGACAAATTCACAGTAGGTCGGACGACGAGGTGGGTTCTGCGTCCCATCATATAGTTTCTTGAGGTCCTTGACGAAAAGCGCCATCGAGAGGTCGTCGTATTGGGCTTTGGAGAGTCGAAGAATGAGTATCGACTGCTTTCCTCCATCGATGAAAATGAACTTGGTCACGGGAGAGCAAAAGGCTACCGGTGAGGCTTGATCTTTCCGGATCGACTTCTCCATGACGGTGTTCAACCTCCAAGTGGGGCAGGTGTGCCTCTTGAACTCGACATTAGCTGACTTGATCACAGCTTGGTACACCTTTCGGTTGTGCGGAACAAGGGCGGTACGAAGGATGGGATGAATGGTGACAAGCGTCAAGCACGCATCTTCCAGCTTCTTAGCATCGACAGGGCCAGTAAACATGAACGTAAAATAGTTGATGTTTGCACGGCCGCGTAGCATTCCGGTTTCCATATGTCGAATCTGCGTCGAGGTTGCTTCGGCGGCGTCTTTGATGCCGTGGGCATCGACACCTACCTTTGGTGCAATGACTTTCTCCAAGAGGACTTGCTTGACTGCATTCGGGTCAGATGCAGCGGAGGAAGGGGTTAACACGGGCAGGGAAACTGGGCTGTCGGACTGCAGCGGCTCAACGGGCGACATTGTTCTGCACAGCTTGGTGAGTGTGACATTTTGGAGGACATCGGCGATTGAGATCGATATGCCTTCATGCCGACAGGCGGTAACCAACTGAGCAGCAAGCACGTGGTCACCCCCAACACCAAAGAAGCCGTCAAAAGCACGGATACGAGCTTCCTCTACCCCTAGGACCTTTGCCCAGATCACCCTCATTCGCTCTTCACTGTCTGTCAGCGGAAGAGGCTTGAAAGACCTGAGCTTCGCGTCGTTGGCTGTCGAGGCACTGCACAGTGCGATGAGCTTCTCTTTGGACAACCCACTGATCATCTTCTGGAGGCGACGTCTGTTGACCTTGAGTGAAGGGGTAATCGGAAGATGCTTTACCGGGATGAAGATTGACGGGATTCCGGGCGGAGCGGCATTGCTTCGCAATCCAATCTCGACAAGCTGCCTAGCAATGAGCAGTTGCTCCTTAGCTGTCGCGCCCAATGAGGTCAGGTCGTCTTCGCCGTCGAGGATACTATCCCCGAACTCGATGAAGGCGGCCAATATCGGTGCATCATCCGTGCCTCGGAAGGGCAATTTGTCTACCAGGACATCAACTCCCTGTCCAAGGCACCGTCGAAGATACTGCTCTATCTGCGCCGTATCTACTGGCCTTCCCTTGATGCCAACGTCCTCGTGTTTGTGAGAGATGAACTCCATCAACCCACCCTCAGTATACCTAACTCTGTGTCCAGTTTTAAAGTACCGTGACGTGTTGCCCGCAGACGGTCCAAGTGGCGACATTGGCCCCAAGGTAGACTCCCTGTTAGGGTAATGGCAACCCAAGGTTGGCCCCTCCACTACCAGCTCTCCGACGGCACCAACGGGGACCAGATTCTTGCGGTCGTCGGGATTAACGACCATGAAGCTACCGCAAAACGGGCGCCCGACACTTTTAAGTTGATTTACCCCAACGACCTCGAGGAAGGAGATACCCAGAGGACAGATATCGTGTGGCCCATAGGCCAAGATGATGTTGGCTTTACCGTGCCATGCACTGTATGTGTCTTCGTCCAGGCTCCGAGTTCTAAAGCACACCGCCTTCAAAGTCGGCACCTTTGTCGGATCGACTTTACGGGAGAGGTGTGGCGTCATATAAGTCCAGTTGACCTGCATACGGTTGACAGCGCCTGCAAGATCCTTGAGCCGCTCGTTCGCAGACGGCACACACACACATCCTCCATAAGCGAGTGTGGTGAGGATCTCCGAAACGCAGATGTCAACATTGAAAGAAGAGAGTTGCATGACGCGACTCAAGGGTCCAATCTTCGCGGCGGGGCCTTGACCCAGAAGTGCTGTGGACAGTGCAGTGTGGCTGAAGGAAACACCTCGAGCCTCGCCCGAAGATACGCGAGAGAAGAGTATACAGGCTGGATCGGAAGGTGTAGCCATCGAGGTGAGCGATCTTCGATCTCGGGGAAGACTGTGCATCAGGCCATCGTTCAGGGTAACAACATCGTCGAAGAGGTTTCCAAGAACCAGAGCAGCGCGCTCCGAAGCGACCGCGACCCTGGAAAAGTTAAGCCGCTCAAAGATAGGTTGGATCAAGCCTAGTTCCAAGGCATCGATAGGGACAAACGCGCCACCAGCTCTGGAGGGGCACAGGTTAGCAAGCGATGAGGACGGCGGTGGGCAGGACTTACTTGAGAACAGCGAGGATTGCCACAATGGCAAGGCGACTCTTCTCCATGACTACAGGCACAACCGAGTGTGGTCCAACGCCCACATCGACTAGATGATGGGCTAGGATTGTCGCCTCTTCATCCAGTTGCCGGTACGTATAAGTTCCATCCCATGCGCAGACGGCTTGAGAGTTTGGCTGAGCGCTGGCCTGCTTGCTTACAAGGTCGTGAACAAGGGTCTCAGCTCGTGTGCTATGGCCAGATGGCGAGTCAGCGCCCCAGGCCAACAGCTGGGCATAGTCACGGTCGCTGAATAGGTCGACTGTTCCAATGGAACTGTGTGGCGCGGAAAGAATGGTGCGGATCGCTTTTCCAAAGGTATTGGCCACGTTGAGGGCCTGCTCTTCGGACATGACCCGTTGTCCGATGTCGACCACCAACTTTCCCCCAGCAAACCGCGTATTGACGAGTACGTCCACATCGGACGTTTGCTTGAGCGAGAGGGGCTTGAGTTCAAAGCTTGTCCTCGTCGTGAATTTGCTATTTAGTCCTGCGGGCTCTTCGGTGAATGTTAGGCACGAGTTGAAGAGATGCTCGCCACCTTTCATGCCCATAGCATGTTCCAACTCGGCCATGGTGAAGTGTTGGTGCGGCAAACTAGTTGTAAGTTGATCTTCAGTGGCCTCCAGCGCCATCTTAAGGGGTGTGTACGACGTCAGTTCGTAATTGCAGGCCACAATGTTGGCGAACGAGCCCACGGCATCTTGTAGCTCGGGAACGGAGGTGTCGCGGCCGCTTGTTTGGTAGCCGAAGCACACAGCATTTGACCCGGTGAAGCATCGCAGCACAAGACTCCACGCCAAACGGATAATCGCATCGACAGTGGTTGCGTGGGATCTGGTGAACCCGGACAGTTCGTAGGACGTGATCTCCAAGTCGAAAAACGAGTTGACGAAGCGCTGCTCATCAGGCGACACAGCAAGTCGAGGGAACATGCATGGCGCAACGTCGGAAAGCCTCTCACGCCAAAAGCCAACGCTGGATCCACGACGTATTCCGCTCAGAAATTGCATGTAGTGAGGGTACCCAAAGTGAGCAGGTTCGGGAATGGCCTTTTCGGTGACGTAGGCTCGTCGAAGATCGTGCAAAATGAGATGAATGCTGACGGACTGCAATTCGTAAGCACTGGAGGCGCACAACAGGAAAGTGGGAACAAACTTACATCGCAAAGCGCGGTGCTAATATCCAGCTTTATGAACGTCCTGGTCGGAGCTCTGCACACCGTCAAGCGGTGGAGCGGCTTATTGTCCGTCGGTCGAAGATCTGGGAGGTTGTCGAGCTCGTACACTGGATCCTCTGCAGGGGCTGTATCTATGAAGAGCATATCCGGGGATGCCCGACGGAGGATCACCATATCCCACAATCCCGTCTCGCTGACGCTCTCGGTAAAGACGGTTCTTAGGGCTGGGTGCCGGATGCATACATGCTGCCACGCGTTGCATAGCCTGGCAATATCGATAGAGTCGCCATGTGGTGACGCAAACTCGTAGATGGCATGCAAATAGCACGTATCTGGTCGCTGAGCTTGACTGATCAAGATGGCCTGGTGTACGGCAGTCACCGGGTAGATCGTTTCGACGTCTTGCACGCTTGCCAGTTTCAGACCCGCTACCCGCTGCTTGTTGAATCTCGTCAAACCTTCATATGTGACATCAAGATGCGGAACATCGGCAAGCGTTAGCTCATGAGGGTGATACCTCAGCCTGCCAATCGCCTCGAGAAGCAGGTGCTCATAGTTATGGGCCCATTGCGCGATGCGAATCTGATCTTTGCAGAACTTGCTATATGTGAACGACACCTTGGCGATACCTTTGTCAAGCATGGCGCTGATCTCGAACAAAGCTACGCGGCCCACTTTCGACCCAATATCCGAAGTCGGGGAGTCGAATGATCGGCTTGCAAGGGGCAACTGCTCCATCACGCCGTTGATGCGCTCTAGTTGTTGCAGCGAGCCCGCGTAGGTGAACATGACCTCGAACGGCCAGTCGGGGCGCAAGGTGTCAGGCCCAGCGTTGTTGTAGAACCGTGACGCAAAATATTTGGATCCATGAGCTGGTATTGACCGGCGCGTATCTTTGACATGTCGGAGAACGTCGATGAAGTCATCTGTACCTTCTACCTTTTGGGCTATCGGGCACAGGGCTGTGAACCACCCTACTGTCTCGGAAATGTCAATGTCAGACCTCCACATATCCCTACCATGCTCTTGATTCCAAACCACTGGCACAGACCGATCGGGAAATGTTTGTGCAAACGACAACATGAGCGCAGCGAGGTAGATGTCGACCGTATCAGTCTTGAAAACTTGGTTGCAAGAACTTTGCAGGATCGCCGTCAGCTCCGAGCTGAGAGCGAAGCTAATGTCTTGCGTGTCGCCGTACGCGTTGGGGATTTCTCGCAGACCCCAAAAGGTATAATCTCCCGGTTGGACTTTGAAGGGCACGAACTCTTTTGGGTCTCTCCCTTGGACATCGTACTTTTGCAGCTCGACCCATTTGTGGAAGGGCATCGACCTTTGGGACAGAAAACTTCCCGAGTCCAGAAGCTCGTCGAGATCGTGGATGATGATGCGCCATGAGGGTAGGTCAACAGCAAGGTGGTGAGCAGCAAGATAGATCAGCTGCTGTCCGTCGTGGGTGGTAAAGTAGTCGGCAGCGAAGACCGGTCCCCTCTCGATGTCGATGGAGAGCTGGGTTTGTCCGATAATGGTATCAAGTTCGCGATCAGAGGATATCGAGTGGCGGCGGAGGTTGTACGATCCTGCGACATCAGGCAAAATAAGCTGCATCCAGCCATCAGGCCCCCGACTATAGCGTGATCGAAGCATTGGATGGTGGGCAACAACCGCTTCCAGAGCGGCCGCAACGTCCTCAAAACAGACGTCCTTCTTGAAGCGGAGAAATAGGCTTAGGTTGAAGCGGTAACTCCCATCGCCAGCAGATCTGCGGTTCAGGTCTCCGCCCATAGAGGACTCGAAATATAAATGCTGCATTGGGGACAGGTCGAAGAAGTCGCGAGTTTCCTCCTCCCACTGGTTTTCCTGGATGCCTCGAGACTCGGCAATGGCGGCCAACTCGGAGAGGGTGTTGGATCCAAGCACCTCCAAGGGATTGATGTACATAATTTCGTTTTTGCAGCGGGAAACAAGTTCCATGGCAGTCGTCTCGTCGCCTCCTAGCTGGCAGAAGGAAAGGTTGACCCCAATCTGGACCTGGGAGAGATTCAACACCTTGCTTACCAGCCTCTGTAACGAGCGTTCCATGGCCGTCTTGGGCTCTTCCAACGGCACTTGGGACTGGAGATTGGACACCTGGTAGTAGAGCTGCTGGTTCATGTTCTGGACCCAAGTTCGCAATCGTCGAGTATCTACAAGGCCGCATTCCGTGAGGGGCATGCTTTCCAAGACGATCCATATATCGGGCAGGCTGGCTGGTGGGAGAAGGGATTTGGCGACTTCTCGGAGAAAGGTGACTTGGGTGCCGGCGAAGATGGAGTTGGACTGGGATATCAGGCTGACATCGGATGAACTGGCTTTAGAGGGGTGAGTGGTGGAGAGGGTGAAGAGGGCAACGAGTTTCCCTTCGAGTATGCCTGCCTTTGGCCGCACCGTTGCTATCCTTGATATTTCTTTTTGATTCCCCAATGCCTTTTCGATTTCTGTCATATGTATAGCTTGCGAGCTGGAGCTGGCCTGGCTCGAGTTGCGCGAGTGTTTTGTCGCAATCGCATTCGCATCGCGGGTAACGGGCAGCCTCGCAGGCCTGTGTATTTCGAGAGGTTCGACCGGGACCATGGTGGTTTCGATGTTTTCGATGTTCTCGGGGTACTCGTACTTGGGAATGATACAGGTTTGGAGTTCGGCGAGGGTCGGGCAGCGAAGGATATCGGAAACTTTGATGTCAATGCCAACCTCCAGACACTCGGCCCTCAGGGCCACGGCGGACCTGTCGTCACCGCCCAAGTCTTTGAAGGATTCATGGAGCTGGATTTGTTCTCTGGGGATGTCGAGGACCTGCGCAACGACCGACAGTAGCCTATTCTCGGCAGCTTCCTCCTCGATCTGTACCCAGGTCGAAGGCGTATCTATGCGCGGGATGAGGACCTTTTGCGCCGAAGGGTCTTCCATGGCGAGAGGGGAGGGAAGGGGAGGGAAGGGGAGGGAAGGGGAGGGAAGGGGAGGGGTGGCACAGGTGTGAAAAGGCCAAAAGAGGAATATATTAAACTAAGAGTACAACAAGGGGAAGGGGTATCATGAACGAGGACTGGAACCTCAACGACGACGAAACGGAGGAGAGTAGAAGGTAGGTGGCAACAGTACCCCGGGTACCATTAGCACCTAACGAAACGAAAGACAAGTGAAGAGGTGTTGTTGGTTGTTTGGAGAAGATGGAGACGTCGAGGAATGATGTCAGGCGCTAGTCGGCATCGCACAGTGTTGGCTGTTGGCTCGTCCACGAAGGCAAGGCTTGGGGTGACGCGAGATCATTCCACTTGGCGATGGTAAATGTCCGATGTCGTCGACGTGAAACAGGAGAGGGATTGGGAGGGTGTTGTCGGGAGCAAACACGACATGGCCCGGTAAAAGGGAAGAAGCGAGGAAGCAGTGGCAGGAAGAAGACGGAGACGAGAGAGAAGAACTCGGTAAGACTGACTCTAACTTCTAAGAGAGGGGGATCGACGCCAACATGTAGCACTTAGAACTAGTGATGGGGAGCACTCAACCAGCCGCAGGGTTGCAGAAGAATCATCCATGCCTAGCATGCCATTCCTGGTACTCCGGTCCGGGACGGTGGGAATCACAAGGAGGCGCAAAGGAGACCAAAGTGGTGGTGATTGGTGTTTCTGACGTTGGTGGAGGTGTCGAGGGTGTCGAGACCTGACGGGAGCCTTGAGGTTTGAAGACGGGGGTCGGAGAGGAACCGGTGCGTGTCAAAGTGTGGATGGTGACAAACGTGACATGGAAAATTGTTAGTGCACTCCCAGCGGCAGCCAATCATGCCACTCGGACAGCTGCCTTCGGCTCCACTTGGCCGTGCTCGCAGCTGGGACCCTGTGTCGATCAACTGGCAGCGCCCTGAGGCTAGACCAAGGAGGGGCAAGACCTGATCATGGACTTTATTACAGTGGACACTCACCTGTAGTGTAAGTTTTGTTTACTTTTCGATGTCAATCCATCCCCAAGATTGGAATCAAGTGGAAAGTGTAACGTGATCAACAGTCCTTCCTATATCGACTAGAGGTAGGTACAGAAAACCCGAGACCGGCGATGCTTTGCCCTGTAAGCACGTTCCTGAAGGTCCGCGGGCGGCACCGTCCTGAGCGGGATAATGGAACTTCGGACAGAAGAGGAGACGAGACCATGTTCCCATTCCCACAAAGGAAACATGTATTGCTGATTCCCATCTTTGAATTAACACGAGATGAATAGTACTTAACAGCCTCGATCATACCATTAGGTCAGAATCAGACATGCAGAGAGGCTGAGCTGTTTCTAGGAAGGGCAGGCTAAAGACATGGGTTCGGCGTATTTTGACCGTTGCTGACTTCCATCAAGCCGTTGTACATGAATGTCTTGTACACCCACCTCCCGGATCTCCCGGTGTCCGATGGCTTCCCTTCGTTATAGTCCTATAATCCTTTTCAAAATCATCCGTCGGCGGCTTGTCGGCCCCGTAACAAGTTATCAAGTTGGCACGGGATGCTGTGTGACTGAGAAAACACCATTCTATGGGCCCGGCCTTGATCTTTCCGGGAGTCTGGTCCGCCTTGGTTCAACCAACAACCACCGGCTTTGTCGAATCTGCCAGTTGGAAACTGTTGGTCCCGCGCTTGTTGACCAACAAGAGTGCCAGTCACGGCAACTAATGCAAGTAATATCGTCTCGCGTATTGGTGTCTCATTCCTCGCATCCCGTCATCACTCGGAGGTATTTACCCCCATGTGCGACCCTTGACCTAGTTGGCTTCCACAGGCCTGCCTGGTCATCCGTCCCCGACTCCGAGTCCGTCCGAGATCCAGGAGATGCTCAAAACCAGAGGGCCTCAACATCCTGGCGAGCCTGGGTGCCTAGCCATCAACTGTCTCTAGCAAGACAAATCCTTGGGGCTCAGTCCGCCACAGTCACACACGCCCAGTTTCTCTTTGCTGATATCAAGTGCTGACCAACTGGTAGGTAGATGGTTACGCAACCAGACAACTGAAATTCAGCCTTAGCAAATGAGTGTCAATCCACGGCGCATCCCGCACCGCTCCGCACCGCCCCGGGCCATCGGCGGAGTGTCGTGGGCTCGGAAGAAAAGGTCATCGTCCCCGGCGGCACGGAGGAGAAGGAGGAAGCATCGCCGGCCGGGGAGTCCTTGTCCCCTAAAGCGCCGTAAGCGAAGCGAGAACAGCAGCTCCACTACCAAACGCCCCTGGACCCCTGAACGGACCCCTAAATTTGTCTTCATGTCCCCACTCGAGGCCAGTCGAGTCCATTCGCTGCAGAAAAAAAAGTCAGGAAAGATGGAAGAACTTGCAAACGCATGTGAGGGAATATCAAGCCATCCTGGAAACCGTTATTTCAACAATTGGTCCGATGGTGTAGTTGGTTATCACGTCAGTCTAACACACTGAAGGTCCCCAGATCGAGCCTGGGTCGGATCACGATTATCATCTTTTTTGCCCGATTTCCTTTTCTTTTTTTTTCTTTTTTTTTGTCACTACTTGCTTTGGTGACATGTGAAGACGCCCACAGCCGCAGACTGGTGATGCCTGTTGGAGATGCATTTTTTATGTATGCGCGCATCGGTCACCCACCGGGCTTCGTAGCCGCATCGGTGCAAGAATTTCTTAACCGGGCATGACAATTTGACAGATCATCTCGTATTTAGCGATTCAATATTCACCGATTCCATCGCCTTCATTTCCACTCTTCTTCACTCCTTGATGTTAATCGGTCCAACAACTATAACATCGCACAACGTATTTAAGATTGATGCTCAGCTGTGCCCTCCTAGTGAGGACGTCTCCAGACCCCATTCCACCCAAGGTTTGTTCTAACAAAATGGCTCTTCCTCACTGCCACCAAGATCGAAAAGACCCCCGACACTTCTCACCCGAACTACCTCACCACACCAACCACCAACCCGCCATCGAGTACCGCCGCCATCCCCGACTTTGGCAGAGGCTCCTCGCCGGCTCTTCCTTCGTCGCCGCCGTAACCCTCTTTCTCCTCACCCTGCCCAACCAAACCCACGGCCAAAGCCAAACCCACAACACCCGCTCCTCCCTCTCCGAACCACCCCCCCTCACCTTCTCCCCCAGGGGTACCTCCAACACCTTCCAAATCTCCATCTTCGAAGACCTCCACTTCGGCGAAAACGCCTGGGAAGAATGGGCCCTCTCCAAGACGCTTCCACCATCCGGGTGATGAACAGCGTGCTGGACTCTGAACCGCACACAGATCTCGTCGTGCTTAATGGGGATTTGATCTCGGGCGACAACACCTTTCTCGAAAACAGCACAGTATATCTGGACCAGATCGTGGAACCGATGGTGCGAAGGGGGTTGACGTGGGCGAGTACGTACGGGAATCATGATAGCGATTATAATATCTCGAGGGAGGGGTTGTTTGAGCAAGAAAAAAAGTGGTTGAGTTCGAGAACAAGAAGAATGGTTAATGACAAAGAGGTGGGGGTGACGAATTATTATTTACCTGTTTATCCCGCCGAGTGCCGGACCGGGAAACAGACAGAGGGGGGGAGGTCGTGGTATCAGTGGGCGTCGTCGAGCACCCTACTATCTCTAAACCTCCTCAACCAAAACCAAAACCAAAACCAAAACCAAAACCAGCAGACGACAGCCAGCGACTGCGATACCACAACCCCGTCCCTAATCCTCTGGTTCTTCGACAGCAGAGGCGGAAACAAATACCAACAACAACAACAACAACAACAACAACAACAACGGGACTCCTCCACAACAACCAACCAATTTCAACCTCTCCCCGAGCCCAACTGGGTCCACCAATCCGTGGTAGACTGGTTCAAATCCACCAGTGCTTCCATCAGTGCCAAAGCCGGTCGACCCATCCCATCTCTAGCCTTCGTCCACATCCCGCCTAACGCTTTCTTGGCTCTCCAACAAGGACAACAAGGACAACAAGGACAACAAGGACAACAAGGACAACAAGGACAGCAAGGAGGTGTAGATGCACATCGCCAACCGGGGATTAATGACGACCAGCCTCTTTCGCAGCAAGGGCAAGGGTGGTGTCCTGATGGCGGCGAGGGTGAGGGCTGTGATTATGGTGAGCAAGACGTCCCCTTTATGGAAGCCATTGCTTCTACTCCCGGGATGATGGCACTTTGTTCGGGGCATGATCATGGAAATACTTGGTGTTATAAGTGGGATGGAGAAGAAGTTCCTGGTGTTGTTCGGCAGAAGGCTGTCACTGTCACTGGGGACGAAGGAGAAGGAGAAGGGGAAGAAGGAAACGGACATGGACATGGACGTGGACGTGGACAACGTGGAGTAGACCTCTGCTTTGGCCAGCACACTGGCTATGGAGGCTATGGTAGCTGGATTCGCGGCTCTCGTCAGATCGTTGTCGACCAAGAAGGTCTCGAGGAGTTTGCTATCAGGACTCATGTTCGACTGGAGAATGGTGAGGTGGTCGGGGCTGTGACGCTGAATGCGACGTATGGACAGGATAGCTATCCGGTCACGACGAACGAAAAGACGCATTTGTTGGATCCGGCGCTGGAGGACTTTTAGGGGGTGTTTGTTCTTCTGTCTTGATGATTTAGTGCTTTATTGAAAACGAGCGACGATGATAGAATATCAAATTGGATTCTACTTCGCAGACTGCCCAGTTCCAGATCTCACTCAGCCTTGCTTCCCGCCAAACATCACAACATCACCCATTATCCTCATCCAGTGCATGCCATCCAGCGTCCAGCTCCCCTTTCAGTTACCTTCACCACTCACCCTCACTCCGACGGCTTATTATCAACCAACGTAACCTCAAAGCTACTCTTCCCCGTCCTCTTCTGCTCCAACTGCTTCGGCCAATTCTCATTCTCCACCACATCTACCCCCTTGCTCTCCTCATTCCACTGGAAAAACACCGATCCAACACACAAATACCCGCCCGAGTGCTCATCCCTCACATAAATCGCCGTGGTAACCGGCGGTCCACCCGCCGGCAGAATCCCCACCAGTCCATACTCGCCCCCATCCTTAGTAGTGCTGTAGAGCATCACGGTCCCCACGTCCCTTGCATCAACCTTCAAGCTATACTGCTTCTCGTCCCCTCCAGTAGCGTCTTTGAACAAGAAAGAGATGGCCCGCGTGTCGTCGTCGACGACCTTGAAACGGGATAGACCGCCAATGTCTGAGATGTCTGCCTGGGAGTCTGTCCATTCCCGGTAGTGGCCTGATTCGTTGTAGTGCTGCCAGGCAATCACTTTGGCTGAGGCGCCGACGGCCACCGAGAGGTACTTGTCGTTGAGGGAGCCGGGGACCGAGACGTCCTGGCCTACGGCGTAGGTGTCACCGGAGCCCTCGAAGTTCTTCTTCTGGTAGAAGACGACGGTGGAGGGGTCGACTGAGGGTGCCATTTTGGGGTTTGGGTGGGTGGTTGGTGGTTGGTTTGGATATGTGAGGGTGTTTTTTGTTAACTTGTTGGGAGGTTAAATTGTCTTGTGTTATCTGATGTGTGTGTGTGTGTGTGATGAAGAAGAAAACCGAGACTGGGATGGGGTTGACGACGAAGTACTTATAGGCTTTTTTCGTCCCTTGAGAAAACCTCAGTCGAGCTGGAGGACCGGGACCTTTCTCCGCGGTGATCGAAACTTGTACGATTCTGTGTCCCGTCCTCTTCCCCAGCACCCCTTGACCTCCTCGGCAGGTGGTGACTGGTGTTTCACTCTCACACATATATTGCAGCGAACCCTTTCAGACTTTCCAACCTCGAAGTCATCGGCTGCCCATCGTTCAAGCATCTCATTCCTCTTTCGGCTTCATGTCTACTCTCCCCGCTCGATGCCCTCGCCTTGACATCACGCCAACATCCAATGAGACAGCTCCGTCCAGCGTCAACATCGCTTCCCGACTCAATTATCGGATCCTCTCACATCATCAGTATCACCACCGCAGCTTCTTGACGCCAAATTGGCGCGACACATTCACCACATCACGCAGAGGACAGCCGTCCCTGTATTCTCGTACTCCGGAAACTTGCATATGGATTGGCATACACGATGACAATTCAGAATTCTCTTCTCGATAGGCAAAATGGGGAAAGGGGGGTGGGGGTTGAGTGAGGTAGGGTGGTGGTCGGCGGATGATGTTCACCCCCGAACTAAACACACTGTTACGTCAAACTTGTCGAAGCCCATAGATTGAGTAGAGCCGCTTGTGTCCTTTTTGTGTCAGGCAAATGGAATGCAATGCAACCACTGGCTGGGTATGTGGATTGTATTGAAGTGATGAAGAGGAAGATGACCCGGAAATCCACCCTTGGCTCGGGGGACCGGATCATAAGGAGGGGCGAAGGCATCGCAACTACCTGTGCACAACCTGTGCAGTGCACCTCAGCTTCTATTACCGTTCGTGGCAACGGGGGCAGGCGTGCCTGACATTCTGGATCGATTGGACCTTCCATGTTGAAGGGGACTTTCCGGTGCACTCCTTCTACAGACTACAGAATACGTAATGGATCGGGATAATCTATGGAGGTCGGGTACGCACGGGTAACGGGTCCTCCCGTCCCATTAGCTGCGTCGATCAGGTAGGCGCGGACAAGGGCAGGATCGTGGGGGAAGGAGGAGGAGGCAGGGGACACACGGCGCCTCGCCAAGGTAGTTACCTACTCCCTAAAAGAAGACATACATAGGCGCACAAACGACGGGAGTGGCGACTGGCGAGGCGCCTAGTTGCGGAAGGAACAAACGTGATGAAATGAGGGGGTGAGAGGGGTTCGTGACGAGTTTGAGGTTCAGTTCGTGAAATGTGCAAGGGAGGAGGGAGGAGAGCAGACTGAATAAACTGGAGTCGAAAGAGAGAACAACTCGACCTACTGGATTGGGATTTCTACACTGACCGCCGTGGAGTCCAGGACATGAAGTCCAATGGATGGATTCTCGAGGGGACGCTCCCTTCTGCTGGGCTTCCAACCGGTAGTATACAGTATACATGTTCACATGCCATACCTATCACCAATTGAGCATCTCCGGGTTGGAATACCAAAGCAGCCAGCCTCAACTCCAAGGTCTGACTGAAACTGAAGAAAACCACACAATTCCCCGCGTTTCCATATGTTACTCGTACCTAGAGCTTCGTATAAACAACGACCAGGGAATTCGGAATCAACATCACACCCGAGCCCGTAACCTGTAACCCGTTACATACCTCTAGTGCCATCTCTCCCCTGTCCCCCACGGGGAGGGGGGGAGCAACTTCATATCCCCACCCACTCCTTGTGCCACCAGCTCGCAACTGGGTTGTACAAGTTACCTAATACCGATCTTCTTCTGTAGGATTGCCGGCAAGATGTTGCAATGGTGCATGCATGGCTTTCTCAGGATGTAGTTGCGGCTGAGAAATGGTTGGTATGGTGTTGGTTTTTTGTTGTCGGTGTAGATCAAAAATTTGGTGGTTGGGTTGGTGGCTTGAGGTACAAGTGCAAAGAGTCTTGAAGTTGGTTGTCGGAAGCGAGTGTCTAGCCAGGAAGTTAGCACAGCGTTGGATTTGGGACTGAAAGAGCGGGGAGAATAAGGGAAGAGAAATGATGCCAACATGGGAGGCGCCGGCTGAGTGAACCTTCGGCTAGCTTCGAGAATGGAGAAGCTGTTGCTTTGTTATTCCTTCAGGTTAGTCATGGTCGTGGGCGTGGAGAGGAGACATATTATCTGATGCCCTTCAGACTTGTCCGCAAGCCAAAAGGGCTGCTTTCTCCAAGAAGAACACACGCAATGTGCTGGACGACAGCCGGCACTCGACTATAAGTCGTCCAAAAATTGGGGTATCTATTGAATTCTGTTCATATCTACAAACCCTCTGCGTTTCCGTTCCGTTCCTCTCTACTGTTTCTCTTTCATCTTTCTTTGCTTTCTAAAAAAGATCTCTCATCAGTCATCATCCATCAGGCGCAACATTATCATTTGATGGGTCTCACGGGAAGACAATGCAAAATGGTTGCCCGTCCGTCACACTACCTCCCTGCTTTTTGCTCAAGTGGGTGGGTAGAAGTCGTGACGAAACCCCTCTCTCCCGTGAGGTGCCCGCCGAGAAGTCTCTTTTTCTTTTTTTTTGTTTGCTTCTTCGAGTCTCATCCAAGGGGCTGTGGTGCGTGCGAGTAGCAAGCCCCGTTCACAAAAAAAAGCAATGGTGTTCTTCGGGGCAAGTGCTGTAGTAGCTAGCACCACGGCCAGCCGTCCAAGAAATAGCTCTCGGGTAGCGGTGGATATCAGCAAGGGTCCGCTGAGCAACAACTTGTGTCTTTGCTTCCAGTGCATGGGCTCTCTCTGCCTGAGACGTCCTGCTCTAGCTGCTCTTATGCCATGCGTATGCATCAGTTTGCAAAGATTCTGACGTTCAAGTCAACGCTTCCTGTCGCAATAACGCAGCGGATCTGAGCCTCTGGGGTGGCAGCCGCTCCTCCCTTCTTTGGCGTCCCGTTTGGTTCCCCATGTTCACCGTTCACCGACACATCCTTGATAACCGACGGGGCCCATCTGATGCACTGGACGAAGTGGCCATGCGCATCCCCGAGCGTCTTGACGCATTTGCCTTCTTGTGTAAGATCCCAGCACCGAAGCGTCTTGTCATCGGATACGGACAAGAGGTATTTCCCTCCAGGATGGAACACCAACCCTCGCACCCAGTTATCGTGGCCGACCAAGGTTTTGATGCATGTCCCGCGCGCATCCCATAACCGGATCGACTTGTCTCGAGAGCCGGTGGCCATAAACTCGGCAGAGCTCGTCGCAGGTGGTTTCTTGATGCCGGCCATGGCGGCAAGATTTTGGTATGCGGCCGGAGGTGCGATGGCGCAACACAGCACGACATGCTCGTGGCCGATCAAGGTGACCTTGGGCTCGGGGTTCGTTATTGTTACATCCCATAGCCTGCTTGTGTAATCGTCGCTGGTAGAGAGTATATATTTCCCGTCCAAGGATGGGCATACGTCGCGCACCCATTCGGCATGGCCGCGCAATGTCTTGACGCAGTACCCTGTGCTAACGTCCCATATCCTTAGTGTCTTATCGCGACTCGCGCTAACCAGGAGGTTACCAGATCCAGGGATGAACCGTACGGCGCTGACGCTGTGATCGTGGCCGGGGAGAGTCCGAATGTTTTTATACGAGTCTAGGGGGTCCCAGAGCTTGATGGTTAGATCTGAGCTGCACGAAGCTAGCAACGTGTTTCCGCGGGGGCCACCATAGTCGACGTCGAGGACGGCTTTTGTGTGGCCCTTGATAGTTCTTTCTAGCTCGCCCAGTTCCCAATCCCAGATCTTGATGGTCTGATCCTCTGATCCGGAAGCTAGAGACGAGAAAACAGGGTGGAATGCTACACAGGTTATGGGATCTCTGTGTGACTGAAGCGTGTGTCGGGGAGGTGCTCGGGGTAGCCAGGCGACGGGATCTTTGTTCTGTCGCGATGTAGGCGTCGTTTCGTTGAGCTCTGACTGTAGGATATGATTTCGCGACTCGAGGTCCATAATCTGTGTGACAAGGGGGTAAGCGACTGGCAAAGGGGAGAGAGGGGGGGACTGGGGAGGGGCGGTCGGACAAGGGGCCAGGATGCGCACCTTTTTCTGAAGTCGGACTACACTGGTCCATTTCTTTTCTAGTAGACCCTCATATTTCTTTGCCGTGGCCGGATCAAAGACCTCTTCGCTTAGGTTCAGTTCTTCTCGGAGGGCGGCGGCGGTGTTGGGTAGGTTGGCGGCACTTAGGTATGCGATGAGGGCTCTGTGTCTGTAGGAGTGGCGGACAACAAGTTAGCCATTGTCTCGACTTGAGTATAAGTAGCAACCTACAGCTCATCGGCCTGCCGAGAGGTCAATATTTGAGACATGGTGCCAGCCAAGGAGGCGGGTCAGCTAAAGGGGCGTGTCTTGGGAGGAGAAGATGTGATGTTTTGGTTTGTCGCGGGGTCGGGATCGGTGTCGGTCGGTTCGTTCGCCAGGACTTGTCCGTTGTCCGTGTCCGTGTTGTGGCCCACCTGCCGCGTCGCCCGAAGGGTAGGTACAGTTGTCGTGCACGTTTGTTGACTTGTTTATGGGGGAATCGTGATCGCAATGCCTTAGTGTGACGGAATTGTTTGGCAGATCAGGACTTTATACTCCATCTCGGTGGAGGCCCGGTTCCTTTCGGTCAGGTAGCGGGATGGGGGAAGCAGAGAGCTGGCCGGCACACGGGCACTCCAAGCTACCTCTGCTAAGTGTCTGAGCGCGGGACGTCGACGGGGAGAGCTGCTCCTATATGTGCTTATGTGCTCTAGTGAGCCTGGTGAGGTAGGCGGCGGTGTTGTGGTGGTCGGGTTGCTGTGTTGTTGTTGATGTTGTTGTATGTGGTCCTGGTTGCATGTGCCAGTTGTCCGTGGCTCTCTTTCTTCTTTCTCTCCTCTCTTTGATCCCGGATCCAGATCCAAATCCAAACCCAAACGGTGAGGAGTTCGCCTAAAAGTGGACCCCTTGTCCCTGGACTTAGTTGTCGCTGTCTCTAGCTGCCCTGCGCTCTGCGTTGGTGCCCTTTTTGGTTGGTCTCTGCCTCTCTCAGACTAATTCGAGTCCCGTCTAGTCGAGGCGAATGGAGCTCTTGATTGCAGCTTGAATAGTTCGTGACGAGATAGAAAGCAAGCTGAGCGCAATCTGACGGGTACTGGTATCGAAGACTTGGTGTTTGTCTGTTTGGTGGTCAATGATGTTGTTCAAGATGCTCCAGTCTCTTGTGTGTCTGTGGGCGTTGTGGTTGCGATCCAATGCGGCGGCCGGCATGCAACGTTCGACAGAAACCGCAGCGACAAAGACTTGACGGCTCACCCACTGTAACACTTTGTTTGGGTCCTCTTTCAGTGGGCGGACTGTCTTGTTTTTGGCGGGGCAGAGAAACAACGCATCAGCTTCTTCAGGGTTAGGTGTCACAGGCTTGGCCGTCGGGGTTAGGGCTGCTAGGGGGCTTGTCAGGGTTGTCAGGGAGGACCACACATCCAAGGACAGGTACCGAGGACCCTTTATGGACAGCTGGCAGATAGGCGCTGGCGGACTGCAACGGGCCAGTAGGCGTAGATCGAAGAGGGGTTGATTGACATCACGTAGCGGTCAGTAGACGAGGCTGCCTGATGATTGGACAGCTCAGCCACATTCTCCCCCTTAAGCCACAGAAGGCTGGTAAGGCGTGCAAGGGTTATTGCTTGGGTCGGCAATTGGACTTCCCTGGGCGTTCACAAGGCGTCAGGGTTCAGCATGGGGAACAGAGGGAACCTCTCTGTCGCTCCCCGTCCCGGCGTGGTCCGCTCTTGTCCCGCCAACCAGAGCCTGTCGCGAAACGGGAAGCACAAACTGACTCCCGTCACCGTCAACAAATCTACAACAATACATCCACATCGCCGCTGCCCTCCAACCTCGAGCACGGCTGTATCTCTCTACTTCGCGGATACGCTCCCCCCGCGGATCACACACGCACACCAGGGCAGTCGAGCAGGAACACACGGCAACTTCCTGTCCCTTCGATCTTTATCGCCCACCCACCACCCACCGTGCCCACACTACGCAATCACAGCGCGGCAGCAATTATATCTTCCTTCCTTTGCGCACGCGCGACTCTTCATTGTTACCAGTCGCCGACAACAAACAAAACAGCTGTTTGACACACTGCACCATCCATCCAAGTCGCAGCTTCTGTTCGCTCCCCATTTCTTGCTCTCGATAGCTTCTGTAAGTCCTCCCTGTCTTCCATCTGACGTGTGAGCACCATCGACACCAGAGGCCACCCCAACAGGCACCGTGACGGCATACATCTTTCTTATAACCCTCTTGTTCCCATTATGGTCGGCTCTAGGAAACCCCTTTCGCTTCAGAGACTAATCAAGCGAGTTTCCTCCCTAGGTCGCCCACCCTCGTTCGACTCCAAGACCACATCAACCTCAACTCCCGCCAGTCAAAGCACATCGAGCCTTCCTTCACTCCCCGACCCGTCGAGACGATATCCTCGACTGTCTTCTGAATCCCGATGTCCATCGAACCCTGAAATACCACAGACCGAAAGCCCTGCGACAACAACCACAACACCAAAAACCGCAACCATGGGTGACGAAGAGGACTTCAGCTCCTTGCCCCTTACGGACCGTTGGGTACACAAGGTGCGTTTCAGTCCAAGGCTTGTCCCTCTCGTTGCGCTTACAAGTCCCAGAATCCCTGTTAACGTTGGCTAGGTCTGGAAAGTACGCAAGGCAGCATACGAAGAGGCCGCCCAGGCATTCGAAAAGACTCCCGATGAATATGATCCCGCATTCCGACCGTTCGTCCAGGATCCCAGCTTGTGGAAGGGTGCTGTCGCGGATTCCAACGTCGCTGCGCAACAAGAGGGCATGGCTGCTCTTTGCGCCTTCCTAAAGTTTGGCGGTCGTGAAGGCGCTGTTCGGTCGAGACAACACACCATCACGTCCATTGTCGAAAAGGGTCTCCCGTCTACTAGACCTGCCATCAAGGCCAACTCTCTCGAAGCGCTTCTTCTTTATATCGAACTCGACGTTCCTGGCCCCGTTATCGAAGAAATCCTTCCCGTCCTCTCCAACAAGGTTCCCAAGGTCGTCGCTGCTGCGCTCTCTGCGCTAACGGCCATCTTCCACAACTATGGCTGCAAGACGGCAGACCCCAAGCCCGTGCTCAAGTTCTTGCCCAAGGTCTTTGGCCATGCCGACAAGAATGTAAGAGCCGAGGCTACTAACCTTACAGTCGAGTTTTACAGGTGGTTGCGCGACGCCATGAAACCCATGTTCTGGGGCGAACTCAAACCGACTCAACAAAGCGATCTAGAAGCACAGTTCGAAAAGGCCAAGGCCGAAGGGGCTCCCAAGCAAGAGCGCCTTCTTCGATCACAGCAAGCTGCGCAGGCCGCCGCTCCTGCAGGAGGCGGTGACGAAGATGAAGAAATGGCTGACGCACCTGAAGAAGAGGAAGTAAGGGAAATCGACGCATTCGATTTGGCCGAACCGCAGGATATCATCAGCAAAGTACCAAAGGATTTCTTCGACAATATCGCCTCGTCGAAGTGGAAGGAGAGAAAGGAGGCATGCGAGGCCCTTTACGCTGTTGTGAACGTTCCGAGGATCAAGGAGGGAGACTTTAACGAGATCACACGTTGCTTGGCAAAGTGTATGAAGGACGCCAACATTGCCGTCGTCACGCAGGCAGCACAGTGTATCGAGCTACTCGCAAAGGGTCTGCGAAGGGGCTTTGCCAAGTATCGCGCCACCGTCATGCAGCCTATCCTCGAGCGTCTGAAGGAAAAGAAGCAGACAGTGGCGGATGCGTTGGGCCTTGCCCTGGATGCCGTTTTCCTGTCGACTGATCTAACGGAAAACATGGAGGATATTACCGAGTTCCTTAAGCACAAGAACCCTCAAGTTAAGGAAGGTACCATGAAGTTCCTAGTCCGGTGCCTGCGCACCACGAAGGATGTTCCCAGCAAACAAGAGATTGCGACCATGGTTGAGTGCGCGAAAAAGCTTCTTGCCGAAAGCAGTGAAGCTCTTCGTTCTGGTGGTGCCGAGGTTTTGGGTACGATCATGAAGATCATTGGCGAAAGAGCAATGAACCCACACCTCGAAGGCTTGGATGACATCCGGAAGAACAAGATCAAGGAGTTCTACGAGGCAGCTGAGGTCAAGGCCAAGGATAAACCAAAGCCGCCTCCGCCAGCAGCTCGAGCACCGCCTCCGGGTCCTGCAAAGAAGGGCCCCGTCAAGAAGGCCCCTGTCGGTGCTAAAAAGCCAGCAGGATTTGGAGCGGCGGCGCCGCCTGCCCAGCCAACACCGGCTCCTGCCGCCGCCGCTCCCCCGCGCATGGGTGGTCTGGGTAACAAGCTAGGCGTACCAAAACCCGGTGGTGCTGCTCCTGGCGCTGCCCCCGGCGGTGGTCTTGGTGGCGGTATCAAGGCCCCACAGAAGCGGTCGGCATTCGCTGCGCCGCCATCTCGCGCGGAGCCGGAGCCGGAACCAGAGCCTATGGATCTTGATGATCCGCCTTCCCCTGAGGAGCAACGGCCAGCACCACCACGCATGGGACTCGGACGTGGCGGTCTTCAGCCAGGGGGCCTTGCTGGGCGTTCACTCGCCAAGCCGGTACCAATGGATTATACCCCTACTCCCCCAATGCCACCCCCAACCCCAGGCATTTCCCACATTGAGCGGGCTGAGCTTGAAGAGCTCCGAGATGCCAATGACCGTCTGCTGAAGCAACTCGATGATGCTCGTCACGATCGGTCGAAACTCTTGTCGGAGATCCAGGAACTCAAGAACCAGAATGCTTCTCTGATTGAGGACCATACAAGGGACGTGCTCTCGATCAAGGCCAAGGAGACGCAGCTGGTCCGGGCCCGCAGCGACTTCGAAGCCGCTGAGCAGACCAACGACCGGTTGCGTCGTGAGCTCGACAGGCTCAAGCGAGCTTTGAGCCACACCGAGGATCAACTACGCCACGCGAACCGTGCTCGGCCGGGCAGCCCCAGCTCACCCCATATCGGTCTTGGAGTTATGAGCCCGACCCACGATGGCGGTATTTACAACGACAACGGCTACCAGCAACAGTCAGCAAATAGGAACCGCATGAGCTTTGCCAGCAGCATGAGCGAAGAGAAGGAGAACGGCGGCGATGGCATGATGTCGGGCGGCTTCCACCAGAAGGTGAGCCCGGATCCCAGGTACCACACGGGAGGAAGCGGGGGAAGTAGCGGTCGCGGTACCCCTGCTGGCTTCCGCCAGCCGGTCGAGGAGGCTAGGAGCTCCGAGTCGCTCGCTTCCATGGGCTTCGGTGGCTACGGAGCTGAGCGGTCCAGCAGTAGGACTGGTATGAGGACTGGCGCAAGCAGGCTGCAGGCTCCTTCGAGTGGTACGGCGGGTGGCATGGAGAGCTGGAAGAGGGCTGCGGAAGTGACGAGTCAGTTGAAGGCTCGGATAGAGCAGATGAAGGTATGTCGCTGATCTAGGTCGTCTCATTTGGTACTTATTGATGCTAACTATTATTGCTACCTAGGCCAAGCAAGGTCTCAACCGACCATAGTCGGACTGTCAGAGATTCACAGATTCCGTCTCGACAGGGACATCCCTCTCTGTCCGACCTATGACGAATGCTCTTGCGGTTGAAGTGTACACATTACGATGTACTAAAGTGTGTGGAACGTATCGTGAACCGGGTATAGAAAGGAGGAGATCAA